TCTGTTGCGCCCCCCCCCCCCATAGTCTACTCTACGCCTATGGATAGCAGGGTGTTGAACCCAAGTTTTCTTCGTTCCGGTTCAGGGCCAATGGTTCAGGTCCGGTTCAACAACGGAATAAAAGAAACAACCGTCCCTATTGGTTCAAGCTGGGTCCTATTCTCCCGCTAATAATTATTTGTGTATGTATGATTGGACTGCCGAAAGTTAGCCTCAATAGCTGTCTTGCGTCTCGGCTATATTTAAGAAATCTAGTCAGTGCAATAGCACTGCTAGCCGGCGGGGAATTGAACGTCTTTCCACATTTTTGTAAGCTCCGTCAATTTTGACCCCATGAACGACCCATCGGTTTTTCCTGTGGCTGTCTGTCCCCTCCTTTCCCTGGTATCCTGAGTAACGACCAGTGTTGTACACGTTCCTCAAAAAAATAAACGAAAGCTCGTTCCTCGTTCCTTCTGATTTTTGGAACGCGTTCCCGTTACAAGTTCCATATGTGGAAAAGAAACTCGTTCCCGTTACAGTTAAAGAAATGGAACGCATCGTTACATATACGTTACATTTGTATTTTTTGTTAATTACCATATTATTTATATCAAGCAGAGTTTTTTTTTTTTTTTTATCTATCCCATTAGTAGTCAACATACGAGTTTGTATGTCGTGATGGGATGGCACCAGGAGTAGAAAACACGCGGAAGTAGGGTTTCATTTGTTGATATATTCATGTTAAAAATCTCAGCTATTAACCATGTCCATGTTTGTAGTGGACAATTCAGACGAGCCAAATGTACTTTTACCCAAGATTGCACGAGCGTTTTACAACAACCTCACACGCTTCAATTTAACAGAGTCCCATGTTAGAACTTAACAACAGTTGCTTCTCGATGTTGCTGTCCGCTAGACGAGCAAGTAAAGGAGAGGGTAGGGCTTTTGGAAAGTCAGTCTTGAAAGCTACAAATACTTCAATGTGAAGCTTGGATTTGTTGTTCAGTTTGAAGGTGGGGGACAAGAGAAGGAATACGGATTATTTTTTGTGCATCTTTTAAGTGAATAATGTTCGGGATACAAGCGCGAGTCCGATATCTGGCAATCTGTGACCTTGTAATTGTAGGTCTCGTTATTGAAGTTTAAAAACGGCTGCAGTCGGAATAAGATCTCTGGGTGTATGAGGATTTGTGGAACCAAAGAAATTAGCTGAGTTTGAAACAACCTTTTTTTTTTTGTCTTTTCCTACGACTAAAAGTTTTGCTTTTTGTACAGCAGTTTCCGGCACTCAAAAAAATATCAATGCCCACCAGCTCTCCTGCACCTGAAACTGTTAGCAAGCGAGGACCACACAAAATAATCCATAAGATTAGTAGCCAAAAAGTTAAATAGATCCTGCACTTCGTAAAGATATTGTTTTTGAACTTTCATACTTTCCCTGTTAAAAACAAAATAAAAATTACCCCACTGGACTAAAAAAAAAACGCCGTTACTCTTTCCGTTCCAGTAAAAATGTAACGCGTTCCCGTTCCAGTTCCAGCGATACAAAATGGAACGGCGGCGTTCCTTCGTTCCTCCTAAAAGGAACGCGTTCCAGGAACGCCGTTCCTTGGAACGCCGTTTCATACAACACTGGTAACGACCCGGCCGCAGATACGTCTGATGAGTGAAAAGCTGACCTTTTATTGTCAGAACGTTCGCGGCTTGCGCGCGAAGTCAAATTACTTTTTCGAAAGTGTCGTGACCTCAGGCCTTGATGTATATACTGTGTTGCCGAAACGTGGCTTCATGATGACATAGATTAAGTATTTTCCGGTTGCATACAATGTGTTTCGTAGCGACAGAGACTACAAACCCGTCGGTGAGCGCTATGGTGGAGGCGTTTTGATTGCTCTCAACAGTGCAGTGCTGGCTCTACGCCGTTTTGATCTTGAAATGCACGAGGAGTGTGTCTGGCTAGAAATTAAGTTCGCAGGTGGCCAGCATTTGTTAGTAGGAAACTACTATTTGCCTCCTTCCATGTCTAGTGTCAAGTTCGGTGCCGTTCTCCTTGACTTCTCGAGCAAACTTGATCCTGAAAGGTACAAAATCGTTATTTTTGGTGATTTTAATGTTCCTGTTACATGGTGGGAATTGGATCACAGATCAGACGGGTTGAGCAAGGCGTTGCACCGCGTTAACTTCTTTAGTTTTAATGGCTTTGAGCTGGACGATTGATTGGCGGATGCCTGTGGTAATGTATTGGACGTATTTCTAGTAACGAACGAATATTCAATTGTGCCAGTCACCGAACCGCTCGTTCCCATTGATATTTCGTACGTCCCGTTTGGTGTTATCTAAATATTTCTAAACATGTGCGGCGTAGATCGGTTGATAGATTCGACTACTTCAAGGTTGATTACCTTGGCCTTTGTTGGTTTCTGGCGCTGGCAGTTGGGAGGCCGTTTATAGCGCTGCCTATGTCGATATAGCTGTTTCTGAATTGTAACTGAAGGCTTGTCACGCTGCATATCCAGGAATGTACGTCGCTCTCAAAAATATCGTGCGTGGTTTTCCTGCGAACTTCGTCGAGTCTTACGTAAAAAATTCCATCTACGCAGGTTGTCAAAAGGATCACACGCCAGGCATTGCGCACAAAAAATACCGACAATGCAGAGCGCTGGCTAAACATCTTACCAAGCGTGACAGACAGGTCTTCCATTCCCTTGTTCAGCAGAACGTGATTCGGCGCCCTGAAGAGTTCTTAAACTTCACGCGCAATCGCACCAAACATAAACACATCAGATATAACATCACCAGTTCCACACACAGAATAGAAGAAATCAAGAACGTACAGCTGAACTATTTTTATCAAAATGTTGGGGAAGCCAGAAGCAGTTTATAAATCCTACATAAAAAAAAGAACATGCATTTTTTTTTCTTGAATTGATAACCACAAATATTATTTTTCTATTTTACTCCTGAACGAAAAAAAATCAACGTTTCGGTCGGATTTTGGTTCGCAGACAAATAGAGGCGTTTTCAGTTCCCGCTGGGTTCGATACCCTGGTTATGGCGGCTCAGATTTGACGCTCGTGAAGAAAGGTGTAATAGAGCCCCGTCGCGCGCATCAGATCTGAGCCGCCATAGCTGACCTGATGCCTCGCCGGGATGCCCAGCTACTGAAATGGGCTGGACATCTTGTTCTTGTATTAATTCATCATTAATGATGAATTCACACAAAGCCAGCGTTGTGCGTCTGATGTCTAAAAAGGTTAAGAACCTGTTGCACGGCCACAGTGTGGGCCTGTCGCCTTTACGCAAATTACGTATGGAGGGGCGATCGTCTGCCCTGCTGAATCCATACCATCTAGAACAGGGGCGCCCATAAACTATGGCTCTTCGCGGGCTCAAGTGCGGTTCGCGGCTCCCAGGTAAGCGTGTCTTCCTTCCCCTCCTGTGCCCCAGGACCAAATGAATTCTAAAAAAAAACTAAAAAAAAAGCTCAAGTTTTGGTTTAGTTGTGTACTACATTACCTACATAAAGCTGGACTGCGTTTTGACATAGATATGTCCAGTGACTCTGTTTCCTTTATTGTTCTAAAAACAATTTCGAGCCGGATACGCATAACGGGCGTCAGGGGCAGTGGCTGACTAGCGAACTATGCATCCATAATCACGGTGAATTAACCTGAGACTGCGGTATAGAAGAGAAGCATCAAAACGTAGAAGGGGCAAAAAGTAGAGAGGACGAAGTCTCATTTGGGATGTCGTCCTTTCTATTTTATGTCCCTTCTACGTTTCGATGTTCTATACAGTAGATTAAACGGGCACGTCGAATTATGGCTCCACTTTTATTCTCCCCTTTCAGAGCGTGCAAAATATGCATGCAAAATACTCTACATCTTAGTTGCATAAGGGGCCCTAAGGCATGCAAGGCACGCGATCGGCACTACAAAGAGACAGTCGTTATCCCACGAATTTACACCAACAACTGTCTCTCAACCCCGTTACCCCTTGTCACCATGGGACACCACCAGCGGCCACTGCTTAGCAGGATAATCCCACTGAATCTTGAAGAGTAGAGAGCCATTACCACGATACAGGTCGCCGTCCCCACAAAGGTGAGACAGATGATGACACCCAGCGTTGCCACCCGCTGGTTTGAGTCCTGATTCACCATCTTCAGCTCCTCTTCAGCCGCCACGTCAACGAGCGTCTCGTTGGGCATCAGTAGGGTGTGATTGGCGATGATGGTCCAACCGGCGGTGCCACTTCCCGTCGAAGAGGGCACCGACGAAGACACGCCGAGTTTTGTCGAAACTGCGTACGTCGAAACGTCGTCGCTGCTGAGGCTGCCTGTCCTCCAGACACTCCTGCTGACTCCTGGCGTGCTGGGCCTTTCGGTCGTGTCGTTCAGCAGCAGTTGTATCTTGTTGATGAGGTCGCTGAGGAAGGTCCGGCTGTCCTTCGTTTTGATGAGGGACCCGAAGAACTTCTCGTCGAAGCTGTTGTCGAAACTGTTGTCGAAGTCGCGCTCTCTGAAGCACGACACGGCGGTGGTTGTCGCGGCGATGATCCACAAGCCCAGCGCGTAGCAGCTTGCTCCCTGCACCATCGTCGTGGTTCGCAGTCGGCGCAGACGAGCCCCTCTGCCCGCTGGTCGACTCTGCTCAGCAGGACGGTGCTTGGGCAGCTCGGCCATGGCACGTCGGAAAAGCTCTAACGGGGAGCTTTGAACGTTGGAGGTTCCGACTGGCTGTGCCTGCTCTTCTTCCTCTTTCGCGGGATGATGGAGACCGAAAATCAAATTTGCTTCAAAACTGAAATATGATGTATTGCATTTGGGCATCTGCTTAGATATTAAACAAGAAGTAGTTGTTTTCGCAAGAATAAAGCATGTAAAAAAAAACCCATTCAAAATATATTTTTTTAAAAAATAGCAGTCCTGTGTTAATCTACAGTTCAGTCACAGCTATAGCTGCGACACCTCACGGCGAAGTCTTTGGGCCTCGGCGTCGCTTCACGCACCGTAGGACGCATGAACAAAAGGGTTCGGAACAAAATGGGCATGTGTTTTGTTCCGAATGCTTTTGGTTTGTTACATTTGGTTCGAAACTTTTTGTTTCTTTCTTGTTCCGGAGCACGTGAAAGCGCATCTCGCGGCCCGAGCTCTTGGCATTGACAGTGACTTTTTTTTTATTATTTTATTTTCGAGAGGGCGCATGCAATGGGCATCGGGTACTACAAAAATTGAAAGACGTTTAAAAATCTCTAATGCTTAACTAGAGCGCAGCTCTTGAGGAGAAGAGGAGGGTAATGTCCTCTTCCTTTCCTCCTGCCCTCCTCCTCTCCCGTCCTCTACTCCTCCCGCTGAATTTGTTCATGGATGACGTGACACGAGGTCATGTGACGTCATTTTCCCCGCTAAATTTAGCGGGGCGGTTACGCCGACGGCGACGCCGCGAAACGCGGAAACGGGCGCCTAAGCTGCGCTCTAAAACTTGCTAACGCCGTGAGGAAAAAAATTGACCGCATCTCCACGTGGTGAATGATGTTGATTGGTGCGAAGCTCTGGTGGTGCCTGTCTGCGTAGACGCTGAGCCGCAGCATGCCGAGCCTTTTGTTCGTTTCCATCCATGTCAGAAAGAGAATGTGTGGTATGGAACGTGGTTATATACGCATGTGAGCATTTGACCGCAGCGTCCTCTCGTCTATAAACCTTGAGCCAATATATACAAAGTTTAACGCGATTATATACGCATTTGACTGCAGCGCCCTCTCCTGTATAGACGTCGAGCGGCTACATGCAACGTTTCATCCATGACATCCCCAGCTCTTGAGTTACTACCACATCTCAGAGCCCCCTACTCGTCCCGTAGTCGTGGCCGAGTGCTTAAAGGGGTCCTGCAATCATATATAAGCGTCTGCCTTTTTTGCGATTTCCACGTCTCTTGGGGTTCGGGCCAGCCAGCGGGCACGGAGGGAGTAACTAAATATCAGTGCGTCATATTCTAACCGGACGACGCGGAAACCTCCTCCACCGACGAGGGCGACCCGCGGTACCGAAAGCGCGGAAAATGTGACGTCTTTGGTCCTGCGCTTACTACTTGTCAGAGCCGCTAAAAGCTTCTTTGTAGTCGAAATAAAAAATATAAGTGGCGCGAACCCTTTAAATTATTTAATAAAGTAGTTTTTATTCAGTATTTTAGATCAGACAAGAAATGAATGCAGTTCATAAAGTACGGAAACAAGAAATGACCCGTCGACATACCCGCCACCAAGCGGTGGAAAAGGCGGCGCATTGTAGAAAGGAGTAGTGGGATACATAGAGTTATTATAATGTACGCTAGAGGTTCAACTGGCGCTAGTGTCTATGTGACTTCCGTGACGCAAATCGAAGCAGACAGCAACCAGTCTACTTTTGCGGTGCTCCTGTGCATTCCTATGGGAAAACGCGCGTGCATTTTGTCTCTTCGCCGGAAAATAACACGGAACACTTTGGTTATTTGGGTCGTACCAAATAGTATGTACCCTGATTAACACTGTAAGAGTGTAATTGCTTTAGTTAGCGCATTTTTCTTCATTAGTGAACGATTTTTAACTTCGCTATATTTCAACTCCAAACGTGTGTTCCGCAGCAGGTGTGTAAAAACAAGCAACGATTCAAAGCAAAATTACAATCGAAATGAATATAGAGTGTATTCAAGGCTCCCCAGCGTTCCAGTGACGCTTATATATTGCTAATATGCCAGTCCTGTCACTATATGAAAATGACCCCGTCGTGCATGCGCACTGATAAAAATATTCAAAACATAAATAATAAAGTATGTGGGCTATGAAAGGTGTCACTTCGTATTGTTTTCTCAGCCGGGCAGCTTTTATCGGGCACTTGTTCTCAAATATTTTGATCGTGCTGGTGATATTTTGGACGTAGAAGTTCGCAGAGCAGAAAGAATAAAGCGGTATACTTACTTATTTAAAATCGGAATATATTACGCGGCCTTCAATTTATTTGGATCGTACATGCGCAGGTACTTACTGATCCAGTGTTTCTGCGTAGTTCTTGCCGTCTCCCTTAATTTCCAGATGTCCTTCGTTCGTACGTCGTGTTCGCGCTAAAAGTGTCCGACAGTGCACATAAATATACGTACGAAGCCGTTTTAGCACCGTTTTTAATGCGATGAATTTGAAACAAAAACGCCGTAACTGGCCAATTATTTCGTCGGCCTGTCTGAGAAATGTTCCAAGCTACCTAGTACGTACGAATTATTCGTGATATTTGCTCTTATGATCGAGCGCAGGGAGAAAATGCACTCACTTTTTCCCATAGAAATGCATTACCGGAAGTCAATTTTCGACTGGTCGCTGTCTGCTTCAATTTGCGTCAGCACACCAGCGCCACTTGAACCTCTAGCGTACATTATAATAACTCTATGGTGGGATCCAACCTCCTTGAGTGGGATTAGGCGCCGACACGGAAAGGTCCCGGATGTACGTGGCGGCGCTGCGGTCGTATGGACAGGATAGGACAGGAGGATCCGACCGGCTCCGAGCGTTCCGAAGGCCTTCGGCGAGAAGCTTTGTCTTGCGGTTTGGCCGTTTTTCGGAGCTCAAAGTGGCTCCCATTCTGAACTGATCTTTACCCCGTGTTTGCTGTCGTTTGTGGCCAATGAAGTGTCATGCCGAATTAGTATTTTATCACGCAGCAAATGTAATGAGAGCCGCTCTGGCTGCTCGCTGCATACAGCCTATCCAAAACATGCTTTAGTGGCGTCCTCTCGCGCCGTCGACACGGAGTGCGGCGGCCGTGAGCGCTCGATAAAGTTCACGGCCACTCTCAAGCAACCAAGGACGTCATGAGGGAGGTTGTCTTTTGCTTGTTTTTGTAATTTTAATTCGCCTATAACTTTTAAAATTAAGGGAATTTCGAGAAAAGAAAAGTTTCACTAAATTACTATGTTCAGTGCGCTCAGGTTCGGTGCAAATTAAAAACCAGTAAAAAAGTACTTGCAAAAAGTACTAGAAATCCATTCACCAAAGTAAAAAACTTTCAGCCTTTTTACTTTGGTGTAGAAGAAAGACCAGCAAAGCTGTACTACGGTGGACGACCTGAAGGACAGCTTCTTGGACGACCTCAAGGGCGACGCCTAGGACGACCTAAAGGACGACCTCAAGGAGGATTTCTAGGATGTCCTCAAGGACGACTTCGAGGACGACTTCTAGGACAACACCTACAGGGTGAAACAAGGAGACGCCAGGCTCTTTAAATCGACCGGAAAATTCGGTTTCTTAACCTATCGCGCTATGACTTTGTGCAGCGTTGCCCACAGATGATGCTTTTTTTTTTTTTTTTTTTTTGTAAAATTTGCGAAGAGCGAACTTACCTGAGGAACAAGTAAAGAAAGAAAAAGGCTTAGCTCCTATGGAAACGCAGCGACGCCACCGGTCTGCAAACAACACGGCGCCGTTTCGTACAGGAGACAAGAGATGGCGCAAGCGGTCGCGACGCCAACTGCCGCCAACGAACGAGCAGACGACGCCGAGAGCCGGCCCTTTAGCAGACAAGGAACTGCAGTTCCTTGCTGTTACCGCCTGTCTTTTTTGTTTCTGCGACTGCCGCCGCCTGCAGAACGCGCGCCGCTTTTGTGTCGAAAAGATCGTCTGCTAAAAAGGCCTGCTCTCGGCGCCGTATTCGCGACTCCAACTAACTATAGGTGGCGCCACTCATTTTCCAAGATGGCGGGTTTAGTGAGGGTCAGAGATGCGTGCCGCTGTTGAGCCTGTCTAGTGTGCTGGCTTCACTGAGCGACATAAATTATTCCTGGTAATACGAAGAAGCTAATGTTTTGTGAGCGCAGGTCACCTCTTTAACCTGAAAACAAGAACGGTGTTTAGCGTTTTATTTGCGGAAGATGGCGCGTTTTAATTCTGGAGCGAAACCGAAACTTACCTCTGTTTTGGATTTAATTTCTCGATATAGGTCTCAATTCCGGATTCTTTCATGACTCAAGATGTGTCTTACATCGTAATTATTTACTTAGAAAACTTGTTCGCGGAAACTTTATTTTGTGACATACCGTTCCATCAAGGCTGATATTCGTAGTTATTGAAAAAAAAAAAATCAATGCTGATATCTGTGCGTTCTCGCTGCCTATTTCTCACTCAGATAATTGTCATGGAAATAATGACAATTATCCCAGCACAAGAATAAAAGAATAATTCAAATTTTTACATTATGTCAACGAAACGCATAAACTAATAAACGCTGCTCTCACTGCGACAACCCAAAGACGGAATCCGAGTCAGACAGCTGAAGTGTGTGTTTTTATAGCACCGCGTGACGCGTTGGACTTCATATTACATCCAGTGTTTGACTGTTTGCCTATCTTGATAACTATGTCAGTTTTTTATATGCTAAAAAGAAAACAGAATTATACCTTTATTATACCTTTCTGGAAAGACTACTATGGTTAAATAGCGTATTCTCGTGATCTTGGCGTTAATTGGAGGCATATATTGCCGCGATTTGTATTAATAATAATAATATTAAAATTCACATATTTGAATAAGTAATTCTGCAAGCTCTAATATAATGTTGCTTATAATCTAATTTTAAGCGCGCGAAGAAATATGACAATGAAAGCTGTGCTAATTATCATCACTGGTTCCAATTGCTGCATTTTAGTTACCAAGAAAATAAAAAAATAGTCTAAAATCAGTGAAAACATTTTAGCTAATGTGAGAAATTCATGTAAAGTTACATTAATTGTGGGTAAAGTATATTGTGCTGTCAAAGTCGCGACTTTTGACAATCGGCGAAACGTCCAAAGTCGCCGCCAATATACTTCCAGATCAAATGCCCTAAAATAAAAAAAAAAAAAAAAATAAAAAAAAACGTTTTTTTTAATTACATTTTTTTTATAACATTTATTGACTTTTGTATCTGCTTGCCGTCCTTTTGCCAATCTCAGCCTTTCCAGTTCGAAAGAACACCTACCTGCTTGCACGTCTGCTCACTGCAGCACGTTTCGGTGGTGTTGGAAGGCGTTGAAACAGTAGTGAGTTTCAATATTGCGTATACGGGCGAACTCAAGCCCTGTGTGTTTGCGTTAGCTTTGCGTATTCCACACTGCGCGTGCGCGGAGCCCGAAATTGCGGTCTTGGATGGCGCATAGCGATGAGGAGCACGCACAACGTGGGGCACGCAACTCTTACACAAAAGCACATCGCTTGCGTTTGCTTCTATGCGCAATACTAAAACTCTCCAGTAAGGTACAATCCCATACCGGCTGCAGCACTACGTTGGACAGTGAAGAGTGTTGTTTGCATTCAGAAACGACATTTTGAGAGCCATGATCGCGAGCAGTTCGGCCATGCCCGCTGAGCTGCAGAATCGGGGGACCCTCACTAGAGCGCTTCCCGTTTCCGCCGCGGGAGGGCGAGCGTCCAGCTGGAGACGCGAATACTCGTTCCAACGTTACTAAAACACTCAGTTGGGAAACTCCCATAGAGACAGCTTTGAAAAAGTGGCCCCAATCCGTCTCCGAGCACCGAGCTAATGACGAACACAACGCCACCATTTCTCCCGCAGCGGCCTCTCGAAGAACTGCACGTGACTTCTATTTTGGCTTAAGAACGGATATAGCGGTAGAGGTTACAGGGGTGCCACCCCAGTCTCCCCGGCGGACGCGCCGCGTTCAACTACTGACGTTAAAATGCGCCTAGGTCAGGACGTGCTACCTGAAAGGCCCGCTGAGGCATGGTTGTATGAAAACTATATTAATTGTTCCGCAAAACCTTGCGAACTAAAGATAATAAAAACATCACGCGCCCATCATTTGGTACTAAACTCCAATAAATTCCATACAAAAAGAGTCTTTTCCGTTTGTTTTTACGCAAAAACAGGCTTTCAAAAAGCTCAAGGGGACCACAGTACAGACAAACGATAAAGAGTGGCGCTGTTGTCGCATTTAGCTCGGTCTCGGTGGACGCCAGCGGCCCAGGTTTCGACGGCGAGTTTCCCAACTGAGTGTTTTAGTAACGTTGGCTCGTTCGTTGGCGGCGTTTGTTGCGCCATCTCTTGTCTCCCGTGCGAAACGGCGCCGTGTTGTTTGCAGACCGGTGGCGTCGCTGCGTTTCCATAGGAGCTAAGCCTTTTTCTTTCTTTACTTTTTCCTCAGGTAAGTTCGCTCTTCCCAAATTTTCCAAAAAAAAAAAAAGCACCATCTGTGGGCAACGCTGCACAAAGTCGTAGCGCGATAGGTTAAGAAACCGAATTTTCCGGTCGATTTAAAGAGCCTGGCGTCTCCTTGTTACACCTTGTAGAGAAATTCAGCATCTCCACTTTGGTGAAAACCAGAGTGGAAAGGCTAAAAATGTTGCCGCCGTCGCTCATAGATAGCGCTAGCTGTCCAGAGTTTGTGTCGACATTCTTTTGGTGATGGACACGGAGGGGAACTATCCTTAACAGCTCCGCTGTAAAAGAAATAAAAGGCATGAATGGCTCTAAAGGCTGGACACTCGTTACACTTAGTCTACAAGCCGACGTCGTAGGCAAATATTTGTATACAAAGCTGCTTCATCTTGGGGTGGCAGAATAAATTTTAGGGGAGGGCCCGCCACCCGTCGCCTCCCCTCGGCGCTGTCCTTGCTTCACAGTAAAAGCACACTCCGGTGATATATCGACACGTTCAGATTAGTACGCCAGGGCCGTAGCTTCCGCCGTACTGGCATGTTATGCGACCGCGGCTTCCTAGCCTATCCAGTATTTCTTGCTACCTGGGAGTGGCAGCCGCCACTCCCAGGCATAGGGAGGCTGGGGAGGCTCTAGTGAGGGTGGGTGCAACTCAAAAGCTGGAGAGCGTTTGCAATTTAAGGGCGGCGCCTGAGAGAGAGGATTCGAGAAAGGATATGCGCCAATGTTGCCTGCACAAGAGCAGACGCCCGCTTTGTTGCAACTCTGTTGCTCCTCTCGCCTCCCACTGCAAGCAACGAACGCCTTGGCGCAGCCTCTCTCGCTTCCTTCTCACTCCGAGAATGGACTTCTTCCAAAACCGACGCGCCCCGTCGCGGCGAAATACCACGCAGTGCACTCTGGGAACTAGTTGGCCACTCAGTTTCGGTTTCGACTGAGCAGCTTCATCTCATGCTATCACGCCGCGACCGAACGCGCTGCTTGCGTTTTCGATTATCTGACTTTTCACGAACGTACAATACACTCATTCTCGGGCGATACAAAACGAAGACCGGGGCACTTTCCTTGGTTCCCGAAACACCGGATATTGTGCGTGCGTATGCGAACGTAGTAAGTCGTGGCTTGGTCACCTCACCCCACGAGTGCATCTTTGAGCTCACTGTCAGTAATCCCGTCTAGTACCAGTAAACTACAACTGAAATTTGTTCGTCTGGATTCTTACACGCATTTTGTTTGCCAGATGTCCGCTTCTCGTTACTTCATTGGGCGAAAAGCAAGCCGCATCCTCACAGGAGTATCAAAGCTGAACCCAGCGTTGACGCATAAACTTTTTAAGAAAACGCAATAAATTCGACCTCACTACTGCACAAAAGTTACTATGATGTCTTCCTCGTGTCATCATATATCTCCCACTAGCATTTTATGTTGATAGAGGATTAACTTTTCACAAACGCTGAGATCGGATAGTTACGACGGAGGCCCTAACAAGCGTCCTCTACTCCTCGCTAAGCCTTTTTGGACGAGCTTTTACTGACGCCCGAGATCTGTGCCGGGAACGGTGTGTCTGAAATTATCTCGGCATACTCAGGCAGGAAGAAAGCAAACACATAACAAATATTATGGCCATCAGCAGCCGTCAAATGCGCTTTGAATTCGTTCGAGCACTTGTCTGAAGAATGTCGCACCGTGCGCCGGACGGGCATGCATGAACCCCAATGCGGTGCGCATAGGGGTTCATGCCCGTCTGACGCACTACCGGCGAATGGTGCGACATTCTTCACACAAGTGCTCGACTTTTGCATTCTTAAAACGGCCTGTATGCGCGAATTTGCCTATATGATTGCAGGATAACTTTATGCGCATACGCGATGTTGAATATTAGTGGAATGCAAGTGGGTGGGGGGGACTTACTTCGTGCAGTGCTGCGGGTCAGTACAGATAAGAGATACGTGTGTTAAAATTGAGCTTTTCAATGGCCCCTCCGAGTTTTACCTCGCGTACTCAGGCACATTAAGAAAAACAGTAATTGCAAAAAGTAATATTTCGCCTATGGATGCACGAAGCAAACTTCCCGGTCAACAACACTAACGTAAAGGCGCGACCTCGATATATGCATACCTATTGGTTGCTACAGCTTGTTGATTCGTACACAAGCAAGATCTCCGAGCACCCGAGCTTCGCAGCGTCGAGATTCCCAGCACTGGCTCGTCCACATACCTCGATTGGAACGCTAACAGGAAGGCTCAAGTACAAAAATACGACAAGCATGTGTTAAGACAAGCTATACGTCTCGGGATTGTGCTAAAGCTTCTAGGTATGACCATTTAGGTTAGTTTAGAGACCACAAATGACGCTCTCGGGACCAGAAAACAAACTCTTGTCGACGTGTCTATCGAAACCGAAACCATGCCACCCTCCTCCCTGGCCAACTAGTTCCCAGAGTGCAACGCGCGCCGTGTTGCATGCAGGGCTTTATGGAAACGTCGAGAGGAGAAAGCAGGGTTGTCAGACAAGCAGCAACGTCCAAGATGGCGGAATTTACCATTTTTCGCGTTAAAAAAATGCTTAACCTATCGAAACAAAACTGGTGGCTATGGAAAAGTAATCTTTTATACCTTGTGTAAATTATTCAAGCACCCCAATGGGTTCTTATGACCTGAGTAAGGAAATAAAACGACCCTTTGCCCCGTAGACTCCCAGCAAAATTTAGCAATTAAATGGCGTCCAAGTCCCGTGATCCTCGATCTAGCAGTTGCACCCACCCTCACTTGAGCCTCTCTACCCAGGCATACCCGATATTTCTTGCTTCAGTCACTAGATTATCACCATAACTAGATAGTGCCAAAACATAAAGCATTGCAGTTTGCTAACTATTGAAAAAAAATACAGCATTGATTTTTTGAAAATGCGCAAATCGGATAGTATAAAAGCTAAGGTTATTGAGGTTAAGAAAGTGTTCTAACGTTTGGCAACTACTACGTCAATTTCGCCACTTCCCGCTGGTTTCAAAAGAACCAAATATTCAGTTGGCAACGCCGCGACAGTAGCAATGGCCGCCCTTGCTCGGAAGGGGCAGTGTAAATACGAGAAATCGAACTGCTTATTCGCGTACCAGGTAATTTAAGGGTAATGAACGATCACCTGGAGCCATTTCAAGTTACATCGGGAAGACATGGGTCCCATTTGTGCCTTCGCAAAGCTCTAGGAGTGAGTGCAGTACCTCTGTAGACGTCGGCGTGCGGAGGTGTGTCAGTGAGGACACCTGTGTATTTCGTAGCGCTGTGTTGGTGTAAGCTTTGACAACTCCGATGCACTGAACGTTTAACAGCGAGATCATGATGGTTCGACAGAGAGATAGGTGAGTGAAAGCCCATTTTTTAATTAATATGAATATCGCGGTCGTATTGATTCTAAAATGGTCGGTGTGTGGCGTGCATGTGTGGGCTTTCCTCCGTCTGGCGTACCCAAATTCACCGACCAATGTTGCCCGCTGACCATAGTTGCCAGACTACCGCTACTGCGGCGGGTGTATGAGGGAAAGGGAGAAGATTTCAAAGAAGAGGGGAAGGAGGCGGAGGAGGAAATGTAAATAGAGGGAGAGAGTGTAAATAGAGGGGGGGGGGAGCGTAGCGCGTTTTCTCCGCCGCCAGCGTGGGGTCGCTGGTGTCGTCGCGCTACCCTCGCCGTCGACGACGCTTGTTTGCGTTGTGCTCGCGCCATCCGTTTTGCCTCCTGCTTTGAGACGCTGGCGTCATTTGCGCGTAATTTGACATCGCCGTAAAAACGTGCTCGCGCCGCGCACGCGGGAATTCGTTTAGATGACCCGTAATAATTACTTCCTTGGTTTATCTGTAGCGATGAAGCGATAGGCTCAAGAATGCACCTGGTTCGGCCGTTGATGGAATTACATTTGCCAACGCGAACAAGCGTCGTCGACGGCGAGGGTAGCGCGCTGGTAGCGTGCAGAGTACGGCTCTGGTAGCGTGACGACACCAGCGACCCGACGCTGGCGGCGGGGAAAACGCGCTACGCTCCCCCGCAGGCCCCCCCCCCCCCCCCTATTTACATCCTCTCTCCCTGTACACGCATTTCCTCCTCCGCCTCCTTCCCCTCTCTTCTTTGAAATCTTCTCCCTTTCCCTCATACACCCGCCGCAGTAGCGGTAGTCTGGCAACTATGGTCAGCGGGCAACATTGGTCGGCGAATTTGGGTACGCCAGACGGAGGAAAGCCCATGTGTGTCTATGTTACGTATGAGGTGTAGACATCGGATGCGGTTGCCAAATCGGTTTATTTCCGATGGAGCTTCCGTTGTAGCCTGGCATTCGTGATGGAGCCTGGTGTTCGTTGGTGTTCGTTTCGAGCGGTTGCGTTACAGTTTATACTGCGGGAAGTTTGTCATCTCCAGTGGGCGTCTGGTGTCTTCGATGCAAATGAGATATTTTGCTAGCGCCACTGCAAGCCTGGGATATTTAGCGTGCGTTCCGCAGCAGTGGTATTCGACCGCACGATGCTGATCCAGTTCGAAACTAGCAAGGGTGGACACTGAACCCAGGATCCGTGCTTGACAGCGTTACGTATTCACTAGACCAGAAACACGGTGTTTACGTCGTTATCAAAGTAGCATGTAGTCGTATAAAAATGCGTTGTATGGTAAATTTCGCTGCAGATGAAACGCAGTCTGATAGAAGTAGCTGAGATTTGGCAAACGTTTGGTGAAGTGTGGGTGAGTTGTTGTTTTGTTGACTTCCCAATCGCTTGCTTTCACAACTCTACAGGGTGTGTCTAACAAAAAATAAACAGTCTTTTTTTCTTTTTTCTCCGCAAACATAATTTACGGATTGTCGAGCACTCCTTCTCCTCCCAAACGTAGAGCTAGTGGTCCTGACTGGGTGCCAAAGCTTCAGACCTTGCCATTACCCGATTCAAACGATATAAGCGATTCTCGGAAATTTTATATGAGAAAGGTGGGGTCCGTTCCGGATAGTCGACGCCATTCATCCCTATGTAGTTGTGGACTTCTCCAGCCCCCATTTTCTCCTTAAAAATTTCCGAAAATAGCTTATAAAGTTTGTATTAGGCGACGGCGAGCACCTGATCAGACACTTTTGGTGTCTGATTAGGAGCTTGCCGTCACCTAATACAAAATGTGACGCTAGAGATCCGGATCTCTAGCAATACATTTTGGCAAATGCTAAGCGTTTGGCTATATGTAAAATAATTTCTCTGGTAAAAAAAAAAAAAAAAAAAAAATCAATTAATGAAATAGATATTGAGTTAGTGAGCCTAGATTTGAGAGTTTCCAAATGTTTGATTGGGGCCATGTAGTTTTAGGGCTGCGTTTTACAATATAAGGTGCGAGGAGGAGTCAAAAGTGTCTGAATGTCTGCAGGAGTCTCTCAAGTTTCGCACCGCTATCCTGTCCGCCGTGTGACGGCCCCCGCTTGCGTGCATGTACCTAACCTGCCCAGTAGGTGTTCGCCATTAAATTGCAAGAGCTGTCCACGGTCCCAGTTGCTTCCTTCAAAATCTAGGCTCTCTACCCCTGGTATTCTCTGTTCACGCCAACAGCGCCGTGGAAGGTGCATGCTCATTGGACCAGTCGCACGTCTCTTTTGGCATGTGATCACGCTCCTGCCCCTATCCACAGCAGACCGCTCAGTCGGGTGAAGAAAGCAAAGTGGTTTATTCATCTGGCAAGCGCTTAGCCTCCATCGCACTGTCAACTTAGGAGTGACCAGCTGTCTCGATCTCACTTGTTTGTTCTCTGGTAACTCCCGACTTCCTTAGGATGTACTCCGAGTGGCTGGTGCTTCCCGTGACCGAGGATGCTCGTGAGCGCTGCACGAGCGTGCTCCAGAAGTTTCCCTGCGCCGCGGGGAGGAACGTGGTGACGGCTGTACTCCACTCCCTGGCCTCCAACTTGGGCATCAGCAGTGCAAAGTGCGAGCCGAGCACCCTGGTGTCTGACATCGAGGTCAACTGGTGCATGGAGGTACCGTAGCCATCCCTATAACTGGAATTTGGGTGAACCGTAGTTGGGGACAGGTTAAGGGTTTGGGGGAAGCTCCTCCCACCTGTTTATACTTTAGCTGAGCGAACACTTAAAAGGGGGCAACCGTGTCTCTAGTGTTCACTTCGCTTAAGTGAAAGGACGTTTAGCCGAGCACCTTGAACTCTTTACCTCTCACCAACTATATTCTGTTTCACAATAGTGTGGCGAACTGAAGGAGGCTGTGGCCCTTCTTGACCCAAAATGAGTGTCGGAGCAAGGCACGTGACAACACTTCATGGTTGAAGCTGCAGAGGCCTCGTTACTGCCACGACAACAGCGCTGTCCGCGGCAAAACATGGTTCTAGGCTTCTTTTCCTTTTAACGGCATTTGGACTCGTGCAGTTTTGTCTCTATCATGAATACTGTAAAACCCTTAATGTTCGCGAGCCCTCAGTTTTCGCGAATTTTACGAACTGAAGAATTCGCAAAATTTAAGGGCGCGCGAAAATTTTGGTTTTTAAGATTTTCAATGCAGGCGTCTGGAATTCACGAAATTTAGTGGTCGCGACTGCGTCATCTGTGATCGATTCGCGAAAAATAGGGGCCGCGAAAATAAAGGGTTTTACAGTATGTAAAAAATGAGGAGTCAATATTCACAAATTTATTTGTTTCAGTAATATGTAAACCAAGAAATGACACCACATCCATATCCCCTCCCAATTTTTTTCTTCTTGTGGCACCATGGACATTGGCAATCACAGTCATGTAATCAACCGCTTCCGCTTAAGGCATCGTCATGCATTAGCACCTGCCACAGATTTGCGGTTAAATTGATCGTATGCTTGTCTCATGAACCTTTCCCAAAGAACTTGCTACCTTAGTGACGACAGTGTTGCGGCGGTGGACGTTCACCCGAGGTTGGTTGGTTTCGTGACGACTCTTGGCCTGCAGACGAAAGCGGGTTCCTTCGGGCCTCGCATTTGGCGCAGTGACACGCGCTTCCGTGATGGGGGGTCACATGGCTCGCTCCGATGCTCTTATTGGGTCGTGGGGGTTGTAGTCTCCACGGTTCGCCAAGTTATTGTGATACGGAGTGCTTAGAAGATCTTAAAAGGTGCAATGATTTGTGGTCTTTGGGCAGTTAATTGCAGGAACTGGCCTATGTCGCCTACAAAACGAGAGCACAAAACCGTTTTTTGTTGCATGTGCTAGTTTTTATAAAAGCTAGAACAAAGAAAGAAATGAAGCAAATAGATCAATCTAACCAGCTTGTTTCGTTAAACTGCTGTTGCTTGCATGGATTGTGTGAACTCCAATCTTTCTGCACGCGCGGCAACCGTGCTGGAGTTCTGCGCGAGCTGAGCATGAGACGGTACAAGCCATCTCTTGCGCTTGCCCCTGTCTCCTGTGAAGTACAGTTATGGCGGCGTCATGCATGCGAAGAACGCTTAGTGAGACCGGTCTGGTGAAGGTTGGGACAGTCCTCAGCTCACACCGTTTTTCGAGTGACGTGCTCAATGATGTCAATGGAAGTACCACCTTTGGTTGTCTTCAGGGCCTCCTGCCCTACCTCCATGGTTGTCGACTTTTGAAGGTCTGATTCGGTTACAACCGAGCACTGTACCCGCTCAGCACCATTGAAGATCACGGCAAGCAAGCGAGGCAAAAGGCGGGTAGAGTAGTGGTGGAGAGGAAATGGTTTCGTTGACCTCCAATAGAGGGCGCCTCGAAAACTTGTGCACTCCCTATAACGTGCCACTAGTGTGGCAAAGAAAGAAAAATTGTTTTTTTCTTTGAGATTACGCAGCGGAATCGTGGTAGTTCGGAGGAAGGTGGCATGTTTCCTCTCGTTTTTTGTTTTTTGAAACTAAAATCGTTGCAATGCACCTTTCAGTACAAAACGTTCCCACTTCCTGCGCAGGTGATCTGCTTTGGCCTCCAGCTTCCGCTGTCGGAGCACGAGGCCATCAGGGACTGTGTGCACGTGTACTGCGAGTGGATGCAGGCCCTGACCCAGCCCAAGGCGTGCGTCCCCAGGCCCGTCCAGGAGGATGCCAACCAGTACGTCCGCAGGATGCTGCGACACCTCTACAATCTGTTCGTGCCTCGTGAAGACTGCCGTGAGTCAATCGCTTGGCGCGCTACGGCTTTGACCGTTTTTGTGCTACAAAGCACCAGTCAGTCAGTAAACCAATCAATCAGTCAGTCGTTTGAGCTGTGAGTTGAGCCCTTTCCATCGGTACTGGCTGTGTCAGGATGTACATGAAATACTGTGTTTTAAAAGAACCTGGAAATGTTCTTTTCATTTTGTCTAATTAGGACTCTGAATAGAAGACCTCACATTCATAGAGCAGCAGATAGGCATTTATGCGGCTTGCTCTTACATTTTTGTCTTCTGCTACACTTTTTAATGTGAAAACATTAATTGACCCATGGAGCGAAGCCAGTGTTGTCTGTAACCGTGAAAAACAGCACCGAAATTCCATCTGCAGCAGCGAAAAACGGCAGCATTCGCGCATCGCAGCATTGGCTGCGACGTGTCATAGTTCCAAGAAACGCCACCCCACGGAGAAGCCCTCTCCTGGCGCTGTGGCCTGCGCGCCAATAAAAGGAAAAGGGTGGCGTGTGCGTGGCTGCTGCTCTGTCCCCCCCCTTGGATCATGTGTCAGAGGTGTCCAGAAGGGGGGGGAGTGGAGAGTGGAGTTGGAAATTCCCGCTTCCTTTCCTTGTGCACTACTGTATTACGTATTCTACACTCTGCTTTCAGCCATGTCGCGCCGCCCGGCCGGCCTCTGCGGAGGACAGCAGGAATGCACTGCAATGCTTGTAGGAATGCACTCCGCGTAGGAATACTATTGCATTCCTACATGTAAGCAGTCTTAAGTGTCCTGTAATTTTTTTCTTCCTATTGTACAAACTTGTTTCCAAAACAAAGAAAGAAAGAGTACCTCTTGGCGATGGATGGCCTGCTTGGCTTGCCTCACAAGAGGTTGAACGCAGGGTGATATAAGCCTGAAAAGTACCAAAACATAAAAAAAGAAAGCAGTTTCAGCATAAAAAATACCAAGCCTAGGAAAAACAATTTATTTACCTCGTTAGGGCAGGCACGTCTCAAAATAAATGTTTGTTGAAGAAAAACAATTTTTGGCTCAATATTTAGGTTACAATAGGAATACAGTCTAAGCTCATTACAACAGACCTGGTTACAACAGACATTTGGATATAACATACTGATTTGTGAAGTTTGGTTGGTTTTCCTCTACATACCATTGACTCAACTTCATATCTGCATACAACACAGTACCCTTACAACAGACTGAAATCTTGGTCAAAATCAAGGTCTGTTTTAATGATCTTAGACTGTATTTTGATTTGTGAGTGAAACCGAAATTGTACCCTTCTGGGATGGTGATGATAGCATTTGTAGTCAAATAGTGTGCATTCTGTGCAGGCATGGGCAAAATACATGCAAATATGTATCGAAATACAAATACAAAATACTTCATCAAAAATGTATTTAATTACAAATCTAATTACATTTCCAAAAAAGCATTTAAGTACAAGTTACAAATACAACCAAATGTATTTGGTCTCCTCCAAATACTTTTCCAAATACATTCCTAAAAATTTTGCATTGCACATTCGGGAGTTTGTGTGCGAGGCTCTAGTAACGTAATAGAAATATAATCACAAAAAAAAAAATGTAATCAGCTTGAACGTAATAGGTGAAAAAAGTACAGAGCCTCAAGCAGCTTTTTTTGTCGATTACATTTTGGTATAGACCAACAAAAAACTGAGACGACCAAGACGCGCAGCACTAGCTAGAGAATTGTTTATTGTTGCAACTCGCACCAGTTACGAAAATCTAAACGACCCGCGCATTTAGAATGTTCCAGGCAAAAATATGGATGGAAATCAGGCTGGAAAGCATCACAAGTTGTCACAGGCACACATTTAGCCAGTCTGCCTGTGAACGTCGATTTCCTCACCATTCTTGCCCTGGACTAGCACCGTAATCACAAAGTCACTAAACGCTTGTGCTTGATTGAGATACGCTGCTTTCGGTGCAAAACGTAGTTTTCTTCCTGCTCTGGACAGTGACAATAAATTTGAGGCATGTATTTTCGCCCACAAAATTGTATGTAATTATAATTGTATTTGAAATACCCTCGTTTTAGTATTTAAATACACACGTCAAATACATCACACAATTTGTAATTAAATACAAATGCAGAATACACAAAGTATTTGAAATATGTATTTCAAATACTTGTAATTGAAATACTGCCCATCCCTGATTCTGAGGTACAGCGAACTCAGAGTGCACACTACGGTAGTTGGTTGCAAATGCTATCATCATCATCCCACAGGGATACAATTTCGGTTTTGCCTGCAAATCTAAAACTTTGTATTGTAACATAAATATTAGGCAAAAAGTGTTTTTTATTCGACAAACATTTATTTTGAGACATGCCTGTCCTAACCAGGCAGAAAAAAACTTTTTTTTTCTAGGCTCAGTGTTTTTTTTAAAGGGAAGTTGAAGAGGTCCTTGAATTCAAACAAACCGTAAAAGTTGTAATGTAGGCTTCTTAAAAATTATGTGTCTTAGTTTTATTTCGATATTATTAGTAGGAGCATCGTAATAGCCATTTAAACCTTCGGCATATATCCGCCCGTTGTGGTGCGCCGACAGTAGGAAAGCGCGAGAGCGGAGAGTTAGATGTCCCTTGCTCACCACTAAGCTGGCTTGGGGATGCCATCAATTACGTTGCTACCTCCGGACAGATAACAGGCGGCAGAGAGGATCACCGCATGCCCGGTGGCAAACACTGGACGAATTTGTGAAAATAAACGCTGTTTACATTTCCTTCTGCCCAAAATAAGTGTGATAACTGAATTCACAAGACAAAAATTCTAGAAATCCACACCTAACTCAGATTTCTTGAAGAGTGCTTCAGCTTCTCTTTAAGCCCAGTTTCAGAACCAGGTGTAAATCTCAGGTATGCCTGTTGCCAGAAACAGTTTGTTTTTGCATTGACATTCCACTCATAACACTTGCTCTACTCTAAGCATATCTGCCTGATGCAGCTTGGCTGGGGTAGGCATTCTTGATTGCACATAACGTTTCCAAGAGTTGCGGTAGAATTATTGTAAGACAAGCACGTAAACAGTGCTTTGCATTCCTTTGCAGAGAATGACAACATGATCAGTCGTCAGGCCGTGCTGTGTCATCACGTTCTCAGACGACTTCAGTCAGTTGCTCAAGACTCTACAACCATTGAGAAAGAGACCTGGGACGAGATCCTCCTCTTCCTATTGGCTGTCAATGATGTCCTCCTGGCTCCACCCTCCAGAAAAGGTGCCAGTTTTTGTCTGATCCAACAGAGCAAAAAGCTATATGAATGGGATTGCCCGCTCAATAGTAATGCAGCATCTTAAAAGGTGCCATGCTGAAGAGGCATGGAGTGTTTCTGAAAACTACCAATATCAATCTATTGTTGCCAGTTAATCCCTTCGTCCTGAAAGTTACACTGGAACTGGCGTATAATGACCCTACACTTGTGGAAATAAACTGTTGTAATAGGAACCCGCTACTGTAGAGAAACCATCAAATTTCCAGTGGGGCTAGTTACTGTACTGTAAATGATAGTTTTTTTGTAACAAACTACTGATCCAACTAACTTCTGACATAAGAAACAACTGTTGTAATAGGCTAGTAATAGAACAAACTAACTACTGATATAACAAATGGCTCATAGGACAAAGTGACATAACGAACGATAACAAACTCGTGATGTAACAAACTACTGTGTAATGAACTGCTAATGTAACAAACTACTGATGTGGCACACTACTGATGTGACAAACTACTGATGTAGCAAACTTCTAATGTAATAAACTACAGTTGTAACAAGCTACTGATGTAAAGAACTACTGATGTGCTACCAACAAGCTGCTGATGGAACTAACTACTTTTGCTGGTGTAACAAACTGCTGATGTGTCAAGCACATTTCTGAAAACTGGGAAGTTTGGTTCAAAATAGTCAAACCATGCCATTAAAACGGCTGTAGGACCGTTCGTCGAATGACAATTCGTCACATGTCAACTGATAGCAGGGCTATTCGTCATTTAGGGCAATTCTTCATAGGGCAGTTCGTCACCGACAATTCGTCAAACTATTAACAGATATTTCTTATTTTTGTAACATTCCTGGTGTTTATCAATCATAGTTCTTCCAAGTGAGTACAATTACCAGCAACCCCCTTCCTTGATTTTATTATTTTTTTCTCGACACGAAAAGTTAGACTTCTACTAGTATCTAATAGATGCTGACTAATTATATCTTGTCCACCACAATCTTGGCACTTCTCTCAGTCGCTAATGAAAAAAATGGATGTGACGAATTTCCCCACTACGAGTTGCCCTATTGCAAATTGTTTTTTGATGAATGGCCCGTATCCCTCCCCCTTGAGACAATCCTAGTTTAGCTTATTTCGGACGTGTGGGCACAAAGTGTGAAACCAAGACGGAACGGTCCCCGCGAGGTAGAGACACATCGGCGCGCCTTGCGGAGACCACTTTGCCGAGTCTCCGAGGCTTCCTCGGTGCAGACGACATGGGCAGCCACCTGTGCGAGCGAATCCTGACTGCACTGTTCGAGGTTTGGCTACTGGCCTGCCACCGCTGCTTCCCCTCGCCCAACCTGTGGAAGACCCTGCGGGAGTTGTGTTGCACCTGGCGGCACCGGGGCGCCCTGGTGGAGCAGTGGAACAGGGTCAACCTGCTCCTCACTGCCCGCATGCTCAGGCTCATGTACGGCCACCATTATCCGGACCTCAAGCTGGGTGAGCATCCGGCATGTCGGTCGCTTCTTTTCCTTCTTTGGCAAGCAAGACGTTGGTGTGCTGGAAATAGGGTGTCATCCTATTTTCAGGTTTTTGGTACGGAGCTTTGGACTGGTGGGATGAAAACTGTAGTGAATCTTTTTCGAATGCTCGTTGCCTTTCGCCGTGCATTAGTTGCATGCTTGAGGATCACGAGATGCTGAAGTGTTAAAGGGGGACAAAAACCTAAGTTTCAAAATTTTTTGAAAAAATTAATTTTTCAATTTTAAGGTTTTTGGTTTTAGAAACTAATTATACACCCTTACACTAAATTTCATAACCGTGCGCCTAATAGTTACATTGATATAAAATATTTTCAACACATTGTGAGGCACTAACAAAGTAAAGGAGTTCAATGTGTGAATGCATTTTTTTCAGTTCCAATTTTGCTGCAAATTTCATACGAAGGAATCTTTTGTTTGAAGATAAAATCATTCTGATACCACAATCAAGATGTTTCTGAACTAAAATTTACTGGGGGAATCGGGCTATCTACTTCATTTTGTTTTAAGTTAAAGTCTTCATTGAGAAAAGGCAATGTTTTCAAAAATTGACATAGGACAGTTATACATCTCATATTTCGAGGTAATCACTCTTCCTGAAATATTTACATTTGAGTTATAAAAAGTAGATAGCCTGAAGTCCCACATCCTTCACTTTATATTCAAACAGTTAAAATGATGCTTAATAGCTTCAATGCATACCATAGATTTCTTAACGAAGAGTGACACATCTTCTTATGCAGGTATGTAGAGTTGTCCTAGAGAGCTGAAAGTTTCCATAGTGCATCTTCATCTGAAGTTAAATTTCCCCCGCAAATTTCATTCCGATCGCTCAAGTAGTTCAGAAGTTCAACCTTTATCCAGTGTCCTCCCTTAACGTAGGTGAGCAACTTGTGCTGGAGGCGGGACAACTGAAAGATATCCCTGCCGTTTTCGTCCTGTGACCGACTCTAGGCACTCGATTTGTGCAGAAAAGTATAAGAACCCCAGCTCTAATGCTTTCTCGGAGCTACCTTCTGAGGCTATTCCTCGAGGCAACTTCCCGTAGCTACTCCCGAGGCTGCTGCCTGTTCTTTGACCGGTCCTGTCCCTAGCGTGTCCCTTGAACTTCCTGATTTGCCCGTCTGCTCGGTTCGCTGCACTCCGGACCGACTTTTTTTCCGCTTTCCCTTGTGGCACGCCCTCCAGAGGAGGATGCCCAGGTACTTCCAGCGGAGATGACCGGGGAGCAGGTGGCGCAGGCCTGGTACCGCTTCCTTCAGCTGCTGGGGGACCCGGTGGACCTCTGCCGCCCAGAGCTCATCAGCCAGACGCCGGGCTTCTACAGCCTGCTGGAGACTGCGGACACCGTCGTGGACCCCTTTCAGAACCCCTGCCTGTCTGCGCTGCCCCACATATTCCAGAGGGCCATGGCGGGGCTGGCCACTCTGGTGGACGCTTTCCTCGGTGAGGGGGGTTGGGGGTGGCACATAGAAAATCTGATGGCACCCGGGAACCGAAGGCTGAAAGCCCAATCGTACGGCGTCGTTTTCTTGCATTACGGGAGCTCGCATGTGCTGACTTTGAGTTAGGAACGCGAGTCACGGGGACATCCGTGTTTAACCGTGGAAACCAATTCACGGAGCAGCTTTGCGTGTGATGTGGGAAGCACGGGTGTCCGGGCGGCTTGCATTCAAACCACAATGTAAGAGAATGAAAGAAAAATTTGTTATGTGAAAGGGCCTTAAGAGGAGGTGCTCACGATACATGACATGGGTCGGCTTGAATATGCGGTTTTCAAATGTCATAAAAGAAAGGGGAAACATATTCCTTTTCCTTGTTCAGAACTCTCTTTGTATTAAAGGCCTCCAAGTTGAACCAGCACCTGTCTTGTCATGTGTGTGCATTTGCTTAGCTTTCGTTATTGAGCTTTCGTCACGCTTCACGAATACCAACTGGCCCAAGATAAAGACGGGCACGAAAAGAAGCATGAAAATAAACAGAAAAGCCATCTGTCGGTCACCCCACTCTTTTTCATTTTTCCGTTTCTTCCGATTAAAGGGCAACTCCGCTCAATTCCGAAAAATTTAGGCTTACATGTGATTCCATTTCACAAAGCACTACTAAACAGCTCTACGTCCTCAAATTCGTGAAATGTGGAATATTATTTGTGTAATCTTAATTTAAATATCAGCTGATACCGAAACCGAAACTTCGGTTGCGTCAGACAACATTGATCTCGTGTCGTCAGAGTCATGGCCACGTAAGTCGAACCACGCGGTCTTGTGATGTTTTGTGGGGGCAAGGTACAGAACATGCAACGTGGGCAGGTCGCTTCGCATAGCGTGGACGGTGATGGCCCGGGGGAGAGGGGGAGGGGGAGAAGACGAAAGAGGAGAAGGGGAGCGGAGAAACAGACCAATAAGCGCGGAGGGCAGCGCAAACTAGCGCATCCGCGTTACGGTGATCACGTGGACGCCGTTCAGCCAACACCGGTAAGAGAAACTCATGACGTCATCATTCAGTTTCGCTCTGAGAAGTAAAAACAAACATAACGTGAGAATGACGTAGTCATGCCTCTGACCTAGTGGCTCAACGTTGGCTGCTCCAAATCCGTCACATTGACTTCGCTGACGATTGCGCCTCACGTCGCACGCTGGAGTTGGCAGATTTCGGCGACTTGGTTGATTTGAAAGTTTGCTGGCCAGTTTATTAAATATATAGACGGAATGAGACAGTAATATTTGACATGGGGTCTTCCTATATGATACTGAAGAGGGCTACATAGTTTTCTAAATATCAAAAATTAAGCGGAGTTGCCCTTTAACGCCGTTTCCCTTCGTCCGTGTTGTGGCGTCTGCAAGAACGAATTACACGAGGCTTCTTTTTGAAACGAAGCACGAAATCTATGGCACACAAAAAAATGAAACGTGTTTCGCTGCGATAATGCTTAAAAACAGAAGCTGCTGCCTGTTGTGTCTCTCAAGGAAGCCGACGTTATCCGAGAAACTCCCAGAGAGAATGTGCCCTCTGTCTGTGGTTCAATAGTTGTTGAGAGCCTAGGAAATGTGGGGCATGGCTTGTCATGTTCACGCATCTTGCTTTTCGGTTCAATCTTGGGCCTACATGTCAGCCAGTGCCGCAGTCTCATTGGCTGAGAAGCAACGGTGAGATACGTGGGACTCGCCATGCCTTGCGTTAGTGACTATCATGGGTTTCTTTGATAGAAGTTGCGAGCTTTTTGGGGCGAGTTAAGGACGTCATGTGGTAATGCTGTGTGGCCAACCGCTTTTGGTTTGCGTTGACCCAGAGATGAAATCCCATCTCGCGGTCTGCCGTTGTGCTTGTGGCAGGAATCAGCCACGTGGCCATTGAAGACGATCACCAGAAGTCCTTCTCGTCTCACTCGAGCGCGTCGTCCGTGTCGGGGGCGTCGCAGACCAGCTCCGGTCTGACGACGACCACTCCGCCGCACCAGCGGAGGGGACCGAACCGCATCACTGCCATTCCCAACTTCAAAGGTAAGCGAACACGATCCACTCCGGAAAGGAACCAAGGATTGCAGGTCATCGACATGGCATTATAGAAACTCTGGTGTTATTTTATGATTGAAACAGACCGCGAAGGAAATACCACGTGTCTTAGACAAACTACTTACTGTTCGGGAAACTTTAGGTGGTCTTGTGACGACGTGATGCCACATGACTTAGCAGTCGCACGACGTCATGTGACTTGACGTCAGGGTGTCGCGTGACATGCTGATGTCAAGGTTATATATAATATATAGACCTAATGGGGCTATACTGCTTATATTTTTGTGGACAAGAAAGAATTGACAAGCGTAAACTGAAAATAAAGGTTTAATCAACGAACTTGTGCCAAAAACGAAAAAAAGAATGAGCGTCGAGGTGTCGGCATGACGGCTGGCTAGTGCAAGAGTAAGTTGGTAAGGCCACGCTGGGCTCTTTGTTTAATACACTTGGTATCTCGAACATTTGGCCTAGAATGTTCGAGCGTCGATCTACGGCGAGACTTACTCGGCAAAGCCATGTTGGCCTCCTTATCTACCTTAAAATACCGAGTGTCTGCCGATACTACCCTAAGCGCCCATCCCTAAATGTTGTAACATCTGAAAAAAAATATGCGCAGTACTAAAAATGGTGACCTATCAAGAGCCCATCCCCCATTTTTTTGCAATTATCTCAAAATTTTGAGTGGGTGCTTGGTCGGTACTTTACGGTATTACACTCTGTATCTCGAACATTTGGCCTAGAATGTTCGAGCATCAAATTTTTGGGGTAACAGTTAACGTGTAGTATTTTTTAGAAGTATGGAGTACGTAGTGTTGCCTCTCGGCCATGCATGCAGCAATATGACCTAGACCTGTTCGTCGGTCAAGCATAACTCGTCGCTTTTTCTTATGAAACCCACTCCCATAAAATCTTTTCTGCTAGATTTAGTGGGGAAATTTTTCCGCTAGATTTAGCGGGGAAATTTTTCCGCTAGATTTAGCGGGGAAATTTTTCCGCTATTTAGCGGGGAAATTTTTTCCGCTAGATTTAGTGCGATAATTTTTCCGCTATATATAGCTGGGAAATTGTTTCCGCTAGATTTAGCGGGGCAAATTTTCCGCTAGATCTAGCGGGGAAACTTTCTCGCTAGATTTTGCGGGGAAATTTTCCCGCTAGATTTAGCGGGGAAATTTTCCCGCTAGATTTAGTGGGGAAATTTACCCATAATGCACCGCGCGGTTACGCCGACGGCGACGGCGCTCAAGCCGGAAACTGGCGCCTAAGAGCTGCGTTCTAAAAATACCTCAGATCTACTCGACTGCGTCTAACAGGCATGTCCAAGCCCGGGGTGTTCAACCGCTCTGCCACGTCTTCGGGCGGTGCGCCGGTTGTTGTCGCCGGCGCATCCGCGCTGGCGGCGGTGCAGTCGGTGCTACCGCCTTCGACCCAGCCAGCGACGCCATCGCCCTTGCAAGTCCGCTCGTCGCCGGCGTCGATGCGTCCGCGCTGCAACTCGATCCTGCACCTCTACGGGTCCTGGCTGTTTGAGGCGGCGCTGGTGGGCTCGGAGCTGGACACCCAGCACACTCCGTCACAGTCTCAGGGCGACGGTGAGTCCTTGGCGTGTTGTTTCTTAAATACTATAGTTGTTGGGGGAGAGCGTTGGTAAGGATGTAACTTTAGAAAGAGCTTTATGCATAAAGACAGTGGATGGAAGGACACATCTTTCAACTTTCAACACACAGATGATTTACTGCCAGCACGCATCGTCTTGGGAGACTCACTAGAGGAGAGGGAAAGTTGGAAGTAAGGGGAAGGGGAAGAAGGGGGGCGGCAGAGGGCCTAACCAGATAGGTTAGGCCCTTTGCTGCTTCTTCCCTTTCTGAGAGTAACGGCCAGCAGGTCGTGCGGGTATCCGGTGTCTATAAATATGCATGACAGTCTATTTGTTTCAGGCAAAGCAAGAAGGAAAGCGAATTAGACGCTCACATTTAGACAACATAATGTTGTTCTAACTCTGAGAGGTGGCAACAGCAGTTAGTACTACTGCTAGCCGGGGGTACCTGATTAGCTCCACACTGTAGTGACACATGCACGAATGCAAATGCATGTCAGTATGATGCGCATCCAGATCAAAAGGGGTGAGGATCAACCCTAGGATCTCTGGGTTCTTCGAAGCAAGCTTTTGCTCCACGCCCTGCAAGGTGTGGAGCGCTGGCACACTTTGCATATAGATATCAAGGTCGGGTTGCATGCTATCTGGTTAGGCCCTCGAACGAATTCGGAAAGGTTTATCATTCCTCGATATCACCTGCTGCAGTTCAGTAAAAACGTAGGGGTCTACTGCGGTCAGACGATTGCATATAAAGGATTCAGTTGTACTGCCACTTAACCAGTGATCTGAACATAAATGGCAAGGATTTAATCACCAGACTTATGTCTAGAGCAGAGAAGTGGGCGCATCACGATTTGGTGCTGCCAGCTCCGTTGCCATGCCGGCCTCCGTCGTACGCGGCATCTTTTTGCACGTGTTACGGATTCTAGTCAGTCGGCTCCGAATGCTATGGTCTCGCTGTCCTCGGCATCTTGTCTCGGCCGCGACGGCTGGACGCCACAACCTCACTGTACTCGATATCTTGTTGCAGCCGTAACGGTTTTTGGCCTGTCAGTTCTGAACGGTACGGTCTCTTGGTCGTTGGATCCCAGGCAGTGCCGAGAGCAGCGTCCACTCCCGCTCAAGCTCGGTGCTCGACTCCGGGGGCAGCGGCCGTGGAGGAGCGCAGTCGAGCTTGCCTGGCGTGCCAGAGTGGATCGAGGTCCCGCCGTGCCTCAGTGCGGAGAGCTTCGAGGCCGGGCAGGCCGAGGCAGTGGGTGCCCTCTGCCGCCTGTTCTGCGCCAAGCGCACGGGCGAGGAGGTCCTTCCGGTGTACTTCTCCCGCTTCTACCTGGCGCTGCGCCACAGCCTCAGCAACATTGAGGTGACGTGACGCCTGCTCTTTAAAAGCGACGGTTGCATGGGGGAACCCTGCACAGACCTTCCTTGCCCGCATTGGTTGTGCCCTAGCTAGCAAAGAGAGTATCAGCAGCAGAGTGCAGCTCTGTTGCTGACACTCTTTTAAAGTGGGCTGGACATAGTCCAGAGTTTTCCCCAGAAATTTCTGAGATGTGGACATTTGTCAATTTCCAGGGTGTTCGGGGGAGAATTGCTGAGAGTTTTGAGGCTCTCGGTACTTTCTCTGACGCACAGTAGTGATCTTGTTTGCAGGTATTATACAGTTCTGTTGCATAGTGCCACGTGAGTCTGCCTAAGGTGCCACTCTAGGGCGTTGTGCTTTTTGAAGATCGGCTTCATCTTGTCCAGTGGAGGCAGAATAGAGAGGTGGGCTGGACGTAGCAGGGGCGGGCTTTTAGCCAGACTGGTGGGCGGGAAAACCACTGCCACACACTGTGGGGAGAACCCTGGGTTTGACACTCACCCATGGCTGACCATGGCCTCCGAGATCCTGAAGCGAGCGAACGGCACGAACGCTTCTCTGGCCGTCCCATTCGTGTGGAAAGGGTGTATGCGGAAGAAGAGGAGGCGCTCTCAACCCAGGCATAGAATTAGCCGTTTCAATGGTTTCAGCATGACAGAAGGGAGACGATTCAAAGAAAAAGTTGTGTTACGTCGAGTTTCTGCAGCTTCTACTTATAGATTTTTTTGTCTTGTGGTAGAACAGTGAAAAGATGCTTTGGGGAAGGAGATAGGGAAGTTGTGATGCTTATTTAATTTGAAATATTCATCTGGACATGTGGCAGCTAGTGCTACAAGCACGCCTTTTGATATATTTAACTGCAATCTGTAGTGCATAAAAAGCCCTAGAAAAAATTTAGCTCCGCACGTAACGAATTCGGATTTCCCGAAATAAAAATAATCATGCTGTACTTCTTTTTTTTTTAATCTTCGCACATTGTTTGACATAGCTTATTGAGCTTGAGCACGAGATTTGATACTATCAAAGTGCAGTCCTCGTGTTGTCCTTCTTTTTATATATTTTTTTATTACTTATTGCACAATTTATGGGGGTCATATTGCAGCGTTTGCTTCTACTAGAAGCACCTTGAACCTGGCGTCACACTGCTTATACATCAAACAAAAGACAGTCTGCAGATATCAGTCACCACGATATCCGTGGTTCAAATGCTGCATGCCAAGTGTCTCCAACCCCTTGCCATGCGGCATTCAAAGCGCAGATCTCGTGGTGACTCGCATTCGAATCTGTTTGCAGACTGTCTTTTGTATGTTGTGCAAGCAGTGTGACCCGGCTTTAAAGTGATACTTTAACGAAATTTGAAATATACCCGTGGGGTTCAAAAATAGGTTGAATATGATCCACAATATCCGTAAATGACGATCACGTGTTTGTATTTTGAGCCTGGTGGATGTATTTTTGGTTATAAACGGCCCACTCTGGCAAGCGCTCGGAGAGCAGCCAGCGGAGAGCACGCGACATCCAACGCAATCGTGACGCAAAGCTGCGGCAAGGCCACGGGCGAGGCTCATGTCGAGGGGATAGCCCAGTCGTTCCAGCCACCGAAGCGGCTGCTTTTGTATGAATTTATAGTGACAGGTTAATCTTCTGTAATCTTGTAGGGGGACAATAGCGACTTCTGCGACACACAAAAGGCATTTTCGGGAAGAGGGGAGTTCCTCCTGCCCCTCTTCTCTCGTCGTGGCCGGAGGCGAGACAACCTCCGTCACTAGCTGTTAAGGTTCCTAGACGGGCATTACAAACGAGGCGTTAGCAACATCCACCAGGTGCTCTTTGCTAATTGTTTAATTCGTTTTAAAATTCCTTTTCGTGTCTTTGTTAACACGATATTGGTGTGTCCGATTGATACTGCTCCTTTGAACAGATATAGTCAAAAAATAAGCGCCGAAATTTTGTTGTAGTATCCCTTTAAGGAAAAAATTATGGCGGTGAAATACGACCACCTCGCAATGAATTTGCCGTTTTATTTTTATAAACTTTGTGATAATTGTAGGTATTGAATCAAAAGGTGGGGCGTTATCTAGTAAACATCTGGTTTTTGGCACATGAAGCACAAACCGCCGCATCCCGTTATGCACCTTGTGATGTAACTTAATTGATATGCAAACAGACAATGGGACCTCAAGAAAAATAACTCTGGTTTATTAATAAATTTCAACCTCATTGCAGCCTGGTTTATTCGGTATTCAAACTTCCAACCTGCTTTATTTACAGATGCCAAGCATTGAATTTTTAGATTAGACGTGAAGTACTTTGCGACGCAGTGCCTTCGAGCAGTTTCTTCCGATACGCAGCTCTGCCTGTCTGTCATAGTCATGCCTATGTTGACCAGGAATGGCCATTCAAACTTCTCTATTACAATTCTAGAATTTTTTGTCTCATGGTCGTCTCTTGTAGTGCAAATTAAACTCCAGATAAAATTAAACTTCGTTCAGGAAAAAAAAAATAATATTTTCTTGAATAAAAACAGCCATAATGTACTTTTTTTTATATTTTCGCATATTGTTTGACATAGCTTTTCGATCTTGAGTACAAGCTTTAATACTACAAATGTGCAATCCTTGTGAGATCCTTCTTTTTGTATTTTGTTATTTATTATGTAAATTATGCAAATCATAATGTTGTTTGCTTGTACTCTAAGCATGTTTAGGGCAAAAATTATGACGGTAAGATACGACCCATATTGTGGATGCGCGCACTTGTACGTATGTGCCGGCGAGGGTATGCGTTGTGTAGTCACGTATGTGTGCATGTTCATGGAGAGAGGCGATAGTATGACGGCGGCGCAGCCGGTGACGAAAAAAAATGCCGCGTTGCTCGTGCTCTGGAAGTGCATTCGCTGCACGCACACTGAACAGTACGAAAGCATATACATGCACACACACATGCTTCAGCATCTGTTTCTCCCCCAATGTGGTTTCTCTCCCAATGCCCCAAACATGCTACCAAAAAACATGCTGCTAAAAAATAAAGAAAAAGTGCTTTGTAGACTTGAATGCAAGGTCCGTACCTGGCCTGGGTCGTTCATGAATGTAGCCGTAAAGCCCGAGCTTGGCGCGCAAGCTCGACTGGGCCGTCCTATGGCTTGCGGGCTGGCCTGTACCAGTGCAGATCGCTACCTGTGACACTGACGGCTTCGCCGCTCTGTGATGACTAGGAGGATATCACCACCTCGTGGTGAGCGACGGAGTTAGCGCAATTACGCTCATACTGCTAAGGTGTTAGTCGAATGTGACGGCCAGAAACGCTTTCGCACTCGCGCTTCAAGATCTCAGAGGCCATGGGCTGACACACTTGCATGGTTTGATGTGTTTGCGCGTGACCAGTGGCGTAGTGCCACGTGGAGGGGGGTGTGTTTAGCGGTACGCTAACACTCCTCTTTCAATGGGGACTGCGAAGTAGGTTAAGAACTGCGCACCATCTGTAAGGCTCGGAGGCACTTTTTTTTTCAGGTTACACGTGCGGTGGCATTTCAGAGAAAACATTGCGATTCCCCCAAAGAAGTGCGCTGATGATACAGACAAGAAGTCCTTTATACACTTACAATTCCTTTGACACGCGTCACATCGTTGCGATAGAGAGGGCTGCTCGTTAAAAACCCCCCCAAGTGCTATTGCAGCTTCATCGCCTTTGACAAAAGGTCTGAGCCAGATGATTTTTTACAACGATAGATGTTATGGGCTCTTCTCTTGACTGAAAATGACGTCCGTTGATGTTGTAGTAACAGTTGTTGTAGTAATTGTTGTCATTGATGTTGTAGTTGGCCATGTAGGGTGTCCATCGCTGGAATCAAACCTGGGTCTGTCGCTTGTGAAGCGGGCGCATTACCACTAGGCCACACTACAGCATTAATAGCCCACTCTAAACATAGGGTTTTTGTAGTACACGATTGCCCACTGCACGCACTCTCCGTAAAAAAAGTGGCCTATAAAAAATTGCTGTCGTAGCATTGTCAATGTCAAGAGCTTGTGCAGGAAGACACGCTTTTGCGCGCTCTTGATATAAAAAAAAGAAACAAAAGCGTTCAGAACAAAATAAAACAAAACAAAAGCGTTCAGAACAAAACAGGTGTTTATTCTGTTCCGAACACTTATGTTCACTCACCCCACTGCCCCACTGTGCGTGAACGTGACACCCATGCCCAGCGACTTTGCCGTGATGTGTCGCAGCAATCGCTGTGACTGCACTGTAGATTAACGCAGGACTGCTTACTTTTTTTTCTTAAATGGAATGTTTTGCATGGCTCGCTCCTAGCAGTCCTAGAGCGCAGCTCTTGGGCGCCCGTTTCCTGCTTGAGCGGCGTTGCCGTCGGCGTAACCGCATGTTGCATTATGGGACGTTCCCCATAATGACGTCACACGCAATGATGTCACGCGGAAGAAATTTTCCCGCTAAATTTAGTGGGGAAATTTTCCCGCTAACCTTAGCAGGAAAATTTTACCCTCGTGACGTCACACGTGATGTCACATGTGACCCTCCCCTCCTTTTCCTCAAGAGCTGCGCTGTAATTCGGCATTACAGAGAATAGTGAACGCTTTTCATTCCTTTGATAACACACTCAAGTTCACATTCAAAGTTCTTTATTTTCTTCATTTGGAGATGAGAGGCAAAGAAAAAGGCAAGTCTGATGTTGCTTGACAGGTCCCTGTCTGAATGTTCGCCACATTGGAAATAATGCAAACGCAACATAAACTAGTAACAGCTGTGTTAGGGAGAAAAACAAAGTGATATGATAACCCAAATTTTGGCTATTCACAACAGCTACCGGAAACTCCTTAACAAACATTGAACATAAATTTTTTTTTTCTGGTTTCTTATTTCTATGTTCAGTTGTAATGGTGCATTCTTAAAGGGGCTGTGTGACGATATTGGATAGGAATGTTATTCACTTTACAAGAGCTTACTGGCACTGATGGGGCCCAAGTATTCGCAACTCCAGCCCGCCGCTCGCCCGCCCTCTCGCGGACAAACGGAGAACTAGAAGAGCAAAAAGGTGTGTGGCGGCTGCGCAGAGGTGGTGGCAGGGACTGTCGGCCTTGGTGCCTTGCTACTGCTATTACCGCATGGTTCTGGTCGGCTTGTTCGTGCGGGAAGCGCTTTTAACGAAAAAAGTGAGCTCGTTGAAAAAGGGATTCTTGTGTTCCACTTCGCAACAGCATTGCATGAAGAAACCGGGATGTCTAATTTCACGAGAAACGTTTCGTATATCGCATGTGCTGCAGAATTCTGGTCTTGTCGTCTTCAGCTCAATCTGTGCTCAACGTGACTGCAAATGATCCTGTTAGTATTGTAGAGCTCTAGCCTGCGGTCAACGAAAGGTTTGTTCTTTGCCTTAAGTAGGAGAAAACTGGTCGTGCAACGGTATGTCGAGCAATAGACATCGGGAATGAGTTTGTGTTTTAAGGCCAGTACAGGGAACATGACCATTTGTTCCAAGCACTTTCAAAAGATAGGTTACACCTAGTTGCTTTCTGGAAATTACAAAGGCAATTAAAGAAATGTTCGAAGCACTTTAAGAGTGTCTGTGTTAGCCGGGCGTTCGTGACGTGTATAGAAGGGACAGTTTTGGCGAGGCAAGTCGCAGCATTGCAAATGACAAGGTAGACAAATGGACAGTATATGAAACACGCTGATCACGTTAATAGTCAGTTTTAGCATGGTGTTACCGCAGGCTATCGTGAGCACTGCAACGCTCCTGGCGCACGCTGAAAATTAGGCTTCAAAGGCGCAGCGTGAACTTCCGGTTGCAATAATGCACCGTACGGTAGCCTGCAATCACGTGGTCCTAAAACCTCATATTAGCAACCATAGCGCAGTTTGATCACGTGTTGCTGTACACTAAAACCGCGACGATGAGCAGTGAGTTGTGAGCCTGTGACACGAAGACATCAATACAGTGAACGCTGCTTTTCCGCAGCTTGACGGTTGCCATGCGCAACACACCTTTTAGAGCACTAATAGCCAAGCAAAGCGCAAACATGATATCTTCATCACCCTCAAACATATTCTGCCACAAACAGTGGCGCAGCCGGTGCCTAAAATGCTTTCACCTTCCACAAAGCTTCTCAAGTTGAGCTTCCACGACTTTTAAACATCACCATGTTTGTTTTTCTAATGCACATCAACGTCTCCGTCACCTGTAATATGCTCCTGCTTTGACTGCTTGGCCTTTGTAGATACATAAATTATTTTGAACGCACCGACCAGCGTCAGCGAGCAGGTGCACGGGAAATCCTGCAGAATCTATCCCCGTCTCTTCCGCCATCTTGGAACTACCGCTCCGCCATCTATAAGGCGTTGGAGTTGTGAATACTCGCTCACAAAGCCACTGACCAAAAAGCTCCTTTTTCACTGCGTAATTTCGAGACTACAAGTGGATGCTTTCTTTCAGTCCCTCCTTCACTAAACTTGGATTGCATTATTGGTGTTGTCAACAATGCGATCCCCAGTATTTTGTCATCAAGCCTGCCGACCCCTGCAGTGACAATACTTAAATGCGGCTCATGCAGCGGGAGACGAGCACTGCATGAGGCATTCAGTTTGGGCTCCTGACAATCAATGCCTTGAAATTGCGTATTGGCTCCTGCCCATTAGCTTCAATGCCGGGAATAGCCAAACCTTAACTGTGTGTGTTGTACCCAGCACGTGCCTTGTGCCTTGCTAACTGCAGTGCATGGCTATGATAGACATTGTTGCATATATATGCGGTCTAAGCTCGTTATAAACAGACCTTGATTTTGACCAAGATTTAGGTCTGTCGTAAAAGGAGTATGTTGTATGCAGATACGAAGTTGAGTCAATGATATGTAGAGGAAAACCAATCAAACTTCAAAAATCGGTATGTTATATCCAAGTGTCTGTTGTAACCAGGTCTGTTGTAATGAGCTTAAACTGTAATGGGCTCCAGACCATGTGGCCACTTGTTCTGGCTGCGAGTTGAGGGGTTGAACGCAGCTCGTTTTTCTCATTTTTATTGCGACTGTCGTTTTTTGTGGAGAAAAGCAACTAACGTGTGTTTCACAGGTTATGAATATCAAGGAATAAAGGCTGGTTCACACTGCCCCATTTTGTTACGTTAAGTTACGTTACGAAATATTACGTTGAAGTCACCGGGACCTCTATGCTTCGTATTAAGCGAGGCTACCAGTTTAAGGAGAAAGCATGACACACGACGTTCGAGACACGAATGTTTCGGTGACTTATACGTAACATAACTTAACGTAAGAAAATGGGGCAGTGTGAGCCAGCCTTAATTCTAAGCGGTATTTACTGAAGGTACCAAAATTGTTACATTGCCCCTGTAAGGTTTACAGTCAGCAACCCTTGTAGTCTTGTAAACTGTCCTGTCACAACATTCTGAGGAGCCTGTTATTCCTAAACCTCCATGTGTTTCTTGAAACCCAGATTCCTAAGAATGATTGCTTAATGCACCGCTTAGAGGGCATGGCGGTCCTTGAATTTGCTTGCTGCTTGCTACCGTGCAGAGCAAGGCCCAGGTGGTTGCGAGCGTGCTGCTCAACTCGTGCGACCTGTTCCGCCAGGACATGGAGGGGGTCAACGTCCTCCTCCCCCTCTTCTTTCAAGCCCTCGAGTCTGTCTTCTGCCCCGACCGGGAGTCCAAGATAAGGCAAGGAATCTGGCTTCTGCTTCTCTCTCGACCTACCATATTGTTGCGAATGGAAAACGATTGACAAGCTAAAACTGAAGATAAAGGTTCAATTGGCAAACTCGTGCCAAAAACAGAAGAAAGAACGAGCATTGAGATGTCGGCGTGACAGCTGGCTTGTGCGAGGGTGAGTCGGCAAGGCCACATTGGGTCCCTTATCTACTACGCTGAATATTTCAAAAAATTTGGTCTAGAATGTTAGGGCTTCGAGCTAGGGCGAGACTGACTCGGCAAGGCCATGTTGGCCTTCTTATCTATTGCTCTCGGTATCTCGAACATTCGGTGTAGAATGTTTGAGTGTCGAACATTTGGGGTAAGAGTAAACTCGAAACTTCTAGAAGCATGGAGTAGCGTTCCCTCTCGGCAATATTTGTGGATGTCGACATGGTCCTAAGATCACCTGGTCTGGAATCTTTTCATCAAGCTGTGGGAAAGTTTTCCCTGTTGACAAACTGAAGCACCAGATGTGCGTTGCCGACGTTTGGAGTCAATTGATCAGACTGCTTGGAGCACCTATAACTAGAGGTGTGCGAATACCAAAATCCTTCGAAGCGAATAGAATCGAATAATAAATGTTACGAATTGGATCGAATATTTTCGAATACTAATAGTAGTTTCGAATGAGAACATCATTTAAAACAAATATTTTTTATTTGGTGTGAATTAAACAAGAACGCTCAATCAAGAAACAACTGTTTTTTTCCAACAAACCTTTATGAAAAGGTCAATTTTATTGCAATAACAAAAACGACACTCATGTGACTGATAAAACACATGAAATAAAAGATTGGTCAATCAAGGAGTCAAGTTACAGCACGTAAATGAAAGTACACAAGTGGAGGCGGGGCGGCAAGTAACGAAACCACGTGACTGTAAACGAATGTATACAAGCAGTGGCGGGTCGGCAGGCCACCATACAAAGTTGAAGACCGCGTCGCGCAGCTGCACCGACTTTGCGCCATTTCTTCCCCTGTTTAATAGTTCTGCCATAAGTGGCTGCCACAAAGAAGCAATAAATTAAGAATACATTGTTTGTTTGTTGTTTTTTTTTGGTGGAGGGAGCAAGTCCCACTTTTACCAGTAAAAACGGGTAGAAATAAATAACAAAATAAATACTGGCGAACTGATGAACCGGAAAATCAAGCAAAAAAATAACACGAGCCAGATATCGCCGATAGTCGATGTCAGCCGTAAATCCATATCCAAATCCATATCCGAATCCATAGCACCTTGGCTGCCTCGGCTACTGTAGTGAGTGTGGTCAGTCGCTTTTGTGCTCACGACGATGCGCGTGCCGTTGCAAATCAAAATCCCTCATCAAATCTATCGCAGCATTTGTGCTACGACCACTTCGCCAACTCCGCAATACAGACATCATGGCAAGCAAAAGACAGATCGCGCCACCGCGTGCAATTACGTTTTAGTGATTGATACAAAAAGAAAGGCACTTAGGTTGGCTTTTTGGGTTCGCCAAGCTCGAAACCATACTCCGTTGTCTAAGAACAAAACAGGGAACTTGACCGCGAGTTGACACTAATCAGCGAGTTCCGCATTATTCATAGTTTTCGAAGTATTCGAAGAATTCAAATACTTCGAACAGCAGAAGTGCGAAGCGAATCGAATCGAATGGCAAGCATTATTCTCGAAGTATTGGAAGTTTAGAATATTCGCACACCCTTACTTATAATGGATGGGCGTGGGTTTGGAGAAACCATTGTGAAAGAAGTTCCTGGATTTGTGTACTCTCATAGAACCCTACGGACCTGTCGAAAAGATGCATGATTAGAAACGCCACCATACTCGAGACCTTGGGATCATTTTATTTTGGAATTAAAACGCCATACGAGGGTTGAGACATCCGGTTTAAAAAGATTATCAAAATATTTCAACGTGCATCTTTTTTAAACTTTCTTTTCACTTGTTTTTAATTTTGCGTGGATCAGTGCTGTGGTGACAAAAGTTACTAGGGCAGAAACCGCCAAAGCTTTCAGACCAGTCAGTAGTTTATCAAGGACCGTGATATAGATTTTTATGCCTGTTACGAGCATTAATTGTATCACATTATTCATGGGTATTATAAAATTAATGTGCAAGATTATATAACTTTTTCACAGGGCTATTCTACGAGACAGAGACATAGTTTTTCCATAGTTCCATTCATGCCTCGTAATACCGTAATTGTTTTAAATATTCGTTTTTTCCACGGACCGTGGAGGAGTGGAACGAGCTTCCCCAAGAGACAATTGAGCAGGGATCTCTTGATTTGTTTGCCGCGCGTTTAGTATAATAATATTTTTTCTGTCTGTTACTGTGTGGCGGAGGATGTGAGTGCCTGTACAGTTGACTTTGTGTATTGCGTTTCATTATGCTTGTACCTCACCTGCTATGATCTCCATGTGAGATTAGCAGTATTACTAAATAAAAATAAATAAATAAATAAAATAAAAATAGTAGTGGAAAATCGAGGATCTGTTGTGTTATCTAAAAAACACAAGTCCTGTCGATGCTGATACTGTGGAAAGTTGCTCAGCTTGACAGTCGCAGTGCGAATTCTAACGTCGAAGCCAGTGAGAGTGGGTAGTACTGAACTCGCCATGATAAAGCCAACTCATGTTGTATGTTTCATTGGGCTCAGCTGCCAAATTGAATGAAAACAAAACTTCAGGGCTGGACGACATACCTAGTCGTATACGAACGGAGTGTTCTGGTATTTTGTCCTACTTTTTGTTTGCATTGTTTGATAGTTCAATGACCTCTGGATGCTTGCCCACCAAATGGAAAAGAGCTCATGTGGTTCCGGTTCTCAAATACGGCCAAAAAGATAGGGTTAACATTTACAGGCCCATCTTCCTACTGTGTGTGCACTCAAAAATACTACCGTATTTACTCGCATAATGAACACACTTTTTTTCTAAAAAAATTGACAGATATTTGGGGGGAGCGTTCATTACACGGGTAAAATTTTTGCATTTACACACTTCCTACAAATGTCAAATTAGGTGCCAATATGGCACAACAAGGTACTGTGGCATGTCTCCAGTGACGGAGACGCATTCACGGCTGGTCGGGGGCGCACCACAATAACCATGCTTTATAAATTGCAAACCTTTTTAGGGCGCTTTCGGGGTGCCTTTTGCCGAAGGAAAAGCGCCCTACAAAGCTCACTTAGCACAAAAAGCAACGCGACCGTTCTTAGGCGATATATAATTGCTAGTATCTGGCGGGCGTGCTCAGGTATATCCATGACTACGACTAGTGACTACGCCTATAAGAACTCAGGGTATAAGAATTCGTACAAAGTCCAACCCACGACCGACCCCCGAAGCCCACTCGCATAGATCAAGCTTCGTTCAAGGAGACAAGAACTCGTACAAAGTCCAACCAACCGCGGACCCCGAAGCCCCGCACAGATCAAGTTTCGTTTAGGGAGAGGCTACCAGACACTCTCAGCCTACAGCGCATCTGTTCAAGACTTTTAGAATCTTGATCAGCGAAACATATAAAAACATATAAAAGCACTTTTCCCGTAAAAGAACATGCTTCCACAGGGGGCTACTGTCAAAGAGTGATTTTGCCCTCTGTCTTCAGATTGTGTGGGAGTAACGTGCCATTGAACTTTAAACTTCCTTTTTATTTGTGCCGCAGGTTGGTGCCCAACATTTCTCAGGTGGAGCTCCGCTGGTCTTCCACCCACCTGCTCTTGTCCATGCTCCCACTTCCACTGCATTACGGAAACCTTCTGCTGAAAGGTATGCTCCCGCTAAAACCTTCTTGAGATCATTAATGCTTGTACCCTTGACTTTAGGATGATATTTATACGTCATTACCTGATTGAGTAAAAAAAACAATTACACTAGAACCTCGTTGATATGTTTTTCAGGGAAACGCAACAAAAAGAAAGGAGCCAAGAAAACATAGGAACCGACAACGCTTTGGGGGCCCATAAATGAGACAGGAAATCAGTCTCACTCTGTGGTTCATTTCAAGCAAACTTTTGCAGCTGTAAAAAATGACCAGAGTTTTTCAAATATAGGTTGACTGTTTGTTGGGAACTGTTACTTAAAATTAGGGGTCTTTATGTAATCATAATTATAAACTGTTGACTTATGAGAGAGAGCAGAATTTCTGAGCCGATCAAGCGATTCCAGGCGCTTTCCCGTGTCAGCCGCTGCTCCTAGCACGTCGGTGCAGAGCGGTGAAGACGCATGCATCGCTGTAAAGGGTGCAAATATTTGAATCGAACGATGCAAGCTCTGAAACTTTGGCATCTGGTCCTAACCACTAGAGCTAGATTTAGACGGAGACCGAGCATTTGGCGAGGCTCAGTTTATTTTTGCGATGAAAAAAAGCAGTTCTATTTTATCCCAAACCTGTGGTACTTCATTTGTACTAAATTCTTTAGGGGTATATAGTATGTATCTGTTGCATTGTTAATAAATTTTGGTATATATATATATATATATATATATATATATATATATATATATATATATATATATATATATATATATATTGATAAAGGATATGGTATTCGGTGTTAGCTGTGCCGGACGTTTCGCTGCCCATGCAGTGCATCGTCGGTTTGGTTTATGTCGTCCTCTGTTTCGATCTCGTCTGCAGACTTTGGGTCAAGCCAGACAGTGACCTTCCAGTCCCTGAGACCACGCCTGATGAACCTTCTGATTGGAGCGCTCCAGAACGAGACGGATTCAACCAACACGCAGATGCTTCTGGGTGGGTGTTTGGTTCCGCTACCATTGAGAGATGCTTCTGACCAGCTAAAATCCGATTCACGAACACATGGAGACACTGTGTTCGCTCCCAGATATTTCTGTGCGATACACATACAATATGAAGTGCTCGTGTTAGAAATGTGAAATAATTACATAAAATATGTGTGCTCTATTAGTAACGCAATTTTTTTTTTCAGTCTTTTGAATAGTATATGTTGAAAAATTCCAACTAAGCACATTACCATAGGCGCTTGAGGAAAAGATTAGCGAATAGCTACCGGGATCGTCTTTATTTGTTTGTGCAACCGTGGGCGTGCAATGCAACAGTACCGACAGTAGTACGGTACTTTTGGGCAAGCGAGGAGAGATGAAGCAATTAGAAGCGTAGCCTGTGGCAACGGTTACACAAAGACAAGCGGGTGCTACAGCTATGTGATGCGTGGTCACGCAATTCTTTATTGGTCTCAGTTTGGAACAGAGAAAGGTGTGAGCAGCGTACACACAAGGTACCGCTGTGGAACATGTTCCACAGCGGTACCTTGTGTGGAGGCTGCTCGTTGGTCATCCTCAAGTTTGCGTGTGTCTCGCCTCGTACCTCGGCAGTGCTTGATATTTGACCAAGTTTATGGAGGAGAAACTAGGAAAGTACTATTCTTGTTGTTCTAATCCCGATCGTTTCTCTGATCTGGCCGATTTCAGGCGGTCTTCTGTTCTGCGTGCAAGACGCAACCGCCCACGAGGAGGCCAATCAGGTGACCCAGCCGGCTTCGACGGGTCAGGACAATGCCAACATGACCTACTCCAACCTTCTTTGCTCCGGTGAGCCTGACATCTTGTCACCTTCTGCTTTTTTGAAAGTTAGTTTTCACGAGTCCCCATGATGCCTGCAACTTGCTATAAAATGCAGAGCACGCGTTCCTAGAGCCATCAAGTGAGTTATGCTTACGGTAATGTCGGCACTCCATTCTCAGTCTTTTTGTGGACGCCGCCATTTTGGCACGCAGTGCAGAGTGAGTGCAATTGACTATTTTTTAAAATAAGAAATTGTGACTTTTCCGAGCCTTACATGCGGTGTCGGGAGGTTCAGGTGATGCCGGCTTCCACAGTCACAGACTGTTTTAGTGATTCCGGAGGACAAAAGACCGTTTCCGACGATTTAAAACAATGCTTCGGATAACTAGCAACGCTGACTTTGAGCACCAACATAGCCAATGCGTAGTAACTCCAAAGCACTCGCAGCTGTGTGAACACACTCCTCTATTTTTTTGGATCTCGGTGGTGGCCGGGATACGTAAAGCTGGTCCTGAAGCGAAGCTTTGCCTGAGCCATGCCAAGCGCAAGTTCGTCTGCTTCTTTTGGAGGAGTTGCGGTGACGTCAGAAATACGCCGAGCTTTGATTGGCTGTGGTTGAAGGATAGTGGGTAGACCTTGAGGTCTGCCCACTATCCTTCCAATGGGAGCCAATCAGATCTCGGTGTTCTGACGTCACCACAATCCCTGCAAAAGAAGCAGACGAACTGGCGCTCCGCATAGGCTCTTCAACCGGGTTTCTAGGAACGCAGGGGTTCAAAGTACCCTCGTAAGTATTTCTCGGTCATCTCCACCCCTGAGTAAAGCGTTTTACATGTTTAAACACTATTTTAGAGGATTTGAGTCACCTTGTGATGCACAGTTAGGAGTCAATCACTCCCTAGTATGTGAAATATTGTTTCGAGGGCCTGTTGGCTTCTGCACTGCTTTATTGTATCAATGCCAAGTTTAAAGACCCATGGTCTGAGCGAGTGCCAGTTCCCACACTCTTGACGAGATTACATTTAGATTTCAGCCCTGCGTTTTTTCGGTGTTTATTGCTCGGAATACTGGAGGCAGCAGCAGTGCGAGCATGTGACTTTGAAGATGATTTGATGGTGTTGACCCGTGTGGCGGTATAATTGGTGGAATTGGATGAGGGACTGAAACATTTTAGAGAACAAGCCAGGTTACTGAAAACTGGGACTTGGATTTGCAGCAGCCGGTGTTGGTCGTGCGATGAGCAAGCGAATTTCGCGGGGAATGAAACTCTCTCGGTGAAATGCAGGACTGTGTTGGTGGATGTGGTTTCTGTAACCAAACAAATTGCTTGTTAGAAAGTGATACATAATTTTTTTGTACATTCCAACTTCTAAGTCGTGTTGGTGGGCCAACTTGAGTTGTAACCAGACATTTTATGACCTGTGAATTTTAGTCGAGATGCCAAAAGTTCATGGTTGCGACATTTTTTCTTTTGTCTACATCGAATTCTTTTTTCGGCACAAACTAGAAGGCTTTTTGATCCTTTTTTGTGTCCTGGTTGGGTGAAAACTTGTACGTGGTGAGTTTTGAAGTAACATTCTACTTTTTTGTGGGCGGTACTTGGCGAGAATTCCCATTGATTGCACCTTTGAAGTTGAGTCTGTTTGCTTTGTTAGGACCGTCTTCAAAAAAGAAGATTATCTGTTCGCAACATTTTAGTGGCTTCCATCTGTAGGCCACAGAGCAAAGTTACAGTAGTTTTCAGAGTGTTTGTGACAAGCGTTTCTGACGTGGAATATGTCAGAAAACCTTCTTTCTTGAACTGTGCTGTCTCTCTGCATGGCTGGTGCTGGGGCTATTTTTAATTTGAAACTTGGTGCCTTCGCTGGATGGTTGGTTTAAATGTGCAAAAGACTAACCTTTTGGAAACCAACTTTCGTTGTCAATCAAATAATTTATGACTTATTTTTCTTTCCTGTTTTATTTTGGTGTTAACTGTTTAGTTATAAAAAATAGAATCATAAGAAACTTGACAAAAAAAAAATCGGCATGCATTTAGAAAATTTGCGGATTGCCCTCGCACATTTTCAGGCACAGCCGTGCCTTGGGATTTTTAGACGTAGCACAAGTAATATTCATTATACTCCATTTCGCCTTAAAGTCTACTGCAACAGAGCCCACGAGTCATGTTCGCCAATCCAGAGCTCCACGCATTCCAGGTGGCTTCATGCATCGCCCATCCAGAAGGTCACATGATATGCTCTGAGCTATGAATTGGTTCTGGTGGCTCGTAGCATCCATTGCAGTACATCCTAAGCCAAGACTCACACATGTGTTGGGGGATGCTCAAAATGTGAACCCAGGTTTGTCTCGGTGCCTCAAAAGCCCGACTAAACGGCAAACCGAATGTCGTTGATAGTTTTTGGACCTCTTTCCTTTCTAAAGTGTGGTTTCGGCTGGCATCCCACCCCAAATGCTCTCACTTCCTTTTTTTCTTTTTTTTTTTTTACAGCAAAAGTCATGTAGAGCTAAATAAAGGGAAAAAGAAAGGTTTTTTCAAGGGCTGCCATTGTAATTTACAAAAGTATGTCTGGATGGTGCATTGGTTTTGTGAAGATGTTGGAGTAAAGACTTACACTAATAAAAAATTGCGAGCTAAAAAAAACAAAAAACTTCATACGGCTGTGTGGGGTTAGGTCTTTCTAAATTAAAAGTGAAAAAAATAAAACAAAACAAAAAAACTTGTGGGTTATTGGGCTGTTTCGTTACACAAAACAGGAAACAAGAACAAAGTCAATTACTTCCTTCACTCAGTTTGTTATTTTTATACAATCAAACATATGAAACATAAAGAACGACATTTTTTTTCTTTCACATTGGCCAATAAAAGAAAAAAAGCTTAGCTCCATGCTGCTTCTTGGAAAATTGTGCTTTTTTTATTTGTAACTGTTGATTAAAACATACTTGCTCTTTGATAAAAAGAAAAAAAGCACAACCCAGCCACACTTTTATGCTAAATTACAGTGTTGGAGCCTGTGAAACCAGTTGTTAAGACTTATTTAAAATAAATCCGATTCCTTGGGCCCCCGCTGTGCAACGAAGCAGGCAAATGGCGCTACTACCACTTTGTTTTGGTTTGGGGGCTGGCTGTTGTTGACCTTGCTTGCAGATGAGGAGTCCCCGCGGTGGTTGCGCAGGGAGAAATCGCATAGCTTGTCCTCAGAATCTGACTGGGACCCGTTTGGAGCTGATGGCCTCGGTAAACCCTCAGTGAGCTCTCTCACCCGTGGGGCTGCGCTTGCCTGGTGGCCGGTGTGTCTGTGTCGGGTGTCTCTTTTGGTGTTCTTGCGTGGTGCGGCGGTGCTAATGCTGGATGGCTGCTCAGTCGTTGCGACGGTTTGTGGTTTTCTGTGGTCTGCTCGGTGGAGGCTGCTTCGCTTGGCGTCCCGCTTGTGGTGTCGAAAGAAAGCTGTCCTCTACGAAAGGAAGCTGTCTTTTTTCGTTTTAACCCCTTAAAGGAAAGCTGAAGAGGTTCTTGAAAGAGAATGAGTCAGGGGTAAATTCTAGAGTGTTTTTATGACGTGAAACTGGATACCGCATTCGTTTTCCCCAAAGGTGTAAGTAAATGCAAGAAAACACGAAAAACCTCCAACCAGTTGTTACGTCACGAAAGGATCTTTCGGCCGCCAAAAAAGTGTCGCTTGTGTAGGCAGCGCGAGTATTCACAAGCTTGCTAGGTATGTTCCCCCACACTGACACCAGTCGGGACGTCTTTTTCTGGCCGTTTTGAAAATAGCAAGAGTCGCCGTGCACAGCTTTGATAGTCGCTGAAGATGCGCGAAAGCGGAGATCCCGAAAACTCCTTTTATGACGTAACGCTCCGGGAAGGCTATTTTAGTGGTACTTTGAAAATGACTTTCTGCAGCCTCCGTGCACCAAACTGAAAAATAATTCCTATGTTCGTGATCCTGGAGGGCAAATAAAAACAGTTTTACAGTTTCCCTTTAAAGAGCAACTCTGGTTAAATTTTGATGTGAGATAACAATGCAGTCCTACATCGTATCATCTGAAAAGCCTACACGTAAAATATTGCGACACGATTCCGCCTAAAGTTTATTAAACCGGCCAACAAAGCCGGAGCAACTCCACAGTCGCCGAAGTCCACCCAATCTAGCGTACAATGAGTGGTGCGCGGAGCAGTGCAGTTAGCATCGCTGTGTGGACACTGCCAACACTGTGCGGAACGCCAACAACTTGAAGGATTGTTTTGTTTATTTCTTACTTTTCGAGGCGCGAGGGCGAGAGAGAAAAAAGAGAGTGCAGCGCGCCGTTCACAGCTTTCGTTGATGACAGCCGACGTCTCCGTACCACTTGGTGTCCAGTAGTTGACGAGCAGGACCAATGTTGCCTGCTGCAGGCAAGGTTTCGGTTTCGCCTTGTGATTTTCGTTCAAACGAGGTTTGGAAGGAAACTATTAAACTTTTCGGAAACGAATGACATACAACTGTTTATTAGTAGTTTTGACACAATAATTACCTGCAATCCCAGAATTTTCGGAATTAGAGTTGTTTAAAGCACAAAATAAGCAAAAATTAAAAAAAAAAAGAAAATAGTTTTTTTTTTGCAATTTGAAAAGTTTATTTATTTCTGCACATTTTCCATTGTCACAGTGTTCCTAGAAAGTCCTATTTCGGGCTGAAGATCACTTCTTTCGAAAGCAAGTAGCGGGTGACCACGCCTCCTTTTGGGATACGCTCCTCATTTATAAATTTTCCAACAAAACAAATTTCAACACCAGATCTAAAAGCTTGTCCAGTAACAGATAATCTTCAAAATTATCTGGCAACTATTGCACACCTTTTTTTCTTTTTTAACCAGGACAATCCCGAGACGCTGTGCGTGTTTTTTCCACGTGTGTACCGTGTGAACTTTCAAGCACCTGTGTTTTTGCGACGACAAAATGTCGGCATTGAATGCTGTTCTTTCATTCAATGGTGGTAGCATTGCACAAGCAAATATTTTGAAGTCCTGTTGATGAAACCCCGTGTGGAACACCATCAAGTGGCTGAGGGAAGTTGACTGCTCACAAATATACTTTACGGACCGAGCGACACAACAGGTCACAAGAGAAGCTCAGCAAGCAAGGTGATAAGCCTAAAAGCGAAGTCATGACTTTAGCAATGACTTCGAAGTTGGCGGCTATCGACAAAATGACTCTGAGGCTGTTGGTGCCAATAGCAATTTGGTGTTCACCTGTTTTTTTACTTTAAAGTCAGTTACCTCAAAACAGTGTTTTTCAGTACATAGGTACCATTATTTCTTTAACCTGCCATTATAGAGGGTTGACTTTTTATTCCTACTACCTAAATAGGCTTGAAAAGTACTGAACTAGAATTAAAAATGTGCACCTAACAGTTTTTGTTTTACAGATTTTTTAATGCACTAAGAAAACTAAAATTTTAGTATTAGAATTAAAAAAATTGAGAAACATTTATTTTCAATTAATTTATATACTTCTAGATCAATAATACATTTTTTCGAACAAAATGATATTTAATATAACAGGAATACTCCTAGTAGTCACTGAGAAAATGTTCCTTAGCATGGCCTAAATTGCATGGAGAGTATAGGACTTACCCTGGTCCCCTTCACCATTTTTGGACGAGCCTAGCTTGTCAACTTGGAGTTGTCCCCAAACCGTCTGGGACGAGAATGGCTTGTCTGCTGTCCCCTGTTCACGCGCTGAACCATTTTGGACAAACCAGGTTCGCTCATGGCTTAGTTTGTGGTTAAGTTAGCGGCTCTGCCAACAAATGGCACCCCTGGATGTCTAAAAATTTTGTTCCCATTCCATTTGTGGTCATAAGTTTGATTTTGTGGGCAATGAATGTGCAATTTCAAAGACAACAATATAACAGTTGAGGGTCAGAAGTTCTCCAGAACTAAAAACGGTTAAGGGGTTTAATGAACCTTTTTTGAGTAACAGGCGCACTCTGGGGGTTGTCTACAAACTACTGATGGAGGGCAGCCCAACGTGCATCCACCTCTAGCTCTCCACCGTTGTGAGTTAACCTGGCACACGCAGGGCACAACCCGTATTAGACCGCCATATTTGCCCGATAGTGGCGTCCCCTAATGTCGCTAGAATTGCAAACACCCCTAACGCTAAAAAAAGAAAAAGAATTGTTAGAAAGAAACGAACACGCATAGATGGGTGTTGACAGTGTTGGTCGTGCGGGACGGTGCTCTCCAGAAATGGTAGCAGAAGGAAGCAAGGATCAGGGGAGAGTGTGTCATGCATGCGCAGAAACCTTTTGGAAAAAAGTTCATTCGATTCGGTATATTGTAAGTTTTTTTGTTTTGGTATTAGAAATTTCAATATGCCAAATCTCTTATTTCGGAATATTAGAATTTACAATGTAAACCAAAGTTTTAATTTGGAATATTCGATTTTCTAATATGCCATATTTTTCATTTGGAACATTAGAATTTGCAATATACCAGATTTTCAATATGAAATGTTGGAAATTCCAATATACTAAATTTTCAGTTGGGTGTATTGGAATTCTGAATACTATATGAATTTTGGGTATTGAAATTTCCAATATACGAATTTGGTATATATTGGAAATGTCTGGGCCATTACAGAGATCCTTTTGGGATAGGCAGGTGTCGCAGTGGGGAAGGGGCACGTTTGTTCCCGATGTTCTCTAGTGTACCGCATTCACTCGAGAAACATGCGCACATTTTACAAACAAGGCCCGCACCTTCTGCTTTCCCGCAGAGCACAGATGCATCCAAGCTTTGCATTCTACAAAAGAAATGTACCTAATACAGAATCTGAGACAAAACAATTATTCGCAAAGGGAATGTCGCCACAACTCGAATCACAACTTGGCCTCCCCCTTCTAAAAACACGCAGAACCGCATCCACCCTAACCATACTGCCCAAGTTTTATCACCACTTCCCTTTCCAGATTAACTTGTACTGGACACGCGCACCACACACCTCACGTCGCCTAGATGATTCTTGCAAACTGCTCTATTCCTAGGACTAATACCTTTAAGCTTTCCTCCTTGCAGCTGGCTATCAGCTACTGGAACAGATTGATTCAATAGCAGTGATATTTTTACGACTTAGACAGCATAATCTTTTCATTGTTATTCTTTGTTTTTTCTTTCTTTCGTTTGGCCAATGTGCCCTACATACACAAAGGACTGTGTGCCCCGCCTATGTAAAGCCCCACGTAATAAATGAAATGAAATTTGCACAGATAAGATTTCCTCGTGATGTCTGTCCCGTAAGCTTCTGCGATGCTCCCGTCGATCGCATGATCGGCTATTTGTGAGTTCTGTGGGAAAGTGGACTCGCAGTCTTTGTTCGTGAACAGTGCTCCTGTTATCCGAGCAAATGTGGTTAGTCAGAATCAGTACGAGCCTAAGTGGGTTACGAAGAATTGAGTCAGTTGTTCGTGGGATTTTCATTTTACTTCCAAAGAGTGGATGGAATACGGGAGGTAGGGTCTGCATTTCAGTTTTACAATGTAAACCACCGCCCTCTTATATTTATTTTTGTCAATAGTGTAGTGTTAGTATCATAAGAAGCACATAAAAGCTTGAATTAACAGAAAATTACATTAAAAAATCTTTTCTTTGCCAGAAATTCTTTATGGATGCATTCGTCATTGAGCAGTTTATTAACTTGGGAAGCATGCAACCCAGTAGGCGCATACTGCGACGTCCTTGTGCAATCTGTACTCCAGTGCTGCATTTCTGAATCACATTGTTGCAGCATTGCATTTTCATTCAAAGTTGGGACAATGAGAAGAATGTAGGATTTAAACAAGCCACCTAAATAGTATACTTCTATAATTCAATAATGCTTTTAAGATAGCTTTTGTTTTTTTATAATTTAATGAGGTGAGTTTCACGGCTACCTGCAGTGCCATATTTTGCTAAAGCTATGATATGGGTCACATATTATGAGTGTTTATAATATGATTCTTTTACAATTTTCTACTTGGCGACAAAAGCCATACAATTTTCACGAAATGGGACAACACACTGTGTCAGGAGGCTGATTTACGATTTTTGCATTAGAAATTTCTTGGAATCTCCTCTCGCAGGTGAGTACGATTTGTATCGCCTTTGTTGTTTGGAACTTCCTGCCGGTCTGTTTGGGTTTATGTTGTCAGCTTCGCTCATTAATCCCGTACTGTTTCTACAGTTGGTGATGCCAACACTTTTTTGTTTGTTGTTTTTAACATTCGGCATTTATGAATGGTTTTGTGGCGTGTTTGCTTCCCCGGCTTTTAGACCTGCCTGGTGTGGGTTCACTTCTTGTCAGCCTGTCTGTATCCTGCGACAATCAATGTTACTCTGTCTTTTTGTGACTAATACCTGCTTTCTGTGGAATGATGGCCACTTTGCATATGGCCAAGGCACTGTCGTTGAGCTGCAAGTGTTTCGCTTGTACATATTCTTGTGTTGCGCCTCGTGCAAGAGGTGAGATCTCTGTGTTTGGTATAATGTTCAGTTATGAACCTTTATATTTTAATAAAGCAAACCTGGGATTTGCCTTAGAAAGTATAAAATTGCTAAGGAACCATGTGCCCATGTCAATTGTTAAGCAAGCTAACCCTTGGTTTGACGGTTTATTTTTATTTTCATTGTTTTTGGTAGAAATTCCAGTCATCCCTTTCGTTTTGTTGCTTTATGACTTGCCATACAATACCGATCATATGCCCATGTCTCTATACCCAATTGCTACCTACTTTTGAAACATTTGAAATATTGGCAAATTACGTATCAAGTGCCCACTGCAGCAAACCTCGCAGCCTTTACTGAATCACTCAGCTTTGTGGAGAGTCAATCCTGTGTTGCCTGCATTGAGCTGGCTGTCTTAGAATCACTGGATAGGTTTCCTGAGTATTGCACTCCCTTTCTCTTTGCCAACAATTTTTTTTTTTTTTGGTTGGCGGTTTTGGACTTGCTCTAAATTAGTCACACCTGGGTCGCTGTGACGCGTCATTGCACTGTGAGAGTTTTTCATTCTATCATCAACTTTTAATCTGTACGTGCAATCAGTTGATTAATCTTCCTTATCTGCATTTATCTCCAAAAAGGGTATAGTAATCTTCATTTCTTTTTCCTTGTTTTATAAATTATTTTTTTGATACTGCCACCACTACCAAAATTCAGCTCCACTAGTGGCGGCATCTAGTGGAGGCAGTGGGAACCTGGGTGCTCACTTATCTGGCTCTTTTTCCGTTTGCGAAAGCATCATTTTGTTTTAAAACAAAAGGTAAAAGCCTGTTTGCAAGGTCTGTTGTTGGAGGTCAATATGGAACGATTGGTGCTTGAAAATTGATCACTTGGGGGCATAAAAAAATGTTGGTGTACGAGAAAATTATTTTATAGAACAACCTGTCACTGCGCATTCGAATGAGCTTACTCAGCTCAAAGTAGAGCGTACAGAAAGAAACCCTGCTGGCAAATGGACCAAAAAGGGAGTTTCAGTACTCCAAAAACCCATCCAGTGACTAGGCTATCTTCTGCAAGGATTTCTCTTGTGCTAATCGCGATGCCTGGTGGCTTTCCCCGACGGTCTATTTCGCAAGATTCGGCCAATGCACTGTTTGTGCGTTCCATCTACCTGGTCTGCCACCGGCTCATCTCTTCGTGGAAGACGGACATGCACGTTTCGCTGGCTGCCCTGGAGGTGCTTTCGGGACTGGCTAGGATACGCCAGCCCCAGCAGGGTGGGTGGCCTCTCCTTGCTTCTCGGGATTGTTTTCTTTTCTCATCTTCTATTGTTTTAAAGCAGAAGGCTTTAAAACAATAAAAGATTGTTTAAAAAAACTAAAAATTTTTTTTTTTTAGAGCAATATTGACGGCGAGAGATTTATCCGAAATTCTGCGCGAAAAGTCCATGACGTCACGGGTTATTCTGGAATGACCATCTCGGTTGTGAAGGCAAAGCCGATCCACCTCTCCTCCGCATGACCGTAATGCCGAAAGAGGAAACACGTGGAAAGGAGGTGACTGCCAACTAAATTGCGTCTCGTGCCATCAATATTGCTCTAAAAAATTTTTTTTTTTTCTTAAAATTAATTTTTTGATTTACATGTCCCAAGCAGTCTGTTAAATTTTTTTTTCTTTTCAGGGACCCTTTAAGTTTTAATTATTGATTTTATGGGCCATGTTACAATTGTAATTTCGAAAACGCCGCCCTGACATGTCGCAGCTGTCGCCGTGACTATACTGCGTATTAACACGGGATTGCTCCATTTTTTTCTTTGACTTTGACCTGTGTTCGTGCGCTGCTTTCATTGATTCCTCTTGTATTCACGTCAGACTCCCTGGAGTGTCGGCGTGCCGTGAAGTGGATCTGCGACTTCGTGGTGTACCAGTGCCAGCGTCCCCCGCCGTTCCACTCCCGCGACCTCCACTCGACCATCGTGGCGGCCTTCCAGTGCCTCACCACGTGGCTCATGGCGCACCCACTGCTGTTGCAGGACAAAGAGTGCGTGCACTACGTGCTCGAGGTGGTCGAACTCGGCATCTCCGGCTCCAAGTCTCAGGCAGGTGGCAGCACTGTTTGAACCTAGAAATAACGTGTGCTCAGGTTTGACAGTGTTTGAAACCGTTTGATTGAGCGCAAGAACTCTGACTTCGCGAGAAGAAGTGCCCTGCTCAACGTCCGACGCCTCGAGTCGCACGGGGCGTAAGGGTGCAGCTTTGTTTTTTTGGGGGTGCCGGTCTTGACGGTTGTTTCTTTTTCTCTTTATGTGATGTCAGAAAGATGGCGTGTTTTTACTGAGATTCTGGTGATGCCATTTTTCTCTAAGAGTTTGGTGGCAGGGCCTCTTTTGTTCCAATAGACTAGTAATAATATTTTACAGCCATAGATCTAGTGTATTTGGAGAGGATGTCTTTTGGCTTTAAGCGAGTGCAAGTTACGGCAGTCATTCGAATCGGAAGGGACCAAGCCCCCGAAATACTATGTCGATAATACAGTGATGGCAAGGGCGAGCTGGTATAAGTTCACCATTTTCTTAAGATACCCGAGTCTGGGTGGAAAAACTTAAAGCAACCAAAGCAGAAGAAATCAAAAAGGTGACAAGAAAGCGGTGCTAACTACTTGCCTGCAGTGCGCACGTAGGTTGTGAGACGAGCTTCAGTTAAGAAACAGTGCCTACATTTGTATGAGATGTTTAAACTTCTTTTTATGAAAACATTATTTTGGCTTTTTACGCCACACAGATGAAGTTAATAACTTCTGATCAATGGTACTGTTTAGCTACATTCCCCCCATCCCACAATGGTGATTTCATGCATGGCAGTGCATAAAATCACCGTTTCGCCTCATTTCGTTATCGTCTTTCCCAAACGGCAGGGGGGTGTACAGCGTGTACAGCCTGCCTCAGACAAGGCTGTACACGCAGTGCACGTCTGCTATGACGGACGGCGAAACTTATCCTTCCGCCACCAGTTCTCTGACAAGAAATAAAGTTTCTGATGACGAAGCTTCGGGCAGCGGCTGGCATAACCGTGAAGGGGTCATTTTTGTGTGCTTGCAGCCCAAGGTTTCCGACGTCCCCCTGCTCAAAGCCGAGAAGGAACTGAAGCCGTCTTCGCTGCGAGTCAAGGATGCTGCGGAGGCTGCACTTTCCTGCATGATGGACCACGTGGTGAGACTCACTGCCCCAAACTGGTTGCATTATTGCGAGTCAATTCTAGTCTAAAAGGTTAAAGTGCAAATTCCCGCAAAAATATTCCCGAACATATTTTTTTTATTTATTGTTTGTCTATAATTTAATGCTTCCTACGTGCATTGAAATCAAAGACTAATAAGTAAGAAAGATTTATATCTCGCTGAAAAAGAGCAGAAAGCAGTGCTCTTCTCGCCAAATCGGGGCATTGAGCTTTCTACTTTCTGCTTCGTTCGCCTGTTACGTCGCGTCCCATGCAACCAAATCGGAATGCAAAAGATGGGAACGACAACTGGAAAAGTAATGTCTTATTGCAAGCAAATTGGACTGCGAAATAAATGCAAATAAAGATTTATACCTTATGTTTTTGCTCTAGTATGGTAAGGGTTACATAAATAAAAAGTTGTTAAGCCATACTTCAGATTTGCAGTAATTCTTTCCTCCACATTGTTATCAGTGATAGAAATTAAGGCCCATACGCACTTTCGCGTTTGAACGCGTTTGAGTGCGTTGCGGAGTCCTTGCGGCCAGGCGCGGTCGCTTGCGGAGCGACGCGCACCTTCCCGCAACGCTCGGTAGCGCGACGCAAACGAGTAGAGACTCGCTCAACTTTCCGAAGCATTGCGGTGCGTTCGACCCATCAGAAACCGAGAGAGGGGAGGAGGGTGACGTGTTCGCTCGTGCCACTTGGCCGACTCGGCGAGACGTATCCGGTTCTCCGCTCGTAGAACTTGCTTTTTCGTTTTGGGAAGCGTTGGGGAGTGTATTTTCCAAGGCTGCAATGGTTCAAGCTTTACAAAACGTCGGGAAAGCCAGCGGGATTGTCCCAAGATCGAACAGTTCGACGCTGTCACTGTGCACCGCCATGTTGGCTTGGATTTCGCTTACTATTGGTGAGCCACTAGCGACGATAGCGCATTCTTATTGGCTCTTGACTGCGGTTGACTGCGTGTCAATACAACTGTGCGTACAAGTTTGGCGCAAGCGCTCTTCGCAACGCAACGCGTCTGCTTGCCGCTACAGAACGCACCGCGCTCAAACGCGAATGTGCGTATGGGCCTTTAGAATGGGTTGATGTATTAATCTTATGTTTAAAACCACGTAGAGTGATAAAGAGTCACTATTTTCTAGCTACAGTGATTTAAATCAAATGAAGCCAATTTAAATCAAATAGTAAATCTAAATTACCAAATTAAAAAAAAAATTGTGATTTTTTTTTGTTATTATAAACGTGAAATTAGAAAAATAAATGTACGGACAACTGCACACAGTGTCTCTGAAATGCTGAGCATGGTTGTGTTTTTCTTCTTTTTTCTGCCCCGAAGTCAGGTTTCTTATGGAGGTAGTTCACCAGCTTTCATGTGTTTTTATCCTTTCACTTTTAGTGTAAGGGCAAAGTTGAGATGTTCTGGGGATTTGGTGGTGTTGAAATCGAAGTGTTGCTCGCGACTTTTGGCTGGAGAGTTGATTCGATTAGGACTGGTTCGGTAGAGAAGGACCACAAAACACAGTTGTACTGCATTTTGTACCAGTAATAGTCGCTTTTACAAGTTTCCCGTCATCTATTGGTGGAGGTTAAAGAATACACGCGGATGCCATAGCCAGTCACCGTCGCCACGATTGACACGTTGACGGTGTTTTGGGAGCTTGTGTTCTTACTGATAATCCCACACCGCTCGGATGGTGCGTTTTCATTAGAGGTGCGCAAATATTCTAAACTTCAAATAATTCGTGAATAGCATTTGCCATTAAGTTTGGTTCACAGCACCCTTTTACCGTTCGAAGTACAGTAGAACCTCAACAATTCAATCTCGGTTTATTCAGAATCCTGCATAATTCGCAAAATTTCCACGGTCCCATGATTTCTCATGAAAATATGACCGGATAATCAGATGAGCACTCCGCGTGTGCCTACACGGTCAGTTTGCCAATTCAGTCTTCCAGGTTCAATTTTTAGTCGCTAGGTGGTGCCAGTTGGCATCCAGATTCGGCAGAAAAAACAAAGATGCCACGCATCTTCGCTGATCTGTTTCCTGCTTGCTGGTCCATGCGCTTTGTAGTCTCTTTATTTTTTTGGGCTTGGGCAGGTGTTGGGCAGGCTTTGTCACTCTCGCCTCACTTGGAGTTGATGATCGGTGTCAGTGACCGGTACTCTTGGTGCCGTGCCGCTGTGTTTTGGGACATTACTGATCCACATGTAAGCGATTTAGCGAGCGACGAGATGAGCGACGGCGACAGCAACGAGAGTCAGCGACAAGCGACGGAAATTTCTCATTGTTACCCGTCGTGTCGCTCATTGCCTTGGTTGCTTGCTCCTGTCGCTTTTATGCGATATGCCTTGTTGCGCGATTGACCGAGCGACAGCGAAGCAGGTTGCCGTCGCTTGTCTCGTCGTTTGCCAAATCGCTTACATGCAACCAGTCATGGAGCAGGAAGATACCACCAGTGCTAGTGCCTGTATTGTCCCTTGGATTGACGATGAGGGAGAGAAGCTTTGCTCCCGCATTAAAGGACAGTGACGGTGAGTCGTTCGGCATGAGGTTGACTGACTTCTTAAACACGGAAGAGAATGAGTAAACCTACTATGCAGACCTTGAGGGCGAAATCACTGAGTGTGACGGCAGAGGTTGATGACAATGATGAGCCACCTCGGGGCCCCACTTTAGGGGAAGTTATACAGTCGCTGAATATCGTCCGCAGCTTTGTGGAATGTAACGACGGTGATTCTGAGATGTTGCGCCTAGTTAGACTTCTTGAAAATATGACGGTCGGCGCCGCTAGTTACAGAACGCAACAGTCCCATATCGCTGATTCCTTCGGGTAATGCTCTCTCATTTTGACTACTCGTTTTGAATCAAATGTTTCCTTCAAGATTCAAGGCTTCGTGCACAATTTTTTGTTGTTTTCTTTAGTTTTTAAATAATTCGCAAACTCGCTTAACTCACATTTTTTTCGGTGCCTGACTGACTTCGAATTAATGAAGTTCTACTGTATTAGAGCTATTCGAAGTTAGTATAAAATGACAAATAACGTCTTTGGAATTTTTTACTTCTCGCGTCGAGCTTCACCGCTTTGCACCGGCGCCGCAGCATCCATCTTTCCTGCATCGCACCGGTGCACACGCGTCAAACTTTATTGTTCTGCACCAGCGTGCTAGGAGGAACAACCAATCTCTGGGACCATCTGAGTTGGCTGGACGATCGCAGACATCTTGCTCGCCCAATCTCAAAAAAATTACCGGCGTGGGAGAAAGTGCTTGCTTAGAACGTGAACCGAAGTGGTAGCATTAGAGGCCCGTAATACCCCGTTTGAGAAAAACAACATAAAGGGTCGACGCCCAGTTCACGTTACCCATGTCACGCGGTGCATGTAGGTGCACCGTGAGCTGACTCACGCTTAATCCCCGGCAGGACAAGAAAGGCAGAGAAGTCTCTCGGTCACATAGCCCCTAGCGTTAGCTTCCCGCCCGAGATAACGCTTCGAAGTATTGTGGGCTTTGAGCAAAATGTCGTTCTCGTCCTGCCGGTCACTGGTCACGAGTGTCAACAACACGGGTCTCCGACGATTGACGGCCGTCGCAGTCGAGAATCGCCGTTCTCTCCTGTCGCGACAGGGCTACTTCCCCAAGCTGGCGGGTCCGGAGACGCTGTCGTCTCTTCTAGACGAGGAAGCGCTGCTCAAGTTTGGCCACCCAGACTTGGCAATGCCCGTGCCGGAGGCCGTCGGGAAGCACTTTCGCTACTTCGTCACTCAGAACTCCGCCATTGTCGCCATCCTCGAGGAGAATCTCGGCAACGATCAAGGTGCGGAGAATTTCGGTACACCTTGAGTTGAAGGCACTTTGAGCTCTCCCCCAGATCATTTTTAGTGCTTAAATATGACACGGACAGTCGCCGACTGATTTTTCACACTTTGCAGGGACCAAAAGAAAATGTCCGAATAATAGAGCAGGCCCAAAAATCATGGGATTAAAAAAACTTGCCTTTATTACGTTTAAGCAGGGTTAAAAAAGGCCATAAATAGTGCTATGCTTCAGGTTACGGCTGTGCGCCTTGCTTCAGGTTACGCCTCCATTTGCATTCGGCAACTTTTAGCTTTAGAATCGCTGCCTTCTTTTCTAGCATTATGGCTGAGTACTTTCTGCGCTTCTTAGGGACACATCGTGGCGGCGGAAGAACGGATGGGGCAATGACGTCCAAGTTAGCATAGTCCGAAAACTTGATTCAGCGAGACGAGATTGAGATGAGAGGTGCAAGTCCACGACTGCAATGGAAAATGAACAAAGCAAAATGGTAACAACAGTGATGATGATAATGATGCGCACCTAGAGAAAAAAAAACATATAGCGTCACCTAGCAGTAGGGCTTAGCAGTGCTCAAGCAGTGCTGCCAAACCAAGCCATTCCATGTAAGCCCAACATAGGATACAAAATGACCGCTTCTTGGTGGTGTTTCCTGCTGATTGCTCGCGATGAACTTCCAGACTTGAAGCCGTTCTAAACATCGGTCGTGAATATGCACTATTTCTACAGAATAGGTTACGGTTTCTTCTTTAGGTCCGAAATATCGAAAAGTCGGAATTATTGGCGTCCGAAAAATCGGTCGGCGACTGTATGTGACAAAAACAAAAGCAAAAATACCTTGCAAAAAAGAAAAATTGTGAAATGTTAACGTTGTAAGACACATTTTGAGTCAAGAATGATTCCAAACATGCTTTTTTTTTTTTTTTTGAGACGTTGACCCCGAAATAGAGGCGTGTTTGGAATCGCTCTTAACTCAAGATTGGCCTCACGATGTAAACATTGCACTAAAAATGTTTTCTTGAGCTGGGTGAGGGGGGGTAGTACATTGTTTTTGTGACAGACGTGTCACGTTCAGGCTCTTAAACAATGTTATTTTTGGCAGTTCAGTGTCCTTTTAACTGCTATTAATTCTCATGACCTGTTGCTTTCAGGAGCCCTTCCAACTGTGACCTTGTTAGTAAGGGTGCCATTTGGAAGACACGCCTGGACTATGCAACTACGTCATCTTCCGAGGCACAAGGTGCGAGGCATTTGATTTCTTTTACGATTTTCAGCTCGTCCTATAGCAGGCTAGGTAGGTGGATGCATCTGGCTGGGTTGGGGCCAAACTCCAGGCATATTTTCCCGGGTATAGTTGGGCTTTTTGAAGATGCCTCCAAACCAGTTTAGGCTTTCTAGATGCGGTTCCAACTGGGCTTGGTGGGGCCTTTCAAATGCCACGTAAACCGTGATAAACGTTCCAGATGATCTAGATCAGGGGTCTCCAAACGTCTTGGCTGAGGGGCCGGATCGGGGATCTGTCACACTCTCAAAGGCCGGACTAAAAACGAGTGAATGTAAATGAGGAAATACTAAAGTAAACTTTATAAAGCATTTAAGTGATAAATTTTAAACTACAGTAGAAAAGGCACTCTTTTTCGCCCACAATGTGGGAAGAAGTAAAAGCGATAGCTGCAGCACGTTCGTGCAAGCTGGCAAAATGGTGTCGTCACGCACCTAAGAACAGTGGTGCAAAGTGTTTCATGCACCCTGCCGTCGTGGTTGGCATCATGGATACCACCGACGACTGCCATGAGCGCTCTGCGACAGGTGAAGTAAGCAGGCAGGGTGAGACACCGGATGCGTGCGTCGATTTACTTCGTAAACTTGCCAGGTCGACGGCGGTGCCAGCGTGCGTCGTCGGCACACTGACCTCGGACGCCATGCGGAGGCTTAATTCCGCCATGGCGAGGCCGCTGAACTAGTCATTTTTGCAGTTACTAAGGTCAACGTCGAAGTCGCTGGTTACGACGAGCGGGACGGTGTTGTGGTGCAGAGCGCGGAATCGGCGAAGCGCGAAATCGGTGAAATGTTGGTTGCGGGTTGGCCATGTGGAAGGTCTTAGCCCTCGGGCGCCACGGAATTCTGCCGTAAACCGAGCCGTTCCTTCCGCGCTCGCTCCTGGGACGGAGTACGGCCTTGGCGCGGCAGCACCATTAGGAAGACTCTGACTTAAACCGAACCACCAGCATGCCAATGGTGGCTTGGTTTGTCCTTGGAGAGCTTTCCTGTATCGTGACGACAAGTTTTCAGGCAGGAGGCATCCGAAGGCCGGTTTACACATTTTCATTTAAGTGTGATCAAGCACATTGTGACCGCTCGTAATCGCTTACGAGGAGAGAGAGCACGCAGGCACTATCTGTCGGATCTAACACCTTCGACCTGCATATCTTTCGTACATCATTCCTTCACTGTGTGCTTGATATAAATCATACGACATTAAAAAAGATACTCTTTTTTATGGATAGTGCGTAGATTTTATTTCGCAAGTACTGTAAAACCTTCACTCTAGTAGTCAGATGTACGGGGCCCGATCGAGCAAACGAAACGCGGTTTCTCGACCTGCAAAAATAAACTGCATCGCAGAAAGCCGAAACTCTGTGAGAACGTGATGCAAGCGGCGGTGACAGAATGCAAAAGTCTGAGAACATGACGTCACCCGGATCGATTTATATGTACGAGACAACGAATTTCTTCCACGAGCCGACGTCCATCAAAGTTTAATATTTGTCGAGCCAGAAAATTACATGTGGGTGCCTGTAGCATTAATTGTGGTGAAAAAAAAAAAAAAAAACTTGTCAGCGAGAAAGACGATACTGGTTGCCTTCTTTCTGACAAATCTCTTTTACGAAAACAGATGCTACAGGTGCCCGCAATGTCATTTCTTGGTTCAATAAATATATTAGGCTTATAGAAAATTTTTTTTTGTATCCAATATCTTTTGAGCCATGTAAGGTCGTGTTCTCTAACTTTCGCATTTTGCCACCACCACTAGCATGACATCCTTGTTGAGTTCCACTCAAAGAGAATGTGTAATCCTGCTCAAATGCAGACGTGTTATCCAGCCTTGTGGGCCATGGTGTGACAACCAAGTCTTTGCAAAATCATTGCAGTTTCTCTTTTTGCCAACCCTAAAGCGGCGGCCTCTCTTTTCGTTTAAATACGCAGTCCGGGGCTCGGAGTACGGTTGCCAACCCGGGACGTCCCATGCCGCAGTACGACCCTCCGCTGCACAACCATCCGCCTCCGAGTTACTTTCCTGAGACCACGGCGGACATTCCCACCTGCGAGATGTGAGCACCCGGTGGCAGGAGGGTTGAGTGTTTTGGCGCAAAAGGTTTCAAAGTCATTTCAGTGAAGATGTCATTGTGTTACGTGACACCCTGACATCAAGTCATAAGTGAAGAAATCATAGTATCATATAACACCCTGATATCAAGTCAAATAAGTGAAGACGTCATAGTGTCATGTGACATATGATGTGAAGCCCTCACATCAAGGTCATATAAGTGAATATGTCCCAGTGTCACGTGACATGTCATGTGACATCCTGACATCAAGTCATATAAGTGAAGACGTCACAGTGACATGTGACATGTCATGTGACACCCTGACATCAAGGAGATATAAGTTGTGACATCATGTAACATCATGTCACTTGCCATGATGATATCCATTGAGATGATCAAGTCACATGACAGATCATCGGGTCATGTCGCATGACGTCACGAGGTCACATGACATCGTGCGACCCCTCAACGTGACGTGACTTAGTCACGTGACCTCACAGGGAAAAAAGTAGCCTCACGAACAGTGCTGTACAGTGCAGACTGTGTTCTAGATCAAAACAAAGTAAAGCCGTATATAAAAACTTATTTCCCAGAAGTTTGGGTTTTTCTTATCAAGGACAAATCTGATTCCAGGGATTTCTTTTTTTTTTTTTGGTTTTCCTTGATTGTGATAAAGCTGGGTCAGGGGCTAGTTTTCGGTGTTCATTGGTAGGTACGAAAACATAAAGACAGAAGCCATTTGTAATCGAAGAGTCGAGACTTGTTGTGACCTCTCCCGTGATGGTCCTTGTCGTGGTAGCGACAAGAGCATTCCGGATCCGACGAGCTCCACGCTGACCCGGGAGGAGGCGCAGATGTTGGGCTTCCTGGACCAGCAAGCCAAGATGGAGAAGAGCGTGTGCCGGCGATGGGAAGATGCCATGTGGCAGCCCGGAGCGCTCAGCCCGAGCACCGACTGCAAGGCACCGAGGCAGGGAACACTCTTCTTTACCTTGTTTTGCTTTCAACTTTTATGTACCCCCGCACTCCTCACACGGACACTATGAGCTCTAAAGCTCTATCTGACCTTTTGCTGCACTTGCAGCTCTCACAATCCCCGTTAACACTGTTTGTGAAAGAGTTTGGATCGCATTTCACTCCTGGCCTGGACCGGCACTAATTCTAAAATCGACGGGCATCTCAAAGAAACGTGGCAGTCACTTCACGCTTGTATCGTGTGTAGCATTATTTAATATACTTATCTCTGTGGCAACCATCAGGCTACCCGGTGATGGAGTCGAGTGCTTTGATATCCGAGGCTTTTGGTGTCTATTTCTGTGAAGACTGGACGTGGTAAATCTGCATTTCTTTCGCTATGATAAAATTGTCATCTCTGTGGGCTTAGACAAAGTAAATAAAAAAGTGAAAGCCGTTTACAACTTCCTGTAACGCCGAATTGGAGCGCAGCTCTTGAGGAGGAGGAGTGGAGGGTATATTCCTCCTCCTCCCTCGTGATCATGCCTGCTAGTCCTCCTCCCCTCCTGCTCCCCCTCCCTCTCCTTTACCACCTCCTCGTCCTTCAAGCTCCTCCCCTCCCCTCACCTCCGCCTCCTCGTCTCTCCTCCCCCCGTCCTCCACCTTCGTACTGCTTTCCTCCTTGCCGCTCAAGCCGGAAAGGGTCGCGTAAGAGCTGTGCTCTGAAATATAGAGTCAGGACAAATAATTTGGAGGGTTGAAATTTTATTGATTGGGGAAAAACCGTGGTGTATATTGGAAACTGCGTTGCATATCCGGCCAAGGTTTACGCTAATAACGTACAAAGCCAACGTACGCAATTGTTATACCAATGTACCTTAAAGTTTGCTCCGCGAGTTTCCAATTTACGTCCTGGATGAAAACCCCATTATTAATTTAACTAAACCGCCATGATCAGCCGCCGTGGCATGATGTTCAGCAGCCTCTCCAGTGTAGCAGCCAACCAGGACATGAAAAAAAAAAAGCATGTAGTTAAGCAGTGGGCAAATGTTCCCAGGGTTTATGCTTGACATCCACGCTTAGACAGTTAGAAGTTAAAATGCTGCCTACCTTTTTTTGTCTGCTGTGTGTAAGCAGCAAAACTTTTCACTTCTAAGCTTACAAGGGTTTCAAGGTGACGTGATCACCAGACTAAAAGTGTGATGGACACTGGAAGATGGGCACTCGGCCGAGTATAATATAAAAAAGAAAACACTTATAATAAGTGAAACAAGCGTAAAAAAAGACACTTTAGAGAAGCTACAGGCAGGCACACCATCTTAAACTTGATAAGGGACTTACCCCAAACATGGTGTTGTGATTTGTTTAGATCTGACGCAAGATGAACTTCAATACTTGATGATGAAAGAGGGTCATGAAAGTCGTCACATGCTTGGAACACACCTATAATGAATGTAGGGAAGCCGGTCTGAACTGTGTTAATGACGTTTACAATGTTTTCGTCGAACGTCTTAACAATGCTGTCGGCCATGTTAAATTCGAATGAAAAATATTCAAGCTCTAGATACTTAGAGTGTGTAGTTCCAGTAGCAAAGGAAGGAAGAGGCCCCGAGCTATGACATTCCCTAAGTTCCAAATGTGCTCCAAGCAAGGGGGGGGGGGGGGGGGGGGGCGGGGGCGAGAGGGAACGGAGGGGAGGGTATGCCCCTCCTCCTCATCCGTACTCTCTCGTCGTCCCCTTCTCCTCCTCCTGTGCTCCTCCTCCTCTTTTGAGGTATCTCAATTTTGCGATATACCGCACTGAACTATGTAATATATTGTGGTATTTTTGCTCACCGCTTGTACGGAGAAAGGGAATATACTTGTCAGATCTGGAAGCTCCAATGTGATTTACGATTGATGAGACCACTTGCTTGCACAACACGTATCTGGCATCTCCTCTCCTCCTCCTCCTCAACCTCACCGTCCTCCTCCTCCTCTTCGTCTTGTACGACTTGCACGCTCCAACTGATAACGAAGCTGGTAGATGCTCCTCCGAGTGGCCCGCCTAACACCTCTCAAGGTACGCAAGACCGTCGGAGGGAACAATTTCCCAGCTTTCGTTCTTCTCCTCCTCCTTTCTTCCTAGCGTGCAGTGCATATCGTCGCCAAAGTTCGGCGTCCAAAATCCCCACAATATATACAAATATAGAGCAAGCTCCTCCTATACTGGTGCTTTAAATAGCACTCTTATCCCAGTCCTTGATTGTTATGAAGGAAGCCTTGTGATCTGAGAAGTGGCAGGATATGTGTTCCAGGTGATGGACCAAAGGCTCATTTTGAAAGACGAGGTCTATGCACGTGTTTCGAGAGGTCGTCACAGCGGTGTGAGCTGTTACGAGGGAGAGAAATGGGAGGTTTTCCTGCATAAGTGGTATGAAGTTCTTATTCTTCTTTAAGTCTGCATTAAAGTCCCCCACTACTAACATGGGTGTGGACCCACGTGTGCTTAACGCAAGTCGCAGAAAATGCACGATATCTTTGGTGAGTGCTGTAGGCGAGATATACAGAGCCACCACTACCAAGCCGTTGTCGAACTTGGCGCCACAAAGTTCTCCAACTTCGTCTGACGTTCCAAATATCTCGATGGGTACGGCAGACAGACCCTTACGCACGTAGATGGCCACCCCTGCCGCTCTGTTGTGCTCTCTACTGACGCCGCAGCAGTACTGGTAGTCCATGATTTCTACCGCCTGTTTTGGATCCATCCACGTTTCCGAGAGGCAAAGTACAGATGCATGGCGTAGGACGGGGTCGTGGTGCACGTCCTTGGAATGCGCCGGCAGAGAGCGAACATTAAGTGCGGCGACCGAGAACAAGTGCGGTTGCTTAATCATTGCGTAGCACTTAGCAGTGACAGTTTGGAGTTTGTGTGACTGCAGCCGACGAAACTCATCGAGTAGTACCCTGTCGGGATTGGGCTTGCCGTGGTAGAACGTAAAGTCATTGTCCACATTGGTGAGGTAGAGCCCGTTGATGTCTGTAGCACGACTCAGTGCCACGTATACCAATTTCTGTGGATGACTTTTGGCATACGAGTACACCACGTTTTCATACGTGCCTCCCTGTGATTTGTGAATGGTGATAGCACTTGCTTGCACAACGGGTAGCTGGCATCTCCTCAGGGATATCCTTGACTTCTTATCAATGACGCAAGTGACTGTGCGTCTTTCGATAGGTGTCCAATTTTGCTGAATATTTCTGTCGAGTGCCCGTAACTGCCGGGATTTTGCGGCCGCCACGGTTCCAATCGCAATTTTGGAACCAAGCTCACCGAAATGCAGCCAGATGCGTTCCGGCTCTCGGAGCGTATCGTATTGTATGTACTGCAGTATTCCAACAGAGCCATTGACCAGACCATCGGAAACATCGACATTGAGTGTGAGCATATATGGTTTTCCAATGCATAGCATTATATTAGCTGACAGGTTTCCGAGTTCGGCCTTGGGCAGCGTTTCGGCCTTGCGCATTGCCTCTGTCTTCTCCTGCATAGACCTGAATCCAACGATTGTGTCCCGTGCCGGACATGCCACACAATTATCTTCGGTTGCAATGGCCGTGTTCGTATTGTAGTAGTCCGATTCCTTGTTGGAGTAGTACAAGCGGATGCCACCGGGACAACACGTTTCTGCTTGTTGTTGCGTGACGAACCGACTCTGGATCAATGCGATTTCTTCGGAATCCAATTCTGCACCGTCTCCAATTTTGGTAAGTATGGTGGAAAACCTGAGATCGCTTTGCCTTACAACCTTCGTGAGGACAAAGTATGACAAATGGTGCCATGCGATTTCCGTGTTAAACACACTGTTCGTCTTGACGCGCTTGAAAACCTCGGCGGCACGAACGGGGGGAAGCTGGCGCAGGTCTCCGCAGAGGATGATGTCTAACCCGCCGAAAGGCTCTAGATATTTGCAAGTGATGATGCGGAGTCGCGAGTCCACTTTCTGAAGCATGTCGGCGGACATCATGCTAACCTCATCGATAATCACGCACCTGACGTTCCTGAACGCATAGCGGAACGTGTTCAACTCGTTGTCCCGGAGTCCGCCATCCCTATTGATGGTAAGTCTGAACGCTGCATGTACAGTTATTCCACCAAGCGCGACCGCCGCTTTTCCAGTTGTAGCACAGGCAACATAGGCGTTTACATTATCTGAACCAGCAGGGTTGCAATATCTGTTGTAGACGTCCATGATGAGACGCAGTACAAATGTCTTCCCACATCCAGCCACTCCCGTGAAGAAGATTTGTAGTGGCGGAGAGTCCGGTATAGTGAGTCTATGCACGACTTCTCGGACGATCTCGTACTGCTCCTCATTCGTCTTGCGCATTGTGTCCAGGTATTGATCTCTGCTCATGACGTCTTGGCGCGTGCACACGGCGGGGCACTGCTTAAACGGGGCATTGGATTGGACCATACCGATGTCTAGGAGATCGGAGTCGTTGTTTTCCATGGCCATCGGGTGCAGTCTCACATCTGGGAGCTCAGAAGTGGCACAATGTTCCCCGTCATTTGACTGGAGCATGGAATTACAAACGGCACGAATTTGCTCAATGTCTACGTCACTGTGGTACCGTGCCTTGTTCTCTAGAATGACGTCGATGTTTTGCTCATACAGACGCTCGAAACAGTTTTGGTCTAAGATGTCAACTTCTTTGCGGAATGGATAGAAAAGCAGGACATGTTCTCGCTTGAAGTTGACTGAATCGTCTACGGAGTAACCGCGGTAGCGAAGTATCCGTCGCTGATTCCTCTTTTTGTAGGTATATATGTTGTACTCGGTAGCGAACTCTGCTAGAGTAACAGGTTCCAATTCGGGAATGCGGTCTTCGTAGCGCTCGATCATCGTCCGTTTCCATACATCAGTGCTTGATTCTACTAAGCCTTCCTGCGCCATCTGAGCGTTAGACTTCCGAATGCGCGTCCTTTCCTCGGGCCATGCAGAGTTCACGAAGACAACTTTGCGACTCGTCTCCGACATATCCTGGTTGAGCAAACACCATGCGGCCTCCTGTGCGGACAGTTCAATGGCATTCAACATTTTCACACCTAGATGTCTCAGTGCCTGAGAATAGGCCATATCCCCCTTCTCCTTGACAATTTCTTGCACTGCTCGATTGAGGTTCGACATACCTCGGTTGGCCTTGTTTACATATTCCACCACGTAGGCAGCACACGCGTACGTGTCGAGGACGATCTGAAGATCCATGTTAGAATCGAGAATTGATGCAACCCATGGGTTAAAGTAATTCACCCACTTTTGGTGCACAGTACGGGGTAGCATGATGGTGGCACGAGGAGTGCCTGCTCGGAGAACAGAAATGTACTCCGCCTTGTCCGCGACACCGTGATGTTCCCAAAACTGCTCCATGGAGTCATAATTTGTCGTTTCCAGGGCCTGATGCATGGCCTCGTACTTGTTTAGGAGGCTCTCGATTTTCTTCTTCTGCGCTTCATTGTCCACAGTGGGGAAAGGCACTACGACCATACATTCATCGATGGGCATAAAAGGCGCGTTAAAGCGGCATCTGGTGGTGTTGTGCTTGTAGCAGGTATGCGTGTGTTGGTGCACCTGAGTCCGCTCCCGCTTCAAGCATCCGTTGTCGATGGAAAGCAGAACGTTGGCTATTTCAAGAGTCTGGGGCATGAGCATCGAGAGCTCCTCGTTGGGCGCGTTATGAAGCCAAAGGAGAATGTGCGCGTGTGCCGACCCGCGGTGCTGAAATTCGATCCGCTTAAAGTAGTCGACGACTATGTACGGCCTAAAAGGCGATACACGGGTGTTGCGGAGAATGTTGAGAATGACACGCACCAATCGGTCGAAATATATGGCACAGACCACGGGATCGTCATTTACTAGCTGTGCTCGATAAATGCTGTTCATTTGCTCACGTGGTACTTCGATCTCGCCGGGCTTCAACCGAAGGCGTTGAAGCAACTGCAAAAGGTCGGGCCAGTGCATTTCCGAGGCAGAAAGAGTGAGGAACGCGGTCGGCTTACCCAACTGCCGTATCATAGCAAAGAGGTCTTTCTTGCGTTTTGTCCAGTACTGCACGGTGTTGGGAATACCATGCATGAAAGCCATGTCGTGCTCGACCGCTTGCTGCACAAAATCCTTGTCGAGCAACTGTTGCTTCGTTAGTGTTTCCAGTGCCTTTATGTTACGGAAGGCCACACACATGTCACCGGCTACTCGGTGCCTAAACACTTTCATGGCCATGTACAGTACGTGCTGCGGGGTGGCCCCTCGACGGTCTGATCTGCGGATCTCACTCATGGCGTGTGTGAAGACTGTCGGTTTTGCGCTGGCATCTACTCGGCGCGGCTCACCGAGATAGATCTGTGGGAACGAAAGCTCCTCTGAGTGTTCGTCATAAAGTATGCTCACGGGCCTTTTTCCCTCACCTGGCGCAATCGCTAGAAACTTGTCTTCGTCCCATACGAGAGTGTGCTGAGCCAGAGTCATGGCTGTAGCCACTTGGATCGGATCGTTGAGGTCTGAGCATTGCGGGAGCAACTCGATCTCGTCGTGTTCGTCCACTTCTACGATATCCCCCAAACGGGCAAAATCGCACTTTATATTATAATGCTTGTACAGCGTGCTATCACACAGCAGCTTAAGCCACGGCAGCAGATCACATTTTTTTACTGCCCCTGCCAGGTAGGTCGTCTTCGCAAACATGCGCCGCTTCAAATGTACATTGAGGGCTCGGTCTTGTTCGATGGCACGAGGCAACATTGTCACCATGTCGTCCACATCAACACAGACGTTCACTACTGGTCCCTTAATGCCGTGTTGACCTGCACCGTGCATCAGCCGTCGCAGTTGCATGAAAGGAATTCGTGGAGATATGAGTCTCTCACTCACCGCGTTCAATTGTGGGAGGTGGGCTGGCTTCGGGGGATATACATAACCGTTACTTGAGGAAAGATGAGGAATATGACCCTTGTGCACTGATTGTATGCAGGTCGAGCACAGTTTGAATTGGGTTAGGTCCGAGTTTGGAAATGATTGCTCTAGGGTCTCGTGACATCTGTCCGGTAGCGGTTGCAAGTCGTTTTGGAACCAGAGCCGATCACAGACTGAACATACGCTCCCAAACGGGTTGTCTCTAAACAGCCGTTGGAAAATTTTTGTTGCACCGTCAGGCTTAGCGATCCTTGCCTTTTGCTTGGCTTCCGCTGTGGCGGCGCTCACTCCTGGCTGCTCTCGGCGGCGGCGATGAGCCTCTGCCTCGGCGTCGCGCACTTCCGGGTCCTCTCGATAGCGGCTTCTGGCTTCCGCTTCGGCGGCGCTCACTCCTGGCTGCTCTCGGCGGCGGCGATGAGCCTCAGCCTCGGCGTCGCGCACTTCCGGGTCCTCTCGACGGCGGCGCTTAGATTGAGCTTCAGCAGCGCTCACTTCTGGCTGCTCTCGGCGGCGGCGATGAGCCTCTGCCTCGGCGTCGCGCACTTCCGGGTCCTCTCGATAGCGGCTTCTGGCTTCCGCTTCGGCGGCGCTCACTCCTGGCTGCTCTCGGCGGCGGCGATGAGCCTCAGCCTCGGCGTCGCGCACTTCCGGGTCCTCTCGACGGCGGCGCTTAGATTGGGCTTCAGCAGCGCTAACTTCTGGCTGCTCTCGGCGGCGGCGATGAGCCTCTGCCTCGGCGTCGCGCACTTCCGGGTCCTCTCGATAGCGGCTTCTGGCTTCCGCTTCGGCGGCGCTCACTCCTGGCTGCTCTCGGCGGCGGCGATGAGCCTCTGCCTCGGCTTCGCGCACTTCCGGGTCCTCTCGACGGCGGCGCTTAGATTCAGCTTCAGCAGCGCTTACTTCTGGGTGCTCTCGGTGACGGCGATGAGCTTCTGCTTCGGCGTCGCGCACTTCCGGGTCCTCTCGATAGCGGCTTCTGGCTTCCGCTTCGGCGGCGCTCACTCCTGGCTGCTCTCGACGGCGGCGATGAGCTTCTGCTTCGACGTCGCGCACTTCAGGGTCCTCTCGACGGCGGCGCTTAGATTGAGCTTCAGCAGCGCTCACTTCTGGCTGCTCTCGGCGGCGGCGATGAGCCTCTGCCTCGGCGTCGCGCACTTCCGGGTCTTGTCGACGGCGCTGTTTAGCTTCAGCTTCGGCGGCACGCACTGCAGGATCTTGGCGCCGGCGGCGCTGAGCCTCTGCTCGGGCAGTGCGTTTAGCAGCAGCTGCTTCATCTGACTCGCTCATTTTGTGAAAAAAGAACTGCCTGATTACGTCTCGTCGTCGTCGTCTTTGTGATATCACTCATGCTGGATCACGGCGCCGGCGGTGCTGACCCTCTGCTCGTGCAGCACGTTTAGCAGCAGCTGCTAAAGCCCCTCCATCCTGACAAAAGTGGCTGCATTGATTGTTGTGGAAATGCTCGAGACACGTGCCGGGCACCAATTCTGGGAAGAACATGGCCAGTGTAACATGGCATCTGAAATCTAGTTTGAATGTGCACTGTGCCGCCATGATCTTTCCAAAGTCTGCACGTTGCACGTGCCTTGTGCATCGACGCACCGTGCGCTACTTTTAAGAAATGAACGCACTTTAGCAGCTTTTAGCTTCTCTTTGTTCTATTATTTTTCTGCTGCAGGGTTTTTCAACCGTGCAGCAGGAAAGCCGAAGCCGGCCGAGGGATAAGAGATAAGAGTCTTTTAAAATAATTTTTCGGAGAAATGAAAATTCGGATTTGTCCGCCCTGCTCATCCTCCCTGCTCCCCTGCGTTCTCCTCTTCCCCTCGCGGGGGCCACGTGATCTCGGGGGGGGGGGGGGGGGGGGGGGGGGGGGGAGGAGGAGGAGGAGGAGGAGGGAAGGGGAGGGGAGGGGGTAGTCACGTGACCCTCCCGAGGCCACGTGACCCCCCGCTGAAGTCAGGTGACGTGACCTTGGCGGGGGGAGGGGGGAGGAGGAGGAGCGGAGGGGGAGGAGGAGGAGGGGCGACGCCGACGCCGACGCCAACGCCGACGCCGCACAGGCTGGAAACGGGTCATGTGACCCCCTCCCGCCGAGGTCACGTGACCCACCCGGACCATACTACACAATGAGGGGAGGAGGAGAAGGAGGGGGAGGAAGAGGAGGAGGAGGGGAGGAGAAGGGGGAGGAGGAGGAGAGGGAGGGGCGCGGTTACGCCGACGGCGACGCCGCTCAGGCCGGAAACGGGCCCCTAAGAGCTGCGCTCTAAAATGGATGGTAGAAGGAATTATGTTAAGAGGTGAGCTGTAGTGCGCAAAAGCGAGGGGAAAAGCAGCCATGTACGGAATATAAAATATGCTCTCACACCGGGTTTGGTGAGGGACAGTCTAGAAATACAGAACGGCAGATTGGACTGCCTGGTCGTGGCCATCGCTGTAACATTTAGTGGTTTTGCTGGCTTTCCTGCAGCGTCTGCCAAGAGTTCCAGACAGCTCGGCTCTTCCTGTCGCACCTTGGCTTTCTCTGGGACGACACTTCAAAGGTACGACGCAGTTTTATGCACCCCCAGGAACAAAAGACACTTCAACAAACTGACGGTAAACTACAGGGTGGGGTCCCTTTAGTGCAAGGGTGCACAACATGCGGCCCGCATACGTGAGACTGCGAGATGGGCTCAAGACAGAAACCAGTGGGATGATGCCAGATATTGAAAAACCTGTCTGCCAGATATTGAAAACCTGCACGTTCCCAATAAACATTTTTTTGGCTCGCGTCATTTTTGAGTTGTCACCCCTGCACTAGTGCATTATTGTTTTGAAAGAAGGCATTAATCGGTTTCTTGCAGCATATTCTGCTATGATTAGTCGTGTGCAAATTGTGGATTTTGAGTTCAAAGTGAATAGTGGTTTTGACCAAATATTTTTTAATTGAATATTGAATAGTTTTTCTGAAGCTTTTACTACTGCTGCACCGTGCTTCATTGAAAACCCAGCTAAACCGGTGAAGATTGTTCCTAACCTTCCTCTTGTCCATTTATAAGCTAATTTTAATCTAACTATATTTATCTACTGTGACCTCAGGATCGTGACGTCGGAATGCCTTGGGATGGTAAGTAAACAATGAATTTTACATAAAATTAAACCTTTAAGCCCAGCTACAGCTAATTGAGTAGATTTACAGATCGTGCTATAGCATATGCAAATAATCTTTCTTAAACCTTGAACTCGAAAAAAAAAAAAAAAGGATCACGAATGATGAACGTCGGTTTTCAGGGAATGTCTGCATAAGATATACTTTTGCATAACAGCCACAGTTTAACTTAGAAAATTTTACTGCAATGTAGATAACAGCAGTGACAAAGTTTGTTTCTTTTTAAACACACTAGGCGCACGCGTGCACCACCCCACTTTGAAAGTGTGCTTTTCTGCCAAGCACGCTGTTGTGATATTCAGACTTTTTCAAATTGTTGATGGCGGCGCTTCTTACCGAGAACCGGTGCATTGTGGAAAAGCAGCACCTGTGGAGGCTCTGCAGTGCACCTGTGCTCGGTAAGAAGCACTTAACGAGGCAAGGGTTTCCCCAGGAACTGAAATTAGGGGGGGGGTGTCTAAATTTTAAGGGGTGGCCGGGGCATTGAAAAGAGAGGAGTCGTTGCGAATTAAGGAGGTGCCTTCAGAAAAACAAGGGGGGGGGGGGGGGGGGGGGTGTCCCCCTAGGGGGTGTGTAGGGAAATCACTGCAACGGGGCTAACCCACCGCTATCAACACTTAAAAAAAATGATTATCGCCGTTCATCTCAAAGCGAATATCGAATAGTGTATTATTTGAAACTACTGTTCGAAATTTTGGATATTTGCACAACACTAGCTATGATTTACTAAGGGAAGAAGGCAGATGAAGTGATTTTAGAGGGAAATTAATGAACGAGTAAAGGACCATAGGTCACAATCGATTCTCATTGTTTTTAGAGAACATTACTGCTGGTTTGCCTCAAAATTAATTCAACACATCGATAGACACGTTGTGAATATGAGGAATTAGGTCCTCAAATTGTCTACAGTACCAAAAAAAAAAAAAAAAAGAAAATAATTGCGGACATTTGTGCATAAGTCATTACTAAGCGGTTTTTAACGAATTTAACGGGGCTTTATTTGCCAATAGAGATTATTATTATAATTATATTATTAACTAGTCGCCCAAAGTATAGGTCAAAATGGTTTTCTATTTTTTTTTTCGCATAGCTGTTGAACTTTTATTTTGAAATTCATTCCTCACCATTTTTTTTCAAACTGAAAGGTTCCACTGGCAACACTGTAAACATGACAGGTGTTGTAATTTGGGCAGTACAACTATGGTGCCTGGATCGGGTCTTTGACTGGTGTGTTTAGCGTCCTATCCCACCCATACATCAAAAGTGGTCCCGATGTGGCAACAAATGACGCGAGTGTCATGCTGTTGCCTGTCGCGATCCTGGCGGTTGGCCGTAGAAATGCTGGCGAAAAGCTCGAGCGAACGCGAGTGTCGCTGTCTTCACGGCGTCCCTTTAGGCGTCCCAACTCCCGCTGCTTTAGCTTCCGTGAACTGTCACAGTGCAAAGCGACCTGCAGCAGAACAGGCATCTGCTACATACACCACAGCTGGTGGAACGCCGCCAGGGTCGCGACCGGCGACAGCATGACACTTCTATGACGTCATCAGGCGGAAATCGAGGGACCACTTTTTTGGCCGCGGTAAACACACCAGTCGAAGACGCGCTCCAGGCACCATAGTACAACTTGTTCTCAACAGGTTAAAGTTTGATGGTGTGCAGCAAGTGCTGGGGAAGCTCACCCTAGCACAACAAAACGAATATGTGACATACCGCGTTTTTTAGGGGCGAAGCTCCTTAGGGTCTAGCCTTGTCCGTCCGGCGTCCATGCTCACATTGATTGCCATCCCATCTGTCTTCTTAAAAAAATAAAAAATGTTTGTGCAGTCGACAGGATTCGAACCTCTGCGGGAAGACTCCAATGGATTTCTGATCCATCGCCTTAACCACTCGGCCACGACTGCGAGACCAGTGGGGGGCTCTGAGATGTAGTAGTAACTCAAGAGCTGGGATGTCATGGATGAAACGTTGCATGTAGCCGCTCAACGTCTATACAGGAGAGGGTGCTACGATCAAATGCGTATAAAATCGCGTTAAACTTTGCATGCATTGGCTCAACGTTTATAGACGAGAGGGCGCTGCGGTCAAATGCTCAAATGCTTACATAACCAAGTTCCATACCACACATTCCATACCAATGCAACCCGGAACTCAGCACTACCTATGAGCAATAAAAAAAAAAATCAGCACCATCAGCACTACCTATGAACCACCAGCACAGCCAGAGCTTCGCCCCAATCAACATCATTCACCACGTGGAGATGCGGTCATTTTTTTTTAGACTGCCTGCTCAGCCTGCAAGCTTCACAACATGTGATGTCACCCCACTTGAAATTGCGGGAGAATTTGAACATCTGGTCTCGGTACTGCCTCCTGCCTCTTCGTTTGCCTTTTTCTCAATAGCTATTCTGAATTTGTTAATAATACAAAATACTATTAAAATGTGCCGGCAAAAGTGAAGTCAAGATGTTCCAAAAATTGCATGTTCGCATTCGGGTGGCTCAAAAAGAGCTGCCGGAGCTCTCCTCGAAGAGCCAAGGTACAAATCAGCGAATGAATCGATTGGTGTCGTTCCAGGGATCATCTTCAGACGGACAGCCCCTCATGGCACTCGACCAGAACCAGCCAGGCTTTTACGCTGCCCTTGAAGCCCTGGACAACATCTCGTCACGTACAAATGACACCGTGTTCATCTTCTACGTCAAGGAAGGCCAGTCCACCGCTGCCGAGATTCTCGGTAACGTGGTGAGTGCACCTTCACCAACGAGAGAGACGTAGACGTGGCAAGCGGCTGGGATGAATAAAGCCTGTAGGGAATTGTTCGATATCTTTGCTCGCCATATTTACCCGATTCTAACTCACACCCAGGTTTTTTTTTTACAGCGAAGCTGTTTATGGGTAGGTTTTTCCCTGGATCCGTGGATTTTTCGTGTGCGTCAACAAAAACTCGGGTCCTGCATTTGATGCAAAGTCGCTTCATTCTATGCAAATGCTTATACATTGCACTGTTACATTTTGGAAGTTGAGATTGATGTTTATTAGCGTTTCTTAGTCACCTTGAAGCACATGGTTTAAATTTAGAATGTGCATCAATATTGTATAAGTGATTAGAGACCATAAACATACATTTTAGTCGGGGTATTTTTCGACGGATCGAGAATAGTGGCAGTCCTAGTGTTTTCAACATACCTAGAAGTGAGTCAAATCGCTTATATTTGGATAAAATAAAGCTCGCCGCCTTTCTTAGAATTTTTAGAGTTGATCAATATGAGTTCTTTTTTAAGGGTGTGCGAATACCGAATAGTAGTTATCGAATTGAATACCGAATCGAATTAAGAAAAAGAAAAGCCAAATATCAAATCGAATATTGAATAGTAATTTTATTTGTAGGAATTTTTCAAAATGTGCTGTGAATGAGATTTATTATATGTGCAGAGTATGCGCCTGGTGCAGAATATGCATCTCATTCGAAACAAAAGATCAATTGTATAAAAGTTCTGATGAAAAAAAAAAAAAGAAAAGCAGTTGCTAATGGACGTTGGGCGCTAAAGATCCAATTTTATGGCGCAAACATAATCTACCTACCCCAAGCGTCCCGAAAAACCTAAAGTTACTGCCACGCGTGCCTTATTTTCTTGTTAAAAGCACGACCTAAAACTGCGACATATTCTTTTTTATATTTATATATCTCAGAAAAGGGGCATTTTGCAATATTTGGTCTCAATTTTAAGGGAGAAAAAGGGCACCCTGGATTTTATTTTATATAAATAAACAGATAGCTGTTAAATCTGAGTGAACAGGCTTAAATGATATAATCTGAAGTAAGAAAAAACACGTGGTTAGGTGGTGCAAGTCACCGTCCAGTGGCCGCTATGCATCCATTTCTCCGTCCATCTATCCTGTTTTAAAGAGCCTAGATGGCTTAGATTTAAAAAAGGGAGCAAGCAGAACTGAAACCATGGAGACGGCTCCTGCGCAGACTGTGCAGCACATGCGTAAGTGCGCATGTGTTGTGTAGTCAGTGTAGTCGCGTGGAAAGAAAACAAGGGCAAACGTAAGAGCAGCCTTGACGCCTGCCCGATCGACGCTTTTTTTTCGTTACCTTCTCGGAGTTTGTAATTCAAACGCAGCTATTAAACGATTGGAAACCCTCTCAAATCAAGGTACACTATTTTTTCGTTCCGTTTCGTTTCTGATTGGAATTTGCGGCTTGCTGTTCCGAAAGAATGATGACAACAACGTGCGGCTGGTTTCATCGGCGTAATTAACGTGGTTTTCTTTTGTGATCTCGCAGTCGCCGATTTCTGTCAGTGTGGCAAGTGTGTTCTACATCGGCGCTTCGATTTGAAACGAGGGCCTTTACTCGTGAAAAGAATTGACCAGCAATTCCCCTCTGGAAGCGGCGCAAGCGGGATGTTTCGGTTGTGATTAGAGGTTAGATTGCGTCCCGATCATGAGTAAATCTGCGTGCTACAAAGTTTGTGGCCTTCGTTACTTTTCTTTTTCTAACCTGTGCGTTAGATTCTTGTGGAATGATAGGACCAAAAGGTGTTTCTCGCATGGTTTGTCGAACATCACGGCGCTAACATCGGGGGAGAGACTGCTCTTTTGTCAGCTGTGCGCCGACCGTGCGTCTTTGGCCGAATACCTATATTGAATATTCGAGTGGCCGAATACTAGGAATTCGATTCGCGAACCAAATCATTCGGGAACTTGCTATTCGATTCGAATTCGTATATTCAAGTATTCGCACACCCCTAGTTTTTTTATATGAGTCCCAAATCATCGCAGCATGCTCTAATGTAGGCCTAATATAGGTTTTGTAAGCCATTAACTTTGCCAAGGGTAGAGAACTGTTAGGATTTCATCTTAAAAACCAAAGTTTTTTCATAGCTGTACGACATATTTCATTAATATGTTTAACCCAGCTTAAGTCTTTCGAGATTGTTAACTCGACGTATCTAAAACCGTCGACCCCAACTAATGGACAACCACCAAACTCGAAAAGAAAATAAATATTATTTTTGTTTTTTTTAGCTATTCTATCAAAAACAGTTTTCTAGTTATTTATTTCCATCTCCCACCTTGAACACCGATTCTGAATAGACCTAAGAGACATACTTAGCTTGCATTGGTCATTTTAATTTATAATTGTTGAATAAATTAAATAATTATCCGCAAATAACCGTACAGTAACATCCGGATTTACTTCAGCAGGCTAATTTTGAACACATGCCGTATATTTTTATGTACTGCACTCAGTTTGATAAATATGCCCCGATCCTCTCTATGACACTGCGATTCACCCCATACAAAGACACTTTATGAAGTAGCTTACAATGAGGCACTCGATGAAATGCTTTAGTTAGGTCAAGGATCTACCTAAAGTGGTAAGAGACATCACAGTCCGGAATGTGACGGAAGGCAACACTTGGAGGCTGGGTGTCGGAAAGAGATGCCCGGTGACTATAGTAGAGGCACGCTCCCGCAGTCTCGACGATCGTGTCTGCTTCTTTTCCTGTCAACTCCCTCTCAACCTCCGCACATCTTCACGACTCCAGGCGAGCAGCCGTAACGTGCACCCCCAGTTCCTGGAGTTCCTGCGGTCTCTGGGCTGGCCCGTTGACGTTGGCATGCACACGGGCTGGACCGGCCACGTCTCCACCTCCTGGAGGGTCACCAGCGGCGACTTCAACATCGGTACAGTCTTCCCGGCTCTTTCGGATCGTGGGGCCGCACCATCGCTCCCGTAGTTATTGTTGGGGGAGATGGAAATTTATTGGTTGGATACACTGCTGTGTGGACAAAATTTTCAGGAAGAAGCTGCGTAAGTATTTGCATTTTTGCCTCGTTATTATAGAAAATTCACATTATCGAAGATTTTTCGGGGGAGTCAAAGATGGTTTTCATACTCATACTCATACAGCTTTCATACTTTGCACAAATACCGCTTAAAACGAATCAATGGCGTTAATGACCTATGAAGCACGTCTTCGTTTTTCATCACACGCAATAGAAGTCGCAGAAAACAATTTAAGAAAAACGAGCAGCGTTCAGCCCCTCGACATGCAGCCAGGACAATCGGCCACGTGAGCTGGAGTTGATTACATGCCGCCAGTATTGATCATAGTCACGCGCTGAGGTTGGCAAGGCTCAGGACATGCACTGAGTTCCAGACATTGTTATGGTTCGGCTGTTGCCGTCATTGCAGCGATTGGACACGGGCCACTACCCGAATGCTGGTCCTGCTATTGATTGTCACGAGTCGTAATTAAAGGGGTACTCCACCGATTTTTTGAGCTACCTCAACTAACTATATTTTCTGACTCCTCGGCCTTTAGCCTTTCCGGTATGCTATTTAGCATCGCGAAATTCATAATAGGTATTGTGAAATCGGCAAATGAAAATGGTGCAAAAACCAATATTCAAATATTCGCACACTTTTCAGTGCCGTGACGTCAGTGGCAGGCAGGCTTGCCAGTCAAGCAAGTAGTCTAAAAATAGAATATGCCAATCATTTGTTCCGTGCTGGAGCGCGGATACGGGAGCGAGCTTCCAAAGCACTCATTTGACACCAAGAAACTGCTTCAAATCCGTTGGGAACAGCTTCTGTAGTCCAAAAAGTTAACCCCTGCCTTCCACTGACGTCACTTTGTTGTTGCCAGTAGAGACTTTCAGTTTGAAAAACACGGTGAAGACCAAAACTGTAAATTCAATAAGTTCGCGAAAAAACAATATTTTGACCTAATATTTGGGATACTATTTTAGCAATGTTTGTTGGTTAGTTTAGCAAAATTTCAAGCAAATCGGAGACAATGAAAAAACCGATGGAGTACCCCTTTAAGTGCCCATGGAATGCTTGGGTCAATCCACTAGTGCTAGTAAGCTCTTGTAAAGTGAGACATTCCAAGCAAATATTGTTGCACGGCCCTCTTAAATTCAAAGGTGGCCTGGAATGGTATTGGTGCATTTGTTTTGTTTACTGATTTGCATGAAGGACGGTCACGGGGTGAACGTTCGAAAGCTTACACGGATGTGAAAGACATAGCTTATCTTTGGTAAACCTGAAGGCGTTTTTTTCTTCTTCAAGAGTTCAAATAGGAAAGGGGAAGACAATCATGCTGTTGACTATCGCCTGTGACTGGATTGCCCTTGTTTTCTTGCCTGCAGGAAGGTGTCCCTCTAGGCTGTTAGAATTGCCAAGATTCTCTGTACCTTCTCGTAGGCTTTCTTAGTCCAAAACAGCTTTTTTACAGCGGAGCTGTTAAGGGCTAGGTTCCCCACGATTGGGGAACCTAGCTTCTTGTTTGGTGCATACATGTGTGCGTCTGTTCGTGGCGTGCTATCATTGCGAGCTGAGACGGCATTGCTGCATGGCGTGGACGGCACCACAAACACGGAGCTCAAAATGGGACGCTTTACAAACGTCTGTGTGCAGCGTTCCACTAAATCTTTATTTACCCATCGGCTTTATCTTAAACATTGCGCATTCTTACGAACCGCGGTCGCGAAGATCCGGGAGGTTGAGCAGGTTTGCGGTGGACCTTACTTTAATGGAGACGGACTTTGATTTTACACTCTGCCATTACATTCCAGGATATGGGGTGTTTGCTGACCTTGCGATCCCTGAATGGGTTACTACTTGTGTCATCTTTCTGACTTCATTTCTTTTTGTCCGAACTAATTCTTTTGTTAACGAAACAAAGTTTTATAGTGTTATCTCCATCGTTTTCCTCTCACATGCATGTACTACGACTTCGTGGTTGCGTAAATCGGGAAGGAATTGCGTAAACAAAGATAAGTGTCTTTTCTTCCTTTGTTTCACTTTGTCATGGACGTCCTCTAAGTGTAAGGTCCGCGGCCGCGTCATTTGGGTAGAACAAATGTTTGTGGAGTTCGCGTAGGGGTATTTGGGTTGGGCGGTCACTCTGTGGTTTTTTTTGGAAATCGATATTCGTCCAGAGAGTGGGGTGGGTGATGACTGGGGAGATTACGGTAATTATGTTTTACTCGGTAATGCTGCGACGAGATGTTTATAACCAAGGTTTGTTCGATTAAATATATGGTCAGAGAGTACTGTAGTGTCCCGTCCACGTTCAAGGCTGCTGGCACTGTTTTTTTGGGCTCTATCGCTTGTATCAAATTACCTCTTATATCAAACTTCTTTGCTGTCCCGTTAACTTCGTTATAACGAGGGATTACTGTATTAGTAATTACATTTGATAGTATAACTTTAACGCAAAAGGACGATAGAGAGATCAACTCGCCGACGGTGTTGTCCGCAGCCGACCTGCCGGCGGACCACGGGGGCAGTCTGTACAGCGGGCACCATCAAGTGCTGTACTGGTCGGACGTCCTGTCGGAGGTGGTCTTTGTGGTGCCCTCTCCCAAGAGCCTGCCCAAGGACGTCCTCTCGGGAGAAGTCACCCTCAGGCCCAAAGGTGGGTCTGAGGCCCAGCCTCTCGTTCGTCATGTGCAGCCTTCCCCTCGGCCAGTGTGCATTGTAGCGTCCGCAAGAAGCGACCACAAAAGAGCCATCGTAGCCTCCGCTGGGATCTTCGCTAGCGTGCTGGCATAGAGAGGCGTTCTAGTATCCTGTCGTGCATGATCCACAGGCATATAGGAAGTGTTCACTGGATGCCATATTCAGGGGTGGTGTTTAGAGTACATGCTCAGAACAAGCTCGCATTAATAGGTTGCTAAGACCAGCAATCTTGATGGTGTGGAATGCATGTTGCAAAAGAAATGTGGAAGCTCGCCATCAGCACGTGTTCAGTACTCGCGTGCACAACTATCGCCGCCAGGGAATACTTCCTATGCAAGCATCTGTGTCAGCATATTTCCATGCGTGCTAACAAAGTGTTTTAAAGCAGTCGCAACTTCGAAAGCAACAAAAGAATGGTGCACTTCGGCATTCCACGAAAACACTACAATGATTTCCTCTTAATGTTTTTGTTCTTATTGCTTTATTTCACGAGTTTATATTAATCTGGGTGAGGGTGATGATGGACAACCAAAACGCGGCCTGCAAATATCCTTTGCTCGGCAGCGGAGTTGCTCAACACTTGAGAGCAACGAATCTATAGCTTTGTTTCTGGCGAACTTAAAAACACACTCGATTCTCCAAAAGCATTTTTTTTTTTCTTTTTGCTTGGATAGAACACGTTTGTTACAAAATAAATTTTACACAATTTTTTTTTTTTTTTGCATATCATGTTGCAAACGTTTTGAGTGGGTAGCGATTATGATATTTTGGCACATCGACCTGTAGAAGCATACTATTTCAGAATCTCTCCTAAAGACGCTAACTAAAAAAAAAAAAAAATACTTTTTTGAGTTTCTGCTTTGCAGATTTGTGTCACAGAATGAAATTTTCTCAGAAATCTACATTATAGCATGTATTTACATCGCTCATTTTGCTTTGAGTGAGGAGTGATTCCAAAACATGCTCCTATTTGAGGTGTGTGGTGAAATTAAACCACTCAACTTGAGTCTCGCGATCTAAATATTGCACTTAAAATTGTTTTCTTTCCAGGGAAGCTTATTTTGTGGGCACGTGTTCAACCCCTACTTTACAGCTACTGAAACATTTTAAGATAGTTAACTTTACTACTTCGTTTGTGTGGCAGCATGTCTTACTCTTTTTAGCTCTTTCCAGCATTCAAGCCTAACTTAGCGAAAGGCAAAAGCCAGGGTTCTAGCGAGCCAATAGGGGTGTCTGAATGACACCTCGATTAGAATGACACCGGTATCAACATCGCACCGTTGAAGTGCACTTCTCCCATAGAGCGCAGTCGCTTCGCCCCATCTCTCCGGTCGGCTGACAAGGGCTGCAGCTTTATCCCTTTGCCAGGTTACGCCGAAATGGGGTAACATATACCATAGAGTTATTATAATATGCGCTAGAGGTTTAACTGGCGCTAGTGTCTATGCGACTTCCGTGACGCAAATTGAAGCAGACAGCACCCACATGAAAATGAGCTGCAGCTTGCAGCTGGAAATAAAGGTTTCCAGATAAATACACGTACGAAGTCGTTTTAGCACTGTTTTTAATGCGATGAATTTGAAAGAAAAACGCCATAACTGACCAATTATTTCGTTGGCCTGACTGAAAAAATGTTTTAAGCTACCTAGTACGTACAAAATATTCGGGATATTTGCTCTTATGATCGAGCACGGGGAGAAAATGCACTCATTTTTTCCCATAGAAATGCATTACCGGAAGTCCATTTTCGACTGGTTGCTGTCTGCTTCAATTTGCGTCAGCACACTAGCGCCACTTGAACCTCTAGCATACATTATAATAACTCTATGGCATATAGCACCGTAGCTTGCCGTTCCTTGGTTTAATCCGGTGCCTGGAGCGCCTCCGACTGGTGCATTTACAGCCTCCTCGAAAGTGGTCCCTCTGTTTCCGCCCAATGACGTCTTAGAAGTGTCGTACTGTTGTGTGCTACGATCTCGGCTCTGCAGCCGGTCAAGACGGAAACCAGAAAAGACGAGATGCCAAGGTGGCAGCGACCCTTGCGTCTGCTTGCCCTTTACCGCCGCCATTCCTGTGATTGACGGCCGGGACTGGCCATGGGTCGTCGAACGTCTGCGCCGGATGTCGCAATGGGATTGCGACATCCGACGGCGCGAGATGGCAGCCCCCGTGTCGAAATTTGTTGCCGCCTGGGGACCACTTTCGATGCGTGGGCGAGATAGGGTGGTAAACACGCCAGAGCCCTTTACACTGGGAGAGTTTGGCACTTTTTTGAAGATGCCGACAGGCCTGGCAACCGCAGCTGGAAGTCAGGCGACCAGGAGGTGGCACCTTGCCTCCGCCATTTTGTGTTATTGAATTTCGAACCCACTCTGGATTAAACACGCCAGGTACGAGGTGACCCCCTGTGTAATGAAATTGTTTCTCGTTAATGCACATGGTTTTGGCACGCGCACGTAATCGACAGCTCAAACCCACTTTCCTTATTTCTCTTTTGTGAAAAGTTAGTATTGAATACTTTGACTATTAGGTGTCATAAATGACCACTGCTAAAATTCAGTGCTGCGACGGGCGCCATCTAGGTTAGGCGCTGCGAACTCGTGCGCTTAGTTGCCATATTTCTTTTTGTTTGAGAAAGCATCATGTGGTTTAAAACCGAAAGAAATAAAGCTTATTTGTAAGTTGTGTTTTTGGAGATCAGTAAAGGATGGCCAGTGCTTGAACATAGTGTCCAATTGCAGGCATAACCAAATCTGAGAGTACAGAAAATTTTGTTTATGAAACAACTACTAACCGCGCATTTGGACTAGTGCACGCTGAGTAGAGTGGCCAAAAAAACAAACTCCTCCATTTTGTGCTAGCGTAAACTGCTTGTTCTAGCGGACGACAAGCTCCGACCATTGGCTAAACTCTCCCAATATATGGGGCTCTGAAACACGCCAGCCGAAGTTGCGTTCCTGATACCATACCCAGAAAGTAGTTACCTCTCTAACCTCCTGTCTAATGACTCTCTGACCTGCTACCAGCCGACAGCTGCTCGGAGCGTACCTCGACCATTGTGGGGCCCAGCGACGACGCGGGCTCGACGACGCCACTCGAGGTGAACGCGGGGGAGAAGGCGAGGGCGATGTCGCTCAACCTGGATGCGGGGGAAGGTGTGACCAGGCCTGCCAGGTCGCGCCCGGCTCGCTCTACCCACGTGACCTCCGCAGAGGTCAAGGTGCTGGTCGTCTGGCTTGAAAGCTTCGAAGATGCCCTCTCCTTCCCTCTGGGTGAGCGGGACAGAGGGACAAAGTCCGGAGGGTGCATGTTTGTGACTGACCTTTTTTGAGTTGGGCGCCGTCTGGGCCATTACTCGCGAAGCAACAAACGAAGGACAGCCCACACGGCCCCCTACCCATCGGAAGGCGTTGACTTTGGGCCGTTTTATCGGTTTTAATGTGAAACATCCTTTGGCTGGGTGTTTGGCATTTTATGAAGCCCAGACAAAAGTGGAGCCTGGATAAAAGCCTGGCCATGAAATTCGACACTGGTTGGTTGATGGGTGGGTGAGGAGTGAGGTGTTTCACGCTGATTGGTTAACAAGGAGATCATGTGACCAGGGGTGGAGTGAGGAGGAGAGGGAGGGCGAGCAGGCGAGGTGGCAGAGGAGTGGGTTACAAGGTTCTAGAAGATCACTACGTTTATCATTTCAAGTGTACACATGCCACACTTTAAAGGGGCACTGACACCCCAAAGGTCGTATTTATTTTTATTGTCTAAAACGATGTAAGTTGCAGTCATAGACACGCAAAAAAAAACGCACCGCGAAAAAAAATTTTCCCGGGCCCGCGCGCGCCTTTTTATTTTTGGCGTTTGATTTTCCCGCCTCTCGCCTCCTCGCTTCTTTTGATCGGTGACGTCAAGAATCAGGAAATTTAGAAGCTTTGTAGGCGACATCTCTATAACATTTAATTACGGCAATCCTAAAACATGTTTTTTAACGCAATTGCGAACGCACTACGGCCCTTCTTTTTGAAATACCAAAAATCGGGAGTTCGTTGTGGTGCCGTCTCCTGGATTGGTATCCTCCCACGGAAAACAGGCGACACCGCTCAAAACCGGTCCGCCGCAACGAGCCGGCGCTCGCTCCTTTCCTCCTCGCTTTGGGTCGCCATGGCAACAGCAGGGAGTGGAGAAGAAAAAGTGGACTCTCAGGTCTCACCAATTTTTGACGTCAAGGCACCGGCGCCGATCGCGCGGGAACTTCGAATTCGGCATTTGGAAATTGTTTTTTTACTTCACGAATACTGAATTCCCAAATTTCAAATTTTGAGGGTAATGTCCTGGCATCGTTTTCGATCGTTTCGGATAATAAAAAAAAATATGATTTTGATGTGTCAGTGCCCCTTTAAGTTATCTGACGGAGAGCGCCGTGAACGTAGGTGTCTTGCTGAACAGGCTAGACATGATGCTAAACAATGATATAAACATTTGTAGTGCTTGAGTGTTTCACATATGCAACAAGTGCCTAGCAATTTGCCATACATTTTCATTGTTTTTTTATCTCCTATGCAACCAAAGCTAAAAAAAAGATTGGAGGAAAAGACGAAATACGTGCAGATAGGGGCTCACAATTGCTGCGTTTGATTTATGTGCCCCTCTTGCACCAATTGCACACCGCCATATTCGATTTACGAGAGCAGCCTATCTCAAAACACGTCACGAAGTGCATTGCCCTGCACTTTTCTGCACCGGTGCAAGCTGGGCCAGGTAAATCGAACGAGGCAAATGTCGGTTGTGCGGGGCGGTGCCCTCCGAAAATGGTGACAGAGGGAAGCAAGGGTCAGTGTAAAGGGTGTACGTATTCGCAGAGGCTTACTGAAGAAAAGTCGAGGGTATTCCTCGTGCCATGTCTGCAGTGCCATCTCCCGAGGTCTTTTGCAGGCTAGAAAGAGCGAAACAAGCTCCTCCCAACAATGCCCCCCACTCTTTCCACTTTCGCCGAGTCAATGCTTTAGAGGAGGAAACTGCAAATCAAATATAGAAGCTACGGTACAAGCACGAGCATGTTGCGTCGAACGATGCTTGCAGTGCACGAGCTTACGTTCTGGGCAGGAATGCTGAAAACTTTGAGCTCACTTTCGTAGCTTCTGCTTCGCTCCCACCTAAAGTGAAAGGGGGTATAGTATCGAACTCAATGCCTCTTTGTTTACGTCCAACTTCAGTGTGCTCTTTCGACTTGCTCAAGATCGTTCTTTGTAAACGTTGAACGGCGCAAATGAAGTATATACGCGCATCTTGTCGCTCACTCTATCAGTGATGACTATCTCGAAAGACACGTGATAGGCCTTTTTCCAAATTACCCGAATACCAAGGAGAATGCTGGGAACATGCATGTGTGTGTGCTGCACGTGGTCATAGGGTTACCAGCTCTTGAGTAAAGGAAGTGGGTAGGGGGTTGCTGCAGCACTATCAGTTTGTGCTAGACAAGCAAGATGCCCAGAGTCGTGCTTGCATACTCGACAGATGGCCAAAGCTCCCTGCAGCCAGCCAGCCAGTGCTAGCCATTGCAGTGATCACTCCCTCAGTTCACCGACCCGTGGGCATCGCCCTTTCGAGCTTCTTGACCTGTCCGAAGTTTGTGTATGGTGCGTGCGAGTCATGCAAATCATTAAAACTAGGGACGGTCCCACAAAATCCGGAATGGTTAAGAACCCTACGCGGTCGCCTTGTCTTTGTAAGAGATTCAAAATAAATAATCAAGATAACGTGTCGAAAAATGTGTGCACAAAGTGCCAATTCTTTTTTTTTAATGTAAACCAGTTACTGCTGCAGACAGCAGCCATGCAGCATGTATAACTATACTTGCAGCATACCCCTTGTGCTTGGGTAATTTAGACAAAAAATCTATTGAGTTAGGTTGCCACAGAACTCTCTTCAGATGGTTCTCTTGTTGCAACCTCGTTTCACTGGTGAAACGGGGTTGCAAGACAACCTGATGCGTTACTTACATACATCCGTCGACATTTTCATTAAAAGGAAAAATTTCTGTAACCATGTTAAGTTCCTCCGTCATCCGTTCTGAAACCAGTCTTTGTGGTTCGTTTGTATCAATGGTCAACGCCTTCTTGTTATACTGAAGTTACGGTGCCTACTAGCCATTATTGGGCAGTATTTGGTGATAAAAGCATGCATCTATAGTCACAATAAATACAAACCCACCACTTTTGAAACAAAAAAAAATAAGCAAAAGACATATCAAGCACCCAACCCAGATTTCTGAGCATACCTGACCAATTGAGCTGCTTCTTCGAGCACGCCGGTTCAAGCCAGTGAAGCTCGATGCACACGCACCGATCCTAAGTGGTTGCCAAACCTACCTTGTGCCCCTTCTGCACTTCTGCTCTCGGGCCCAATGAGTGCCTATCTGCCAGAATTTCAACATTACCTCCAAATTTTGGGTGTGCGCTTGCTCAGTATTTTACGCTAGTCAACGATGGCAGTTTCTTGAAATAACAGTGCAAACCTTTGTTCCCGCTACGATGGCTTGTCGTGCCACTGTTGTTTTTGGAGAGTACCTAGTCTATTGGTATAATTTCTAATTGACGCCCATTATTCCCGCGAAAGGCGACCTGCTGCCGGCCACCAACACTGGCCAGGAGTCTTTGTGCGGCCGAGGATCTGAGCGAGACGTCTTCGTCATCTTCGTCCACGCACTGCAGAGTGGACTGTTCCGCATCAAGGTCCAGAGCCGGGGAGCAAAGCAAGTTTGCGCTAATTTTGTCCCGCTTTGCATATGTTTGACCTTGTCGACCAAATTATGTGCAGGTGGCGAGGCAAGATCTCTGTCCCTTTTGTTTTCGTGCTCCAAATTCTAGCGTTTCATCGACGGACGTGTGTCGCGCCTCGGAAGGGTTGAAAGTTGTGTTTGCCCGTAGCGATTCGCGACATGCAAAAAGTGTGCAAAAGATGAGGACAAAGTGGAGAACGGTTGTGGTCCGTTCTTTGTTTTGCATGCTTTTTATGCATCACACATTTTTTTATTCATTTATTTAGTACATACTGTGGGCCTGTCGAGCAGGCCCCCATAGGTGTGGGGTATGAAACGGCAAAAATTAAACTGTCGGCAGAACATTTCTACCATTACTTCACACTGAAATAAGCAGGTGCACTAGAAAAGGAATGCAAACAAAGAGAAATGTAATTACATTGTAACCATAAACAACCATCAGTCTGTCAATCGCATTGCATCGTCTCAATCGTGAAATTCATTAAAAAACAGTTAAACACAGCTATTGTTCATTATGCTGCCACTTTTCAGTGTTACTTCATAATCATTGTAAACTCACGCGTGTTTGAGATTCTGGCACAAAATAAATGCGAATAAAAAGGTTTGTTTTATACTTAAGAAGGTCAGCTCACAAGAGCCGAAGAGGTGGTTAGTTTGCGAGTGAGCCAGTATAAGTCAAGTCGAATCTCAGGCTAACACGGGGGCTAGTATGCTACTGAAGTCGAAAAATGCGCTTTTTTGCCTGGAGAGCTAGAAAAACGAGGCAAACGTTATTGGTGCTTTTTCTGGACATTAGTTGTACCTCTTTCGTCTTCCAGAAATTGGTATGTGAAAGTCGCAGGACTAGGAGCTGCCATTGGGACCGAGTTTTCTGATGCATTCTGTGTGTTCTGTCATCTCTCCAGAACGACGCAGGCGCTGCCGCTGGTGGACGGAATGGTCGTCAGCCGCCGGGTGCTCGGCGTCTTGATTCGCCAAACGGCCATCAACCTCTGTCGGCGAAGGAGACTGGAGGCAGAAATGTATGTCCGTTTTTGTACCACCCGGTGCCTCCATGTGGTGCGCTAGACACCATGGGAAGTATTTTAAAGTGCTGGCAGGGAGTTTATGCTCGCCGAGATTTTTATTTGTACGCGACGTACGAGAGCCAAACTACCCAGAAAGCAAGTCGCGGCTCGAAATTCGTTTTCTTTCCGCCCGAAAATCGCCGGTCGAGAACTGGCCGGTTTGAGTCGTGCTCACTCTCTTCTCAGTGGTCACGTGCCGTTTTCTGTGGTTTAGACACAACCACCAAAGATAATCAAGGTCATGGGTTATCTATGGCACACACACAATATTAAAAATAGAAAAGAAATATGATAGCCGTTTTTTGTGGCTTCTAAAAAAACTGAAAATACTTTGATTGAAAAAAAAAAGTTCTTCCTCCCCAGTCTAGTTTCGGTTTCGAGCAGTTGCGTGGGCTCCAGGAAAAAGGAGAATAAAGACAGGCTTTTTGTCTCCACAAGTGAAAGCTAACATGCTTGTTATACCACCAATTAATCACCTCCCTTTTACACCAGACCCCACTGTGGAGTTGAAAAGCTCGTCTTTATTCTCCTTTTCCCTGGAGCCCACACATTTCACTGTCATCTTAAGTGTGAATGGGGGACAATGTCAATTTCCTTGCGTTGGCTTGCGCACACCGGGGGCTGCTGGCTCGTGGGAAGATCACATGCCACTTATTATAGACACTGAATGTGTGGTTCAGCATCCCTTTAAGTACATTAAAGTACCACTTCAAGTAGGTTTAGAGAACTTGTACTTCACTTGAAATACATTCTCCAAGTATGCGCTTATAATTTACTTAAAAACATTTTTTTCTCATACTCTCCGAGGAAGGTATGACCCCGGACTTCAAAGTATGTTCCCCGAATTCGGTCTCGTTAAATTTGCATCACAAAATGATGCCTTGTCAACTCCGTAGAAATAGTAGTAAGCTAGTAAGCTGGGCTAGCACCAATGCATCATGTTTAAATAATTGGTATGCATTAAACATGATGATAGACCGCGCACAAATAGACAGAAGAGAATGCGCTTCTCTTCCGTTCTATTCCTACCTCGTCTGTTCTGTCTGTTTGTGCGCGGTCCATCATAACGTTTTCCGCCAGCGCAAGCGGCGCCAAATTCAGAAGTCGGAGGGACTTTTGAATTTGGCACAATTTCTCGAAATAACAAGTACTCTGTGGTCACTTGACTTTATCCAATATTCACCGCCACTTCCGAAAGTAAGCGATGCACCCCTGATTACCCCTGGGACAATGCCTACCAGTCACTATATAAGGGAATGAAAGAGCATTATGAAAGATTGTGTTAAAATGTACTCGCACTTGGCTCTGAAAGTATATGTTCTATTTAGTTCTGGGAGTTTCCGAGAAACGAGAACCTTTTTTTTTGGCCGAGGTAAATAAACTATGCATCGCATAAAGAAGCTCCTTGAGAATGTGATGCTGGCGGTTGGGATAGAACGCAAAAAGTTTGAGAACATGACAATACCTTGATCAAAAGATAACCGAGAAAAACTAAGTTTATCTACGAGCCAACGTCCATCTAAGCCCAGTATCGTTAAAATAAGAAATGACACTGTGGGAGTATGTAGCATCTATTTAAGTGAAAGAAAACTTCTCGGGAAGAAAAAGGATATTGTTTTCTTCCTTGCTGACAAGTTTGTTTTCTCTGAAATACACTACAGGCGCCGGCAGTGTCATTCCTTGTTTTGACGTCGAGAATTTGAGTTTTTCTCAATTATCTATTGATTCAGGTGACATCATGTTCTCAAATTCAAAAATACGAACGAGTTAGACAAAGGGGACGGACAGGACAAACATCTTTCGACTTTCAACACATTGAGGTCTTCTATTGCCGGACTGGCAGTAAAAGACCTCAATGTGTTGAAAGATTTTTTTCCTGTCCGTCCACCTTGGTCTAGCTCTTTCGTATTTTTTTAATCTATTATCAACGCGTTCAATCCAAGTTTATGTTCTCAAACTTTCGCGTCCTATCCCAACCGCTAGCATCACATTGTCACGAAGTTTAAGCTTTCTGTGATGCTTAGTTTATTTACCCGGGCCGAAAAACACAGTTCTAATTTCTCGCAAACTACCTGTACTTTACTGAAAATACATTGCATCCGGTGTACTTAGTACTTTCCGTAAGTACATCACCTCTCATTTACTTTGTACTTTACTTAAAATGATTTGTAGATGTACTTCACCCAGTACTGACTTTCCCCCGTGACTTTCTATGCGCCGAGGCAGTGTTTTTTAGTTCGCTCGAGTCCTTTTGCATCGTGATCGACTATGTCTGTTGGGATAGTCGGGAACATAAAGGAGTATCGGCTGGTACTCGATTTTTGTCTGTAGTACCAGTCTTTATCCGACCGAAGACGAGCCGGCGATAAAGAAGTCGATTCGTCGGAGGCCAAATGGATGGATCGATGGACGTTAATGGCTATACCTTTTGTAATGGGTGGTAGCTTGCGGCACCTAGCCTAGTCTGGAAAGCAAACATGTGAATCAACATTTACCGGGGCCAAAATGGCCCAGTAGATGTTGCCGGGCAGACTTAGAAAGAAAAAAAAGAAGAGGAACCTTATTGGCTATATCCCTTGTAACGGATGGTAGCTTGCGCCACCTAGCCTAGTCTGAAGAGACAAACATATGAATCAATATCTGCGGGGGCCAAAATGGCCTCAGTAGATGTTGCCAGGGCGAATTAGGAAGAAAAAAAAAAGAAGAGGAGTAAGAGCGGGTTTAAGCGGCCCAGATACATCAGCGATCATACTTATTGAGTTCTGGCGTCGACGGAGCCACTCACCATGCTCGTGCGTTTCACGAACCCCAAAAAACGACACCAATAAGTAATCGTCCGCACGCAACTCGTTCCAGGTGCCCTCCTCCTCACGTACGTCGTAGGATGAAGATCCAGGAAATTGCCAACAAGTTCCAGGTCCATCAGATGCAGCCTCAGCTGTATCAGCAACTGTTCAAAAACACGCACTGAACGGGCCGTCGAGAGGCCCGTTCCAAGCTCGCCGGGGTTCAAAGACGACCCCACGGCCGAAGCAATGCGGCGCACCCATGCCGCCACGCGTCCTCAGAAAACGTCCACCGCAAACGGACTGCGACTGCCATAGTTTGACCGTCTGTACCGGGATGTCAACCTCGTCCAATTGTACGGCTTCCTCAAAGGAATGTACGAGGAACGTGGGCTACGAGCACGGGAGGATCAAAGCACGGCCGGGAAACATTTTCTTTTAGTCTGTTTGCAGGTTGAGGATGGCGGGACAAGCTCCACCCACGGAGTCCTCCATCCTTTCCACTTTGGCAGAGCGAATGCTGAGAGGAAGAGAGTGGAGAGCAAGAAACCACCAATCGTGGCGAGCAGAGAGCTTAGTGGGCGGGGCCTGTTGTGCTGTTCTTAGCCCACAACAGGCTGTAAGGATGTTGCCGTTTTACGTGCAATTTTATTCAAAGTTAACAAGGGTATTTGTTTTGAGTCAGCGACTCAAGATATTTAAATTATTTTCAGCCTCGGCATGCCATTTGTAAAACTTGCAATGAAAGTTAGATTTTTTTTTTTTTTACTGTATGGAAAGCAGTAAAGCTTTTAATAATTTGAACAATTGCAGCCTTGTCTCAGCCATCCTTGCTAGAAGAAATCAGTTTTTATTTTTTCAGTTCTCTCGCATGGTGGCTGGCTTGGCTTCAGAAACGTGCATTTCCTGCAACTGTTCAAGTCTGAGATTACGTAGTGGCCAACTTGAGCAGCAATACCTCAAGGTCTGATACCAGTTATTCCATTATATAATTTCAAATGACAATTCAATGAAAATGGAGACCAGCATTTGAATCAGGCTGGTACATGAGGTTCCTGTCAATTTATGACGATACCGTAAAAATTTGCACCACCATTTCTTCTCAAGCTTCTGAGATTGCCGCAGTTGGTTTCTAATCGTCGAGTGTGACTGGACTGGACTGCTACAGTTGTGTGAAGTGGTGCCTTGGTGTAACACAAACTATAAAAATATATAACATCTGCAGTATTGTTAATAAAATGGGTACAAAGATTTTCAACAAGCGTTCTGTCATACACAAGAAGTTATAATAAAATGACAGGAGGACACTCAAGACTGCTTACGCGTAAAAAGGCGAAAGCATTATAGTCCCGTGGGAGAAACATTTTCGAGTAATGTTTTTACTTATTAAAGTTTAGAACGACGTATAGGACGACGCTGAGGATGGCATCCTAGAGATCGACACCAGGTACGGCATCTAGGACGACGTCGAGGACGGCGTCTAGGACAACGCCAAGGACGACCTCTTGGATGACATGTAGGATGACTTCGAGAACGATGCCTATACTCGTTTTCACCTTAAGGAAAAAAAATAAAAACCATTTACACCTCGCTGTAATGCCGAAGTAGAGTGCAGCTCTTGAGGAGGAGGAGGGAAGGGTACCGAGGGTCACGTGTTCTCGGAGGGGGAGGGGTCACGTGACCTGGGGGAGGGGTCACGAGGTCCTCCCGAAGGAACCCGAGGTCCTTCGGAAGGACCTCGGGTTCCTTCGGTAAAATTATCCATAATGCACCGCGCGGTTACAACGACGGCGACGCCGCTCAAGACCGAAACGGGCGCCTAAGAGCTGCGGTCTAAAAGCAAGTTTCGTGCATTGTTCATATGCTGCGCCAAGTAGTGCTTACAAGATTTGGTTGTTGGAGGAAGAAGCAATGCTTTTGGCATTTAAAACACATACATCTTGATAAGTTAACATTTATCTAATCTAAAATGCAGCAACATATATCTCTACATAAAAGGGGGAAATTTAATGTTCTGCAAGGAGCCGGACTAATTTTACTACAGTTCTTGAGTTCAAATTCAGTGTAGAGGACGACATCTAGGATGACGTAAAGAGGACGACGGGTAGAGGACGACGTCTAGAATGACCACAAGGACGACGCTTATACTCTGTCTCACTAAAACCGTGCAGTACAGCCAAAGCTACAGGGGAGAGAGCTTATTTTAACCTGTTCAAGATAAGGGAAAGGAGGAACAGGAGAGAAGGGCTGGGAATCCCCTTTCCTCCTTTTTCTCCTCTTTAGCCAGGTCAGGATACACTCTTCCCCCCTGTAGCTCTGGCTGTACTGCACGGTTTTAGTGAGACCAAGTACCTATAAAGGACAATGGTCTAGGACGACCTCAAGGACGCCGCCAAGAACGGCGTCGTCTTTGAGCATACGATTGAGCAGCGCTTGCTTGATGACATATTTTTATGGCCATCTTTCGGGCACAACGACGGCGCTTTTTCACGCACAATGAAACAAGTAAAGGCCCGTGATACGAGCATGGTTTCACTACTACGTTGCACACTGATGTAAAGAGCACGACAAACTGTGCCTAAACAAGCAATCGCCGCTTTTTTCTGCGTTTCTCTCGCAACTGGAGGGTTACTACAATTCATAGTGTGCTTAAATTTTAGTCGTATATGAGTCAACAGCTTGGGCTATATACATTGGCATTTGTCAAAAATATTTCTGAGCAAAACGGTTTAAGTACTGTTCGTACTAACACGTTGCACAGTGTACAAAGAGTGTGGCAGTCAGGCATTCCCCTCCTACTGTGTCTAGTGAACAAAATAATGGCAGTAAGAAACCAATTGAGGCATTAAAGCCCATTGTTTTTTTTAGTGCTTTCAAGAAATGTAAGAAAGCATCCAATAGCCATTTCATAAGAATAGTACATGTTAAGAAAGAAACAAAACTCTGGCTTTCAATGGAGAAAGTGACTATTGCCACAATAACTTTATTTGGGCTGCGCTGTGTGACCAGAATGTACATACGAGTGTTGTGAGCCCGTTTCCTTCGCTTGGGAGACGTGTGGAGTTCTAATAGATCTCGATATGATGTAGTTGTAAACCCCCCCCCCCCCCCCCCCCCCCAGCAACTGAATTCTTTCACTGAATATACAGGGGGCGGCAATTAACATTTGCGATTCATTACACGTTCTCCTCTGGTAATCCAACAAAACATGCTCACTTGTAGCCGACAAAACCAGCGAAATGGTACATGCTCTTTGGTGTAACACATACTTCAATATGACTTCGAGTATTATGTTAGGCTTTGCTCGTAGCTGCTGTAATTGTAAAAAAGACTTCTAAAAATATGATGATATAAAGCTCAGTTCACTTATCTTGAACATACGTATAACACTCTGAATGACTTGATTAATTATGAAAGCTGTTTTTTACCATAAAATGCCGCTCATAAAAAACGAAAGAAGAGCTTCACCCCTAGGCTAAGGGTGTGGTGGGAGCTACGCGCTTGCTGGATTAATCGGCTGCCTCCTTTACATCACTTGACCCCACTCTCTGTACATGGGTATGAGTGGGAGTGCAATCACATGGCAAAAGATGCAAGACTAGTCCAACCAGCATATAGCTTACACTGCTCGGCCTTCACCCGACTGTGCGGTGGAAGCTGCATGTTGGGGGGTTGGGCCAGTCGTATGTCCATAATCTGGCATGTGATCGTGTTCGCACCCGCACCGACTGCGGGGTCAGGTGATGAAAGGGAGGTGGCCGATTGGTTCGGAGAGTGCGTAGCTTCTACCGTACCGTCAGCCTAGGGCTGAAGGGTGTATAGCAATGTTGCCATCATACTCCAGTCAGGAAATGAGCAATCTCGGACGCGGGAGCTCGACGGTACAGAAATACAAGTGGCTCGGCGCATCCTCTCCGACGTCCTGGCAACGTGGTTTCTGTGGCCACCTCGGAGCCACTTCCAGAATTTACCAAGCACAAATGGAAACACAGACTTGGCCACCTAAGTAGTGTGCTTGTCGCGCTCCAGTTATGGAACTCGTAATCTCTGCTCTACGTGCAACGCTACAGAAATACGAGCGGCTCGACGTATCCTTCCGACCCCGTCGCGACAACATCGTCCTTCCTTCGGAGCCACTTCCAAAACGTGCAGAGTACAAACGGAAACACTGTCTTGGCGATCCGTGCCCTGGCGTCCGTCCTGGTGCAAGCGAGTAGTAGGGCAAAGCCTTGCATGTAGAGCAGAGCGGCGACCACCGCGACAACAGCGACCGGAACATTCTCCGCCCGAGCCCATGAGAAGCGGCTGCTGCTTGGGTGCGACGCACGGATGGACACGAGGGCACCGCGGTCGGTCAGGCGTAGTAGCGGCTGGACACAGAAGAACCCGGCACAGAGGTAGATGGAGAGTGCCACCCATGCCGCCCGTTGGTGAAAACGCATCCCGCGCCGCAGTTGCCCCGATCACCCATGAGTGTGCTGGAAGACGGGCGGGAAACCATGTTTACATGCGTGGACCGTCCCACCCGCTTGTGCGCCACAATGACCGTAGTCAGTTGTCCTAATCTGTTTCGCCTGTGGACAGTCCTAACTCCTCGGGAAAGAGATGTGCTTCTGTTAACGCATTAAGACTGAATTAAGCTTGTGCCGGTTGGTGGAACATGCTTTCAGGCGATTAGAAACAGCCCACGCACAAGACCACAAGCGAAGGAACTGCTCGCAGAAAACGGAGTGCTGACCCTACGTGATGAGCTCCACTTTTACCATGGAGGACAGGAAACAAATTTTGCGACCATACTTTGATCACATCGGATCAAATCATACGTAAGAATGTTTTTGGGTCAGTACATCTCGGTACAATTGTCTATGTAGAGAAATTGTAACGTGACCTCCGACGACAAGATCATTGGTTGTCGCTATGATCACAGGATTACTTACCCTCGCCAAAGAATATGCTTTCAGCTACGGTGACCAATTCAGTTTGGGTCAACCAGGTAAGCATGTGTCAACTCGGCACTGACGGTGTGTAGGTCATCAACCCGATTTACGTCCCACTTAACCACGCCATTGCCCACTAGCAGCACTGTTGGACGACGTAATGTATTTCCGAAGCATAGGTCGTCGCAGTCGTACAGAAATGAAGCTACCCGAAATTTTCATAATAAGGCCGACCTGACAGTCGGCAATCGATGCAACGACTCGAACCAAGACACCTGAAGCTGTCTTGGCAGGCCACCTTACAAAGTTTAAGCACGCAATTCTCACATAGGCAGGTTTTTGAATGTATGACTATCTTAGGATAATCATAAACCGAATTTTCGTGCAGTTGACAAGTCGGAGAGCTTATGAGTTCATAGTGTGAATCGCTGCTATGACCACCGAATGTAGTATATTGTTATAATGGGAAATTATTTCACCTGGACTCGTTCAAGATTCGCAGCGTTCACGATCAATATAGCATGCACTTGTCGGGCTGAGGCATCTTCCCAAGAGTGAGGAAACGCATGCGACTCACCGTAACCGTCGAGGTCCGCTTATCACAGCCAGAACGCTTCTTCCACTCATAGGGGTATTTTTGTTATCAGGAAAGACAAGAAAAAACAAAACGGAAAACGTCACACGATATCAGTTACCATTTGAGATGTCACGACGAACTTCCGCCGCTTTCGTAGGCTTTCGTTCGTTGTTTAGTCAACCGAGTGAAATCTTCGGCCTTTAAAAAAAGTTTTAAGAAAAAAATTGGACTTTCTGTACAATGTTACCAGATGTTTACAAAAACGCGTCTAATTGTAGACAAACTAATACTTTAGGGTGTTTTATTTAGCTTTTATGTTTGAATGATTAATAAAATGGACATGTATCTTTTATTATTTTAATTATTCAGTTTGTTTTTGACTGTGTTGATCGCGCGACCTTCTGCCGATCAGTACCCTTGTCAGTACCACTGATCAGTGGCGCGTTTGTGTTTGTGGCTTTGTTGGCTCAGTTGACGTCAGGCCAGGTCAGGCTGGCATGGCCGCATGGCCGCGTCAAGCGCGTGGCGCCAAGTGCGGTATTCGTTGTGCAGTGGTGCAGCTTGTTCGGCGTCTTTTGGTGTGTGCGCGAACATTTCCCGTTGGCGCAGAGAAACGTTTGTTAATTGTCGCTACGTGAACGGCTGAGGAACTTACAGTGCGCAGCGCGCGTTTTTCTCCACCTTCCACCGGGTCCGAGTCTCTTCAAACGGGGTCCATATCACATGAGCGAACCCAACCCAGCCTACCCGTAAACGCCGCTTCGCGGCGGCCGACTAATCGCTAAAGTGTCTTTGGATGAAAATTTGGCGTTCACTGAATCGTCCTTCGACAACTGAGTCCCATCCCTCCAAATGCGCGTGCACAAGTGGCTTCAGGCTTCTCGGGACTCTTCGCACGGGGCACCGCTCAGGAAAGTCCGAGGTAAGCGATGACAGATTTCCGTTATCGAGTGAAACAGCTCGCTGGCGCATATTAATAATAATGTGATATTCATTCACACGCGCTGCGCCACACGACGCCGGACCGAACCCACGGTCGGCAGCTCCCACCGCAACATTCCTCGGGGCACCCGGGGTGTTAGAATGGATCACCGGTTTGAGATGAGCTAGTTGGTACATTGTCATTGATGGTGAGGAAACTTCTTGAACACTAAACGATTGCACACAGGCAGACACACGCAAAGCTTCGTGTTTGTGTCTGTCCTGTCTCTAATCGTTTAGTGTTCAAGCCGTTTCCTCGTCATTGTAATGGAGCACTGTTTTAGGTGTCAAAGAGAACGCATATGTCGGGCGATGGCGGGCAGAACGCCCTACAGTCCGTCTGATGATTCAATAGACTGTCCACGAGTAAATATGCTAGTTGGAATCAGCTGCCTTTTCAGCTGAGCTGGTGTATGGTGAAATATACCCAACCCAGTTGGAAATGCAGCTTTTCCCAGCTGGATAGATGGATGAAGACGTTTATTGTTGTTACAAGCAATCGTGTGACGCGGGGCTTGGTCTTCGCACGCTGGAGTCCCGTCTAGAAGGACGACCCCCAGGCGCGACTCCTCTAGACAGAAGAGCAGGGACTCCGAGAAAATACTAACTTTTTCAGGGTCTCCAGGTGCCCAGATTCAGTCTTGAAGGGTGACTGGCCTTAGTTTGAGTGGCCTTTGTCCCGATTCAAAGAAAGTTTTGGCAGTTCCATGGGTGATGGGTGAGGTCTTCTACAAAGGGTCCTGAGGCAGTGAGGGCAATCTTCGGGCTTGGCAAGGTTGCAGAACAAATTAAAAATTGATTGATCTTTCTTTTTTTTTTTTTTCCGTTTTTTCGTGCACAGTTTGCCCACAGTCTTCTGGTCTGGGGAGTAATATCACTGGACGTTAGAATTCTTCTCAGAAGCACAATGTGTCTCCTAGAGAAGCCCTTGGGGATGGGGTGCAGGCCTCTTGGAAGAGAGCGAAGATATCTTTTCTTTAGGTATTGCGTGGTTTTTCTCAAGTTGTCTTTCGGGTCGTACCTCTAGTTGCCATCGGTTGAACTTCCTGGCTAGGGGGAGTCCCTGGTTGGCTGGGAGAGAAAGTGCTCTCTTGCAGTCAGGTCAGCACCGCCTAGAAGACAAGGCAGTAGTGCTGACATTTTTGCCTCGCCAGCAAAGGCCAATGCTGGACACAGGTTGGAAACAAGTGCTGCATCAGCGCTCGGCTTCGAGTCAAGTTTGAGCCGAACGTTGACGCATTCGTTGTGTCAAATCTGTGACCAGCGTTGACTTTTGCTGATTACGACATCTCTATCAGCACTACGGCTTTGTTACCTAGGAGGTGTTGACCAGGTGGGCCGCCTGGTTACCGGGAATCTAGTGTATGATGACCTGGGCGTCGCACAGTTCTTTAATCTTGTTTGCCATGAAGAGAATCCTCTTGATTGTTCAGCGGGTGGGGTCATATGTCCTGCATTATCTTATAACATCCTAACAATCAGTGTAGACACAAATCAATTTGGTAGGAGACTGGCGAACTTGTTCAATTTTGCAGAGCATGGCCTGAGCTTCGGCTTCCACCGAAGTCTTGTCAGTTTTGGTTTCTTTACCCCAGGTACCTTTGTTTGGATTATGCCACTCAGCAGTAGCAATGCTGTCACTGGGACGCATCAGTGTAGATAACGGTTGTGCCAGGGACTCGCTTGAGTTGCTCTACCATGCCGATGTGCTTCTGCGCCAAGTTTCCCCTTCTCTCATAGCCGCGTCCCACTAGAGCGACAGACAGCATCAAACGACAGCGACGAGCGACAGACGACAGCGACAGACAGCCTGTTTGTCGGAGTTTGCCGTCTCACCTGGTGGACACGACGCAGAACACGGGGCCAAGGAAACTTGTTTCCTAGTGGGACTGGAGTTGTCAACAAAACACTTCAAAATACACAGACAAACAGAGTCTGGCGATGCGGTTTTCGTGTTTTGCTCTTTGGGGCATAAAACGCGCCGACAAACACTGTGAAAGTGGAGATGATTGCTTTATTTCTTGATTAAAGCTTCAGCTTCCCTTCATTTGCCGTTGGCGACTTTCTGCAAACAGTCGTGACAATCGGCACCAGTCTTTTTCCCAACTAGAATACCGGAATCGTTCCTTTTTTGGGCCATTCGAGGCATTCTAGGTGAGCGCCACGGAATTTCACGCCGATTTTGAGGATGTTTATAACTTCTTATTTGAATGATTAAGGGCAGGCGTTTTTTGGTGGACAATACGGCATCCCGATTATCACAGAACGTGATGACAAGTCTCGTCTGCCGGAATGGCTTGCCGCGTAAGTAAGACCGCTCGCCTACTTCGTGGTGAGCGGTCTTACTTTGGTCGGTCCTCGCACGTGGGTGCATCCATCCTGATGCAGGGGTGTAGACTTCGGCGTCTTGAAGCACCGCCTCGCGCACCAAGTTTTCGCGGGCAAAACTAGCTATAGCAAATTCCCTTTCGCAACACGACTGCCCGGTGCTAGCCAGCAAGTCGCGCCCGCGACCACTACGTGCAATTGAGGGACTGGAGCTGCGGGAACGAGGAGTGGCTGCCAAGGGCTTCTCGTTCCAAGAGGAAGGGTAGAAGGGTGCGAAGGGAGGCAACAGAAGGCACAAGTGGGCGAGGAGGATGAGTTTGTCTTCGAGAGATATTCCTCAGTGTCCCACTGAGGAATACCTCTGCTACGCTTCAAGTCTAACGACAGACAAGAACTTGTCCGTCGTCTATCGTTTGTCGTCGCTTGTCGGCGATTGTCGCGGGTGTTGGTCGTTGCAGTGGGACAGCATCGGCGACACGGAACTTTGTGGTGTCGTCGGACAAAAACCGGTGTTTGTTGCTTTAGTGGGACGAGGCTATCAGGGTGACTTGCATTCATGTTCTTAGGGATAGGGCAGCTTGAAACAACATCTGTTATTTCCCAGGGGGGAATGGGGCAGCCTGGTTTGCGTAGCTCAGAGATGTTTTCTCCCATGTGACGACGTATCTGGAGTGTCGGAGAGACATGTGGTGAGTTTCTTGAGCCTTTGCCATGTCCCACAGACTGGGGAGGGGGACACATTTGAGCAGCTCTTGTAGTTTTGTATGTTTTGGAAGTCCAGCAATGCAGCGTCTGGCATCGTTTTGGAGTCTTTTGAGTGTTTCGCAGTGGCTTTTGCCAAGTTTGTAATAATTGGCTTCGTACATCACATTAAACACAAGTACGGTTTGCACTAAGGTCTTTGCAATCTCCTCACCGGCTCCTCCCTTTTTCTGGGCAATGCGTCAAATGGGTGACGTGCCCTGCTTAAGGGGTGTCCAAACATGACACTACAAATGCACGACTCCGACTAATCGTGAAAATTGAAGCGGATGCTTCTATTTTTATGATTTGTCGGAGTCGTAAAAATATTTGCACGAGTCATGAAAAGTTTTACGATCACGACTTCTCCCCTCACCTCCTCCACTTTTCTCTGACGTCGGTGCTCATCAGGTTTGACGTCACACGCCACCTACGTCTGGCTCACCTCACCAACGCCCTCGCGTACCACCGTCGCATTGGCTCAAAGGCCAAGGAGGTTTGGCTTCAAGTGGATTTGGGACATTCCTGCGTCGAGGGGTGCGTTTCGGCCACCCTGGCTCAGCGTCCTTTGTCAAAATCCACGTTCGTAGCTCGAAAAAAATAAATAAAGTGCAGTGCGCAACAGTGAGACTTTTAGTTCTATGTAGGAACACTGAGAACTTAAGAATATATCATTTATTTTATTAAACTCCAAACCAACCAGGTTTGTTTGTCTATACGAGGTACGTTAAGAACAAGAGCCGTGGGAATCCAATCCAGTCCACAGAACTGCTGGAAGATGACACGACCTTGGATACCGCGCGCGCTCGCCTGGCTTGCCCCTTCACACTCTATCTTCCCTTTTCTGTTTTTGGGATTTGAAAAACGGCGGAGGCCTTCAGCGATTGACCGACAGCCAAAAAAGCGTGTGAGTGGCTCTCCGGACCCACGTGATAAGCAGAGCAAGGCCGCCGTGGAGGAAGCGAGGCGGAGATTTGACAGGGGGAAGTTTTTTCCCGTCGGCTTTGACTGAGGGAAATTTCCCCCCGACGGCCGGAAGCGGAGCGCGGCACGATTTGCCGGAGTCGTGAGTTTTGTAGTATCCTGTTAGAGATTTGGGTGATCCATTCTGTCGGGGATCTTCTATACTTGTGGTCAATTTTCTGTGGCAATGCAGTCACTGCTAGGGGACAGGGTGCTTCAACCGGTC